ATGATTCCAAAAAACCTTTGAGGCTTAGAGTGATCTCTTATTCCAATGTTGGTAATGCAACTTTTATGTCGAAATTTTTCCACCGCGTAAGTGTGGCGAATGTCTAACCAAGGTTGAAGCCATGATTTCGCATTTGTCAACCAGTGGCCGTATTCATCAACGAACCCTGAGGGTTAAACTAACCCTGGAGGGTTAGTTTAACCCTCAGCGTTCATTGGCCGTATTCATCAACATAAGGTAGGGTTTACCACGGAACGCAATATGCCGTATCGATCAACGAACCTGTGGCCGCATTCCTAACCCTGAGGGTTAAATTAACCCTGGAGGGTTGAAGCGTCAGTTACGAGTGCGCTGTGCAAACCCACATCACAGAATGCCTAAGTGCGTACGTGCTAAATTCACTTTATACTTCTATTCCTTCACTGTTATAGTAGTATATTCAACGAATAAACTTCTATCACTAGTTTTTATAATAGATCTCTAGCATATTTGTGCAGCATCCAATCTTACAGCGTGAGTTTATTTTCATGTGTCAATTGTGCCGTGTAAGTTCTACTTTTGCGCAGTTCGTTTTATACCGGGCTTGTGCTATCTTTTAAGGGTCAATGCGTGTTATCATAAAGGAATTCTTCTGTGGCCGTATTCATCAACGAACCCCGAGGGTTAAACTAACCCTGGAGGGTTAGTTTAACCCTGGAAAGCGTTTAACCCGTATTCATGAAACACAGGGTAGGCTTAACCCTGAGGGTTAAATCTAACCTTGAGGGTTAATTTTACCCCGAAAGCGATTAACCCGTATTCATCAACGAACCGTGAGGGTTAAACTAACCCTGGAGGGTTGAACTTACGTGATTCATCAGGGTTAATTTAACCCTAGCTCAGAGCAAGGTTAACTCTACCCTGACACTTCATACAAACGTTTACTCGCATCTAACAGTTTATGGAAAACGATCAATGAGTATTGTGGCATTTAGTATTGGTTGTTGTTATAGTATTTAGTTTCGACTTCGTTTTTCATATACGAAGTACATGAAACACTGACTTTGCGAGAAAAAGAATTCTAGCTTTGGTGACTAATGAATGCGATGAGGAAAAATGGCATTCCATTCTGAAAAGTGCCAAAACAGAAGAACCTCTTTATAATAACACGCATTGACCCCTAAAGGAGTAGCACAAGCCTGGTATAAAACGAACTGCGCAAAAGTAGAACTTACACTGCACAATTGCACACACGAAACTAAACTCACGCTGTAAGATTCGATGCTGCACGAGTATGCTAGAGATGTATTATAAAAACTAGTGTTAGAAGCTTATTCTTTGACTATACTACTATCAGTGAAAGAATAGAAGTATAAAATGAATTTAGCTCGTACTTAGGCATTCTGTGATGTGAGTTTGCACAGCGCACGCGTGACTGACGCCTTAACCCTCCAGGGTTAGTTTAACCCTCAGGGTTAATGAATACGGCCACAGGTTTGTTGATCGATACGGGTAGATCGCGTTCCGTGGTAAACCCTAGCCTATGGTTGATGAATACGGCCAATGAACCCTGAGGGTTAAACTAACCCTGGAGGTTTAGCTTAACCCTCAGGGTTCGTTGATGAATACGGCCACTGTTTTGTCACTTGTCGGAGTGGATTGCGCAACTATTTTTCCTCGTTGCATTCATTTGTCACCAAAGCTAGAAATCTTTTTCTCGCAAAGTCAGTGTTTCATATACTTCGAATCTTATATATAAAACTGAATGTCTGTTTGTCTGTATGTCTGTCTGTCTGTCTGTCTGTCTGTACGTACGTATGTTCCAAACAGAATCCATTTCTGAACCGATCCGGACCAAACTTGGCACACTTACACTTCGGGCTCCGGCGGGTGTCATAGGCTACTTTTCGTCATCGATCGATATCGATTTTATCGATTTTTATCGATTTTTTTGCTGAGTTCACCTACGGGGCTGGGAGTTGGCACAGGGGGGTAATCGAGCATGAGGATTCCGAATACAATATTGGTTTTCAGGATTATCGATTACCTTTATCGATTTTATTGATTTTTTGCAAAGTTTGAGCTACGGGGCTGGGAGTTTGCACAGGGAGGTAATCGAGATGCTGATTACGAGTTCGATATTAGTTTGGCGCTATTCGGCTATCCGGGCCCAAAGATTTTTTGTGATAGAGCTTGCTCAAACTTCGTGTATAAGGGCTGTCTTAAGGGCCGGGCATACTTCAAGCGATTTCAATCGCGACGCGATTTGGCAATATTCCAGGTGTCCATAACTCATTGTAAGCACTTTATAAATGTACAGACGATAGGGCATTTCATCAGTTTACGTAAGTTATACACACTATGCATGTGCAGTTTGCTAAGTTGGATCCGACTTCTGGCGAATTGCCAAATCGCATCGCGACTGAAATCGCGTGAAGTATGCCCGGCCCGTTACATGCTGATTACAGATATCACACTTTCTCCGCAGAACGTGTCCCCGTGTGGTTACGATAGGTGTACCGGTAGGAAGTCAAAACCATGAATTCGGCTGGAGTTCGGTCCATATGGCTTATTCGACATGCTAATTACGAATATCATCTCTCTCTCTGCATATTGGGACCTTCTCATAGAGTTGTGGTGGTTATATGGCATGTTGTCGAAAACATAGATTTGCTTTAAACTTCGTCTAGGGTGGTCATTTAGCGTGCTCAACATGAATATCATGCTGATTTCGCAGGATAGTGCATTTTCTTGGGTTACAGTGGGTGTAGATGGGTCGAAGTTGCAGATTTGCTCAAAACCATACCTGCAACGGTTCACAAGTATATCGCCTTTGCATATGATGCTTGGTCGCTGTCATAACGCAATAGTGAAGTTATGGTGAGTTGCAGGGTTTGAATGGACATTTTTTCGCTTTTGGGCCAATTTAGATCCCAGATATTCAAGAGAAGGGAAAACGGTCGTTTTGCATGGCGGTCTCCAGCGCCATTCTGATAACCTGTCCCAACGCGTAACGCACGCGGCAAATCTCCCTCCCCTGTCTTTGCTTAGGCAAAAGCCGCCGAAGGGTGTATCGCGCGCAGCAGTGCTCCTATAAGGAAACTGATAACCTGTCCCAATGTGTAACGCACGCGGCAAATCTCCCTCCCCTGTTTTTGCTTAGGCAAAAGCTGCCGAAGGGTTATCGTGCGCAGCAGTGGTCCTATAAGGAAACTGATAACCCGCCTCAATGTGTAACGCACGCGCAAATCTCCCTTCCCCTGTTTTTGCTTAGGCAAAAGCCGCCGAAGGGTGTCTCGCGCGCGGCAGTGGTCCTGTAAGGGAAAGCACTACGGTCGTGGGAAACTTTTATACCACACGAATTGCCTTTATCGTGGGGATTGAGTACGATATTCTTGAAACAGCACTTTAGGTAATTTTCTGCCAAGGTTTCAGGCAGGTTCATGATTTTTACCCGCTGCCATGTACTTACCGTAACTCTGCGAAAAGGTCTCAAAACGCAACGAGAGTGTTTTAGACGTGGTCAGAAGGTCGAATCTCTCTAGACCGAGTTTCAGCCAAAACTGAGATTTCGCCCCTCTGCAGTATACCCACCATAACTCAGTGAAATCGCCTCAAAATGCCAAATGATTATGATATTCGTAATCAGCATGTCAATTAGCCCCCCCCCCTCAAAGTTTCAGCGAGATCCATGATTTTAGCTTCTTATGTGTACCCAACGTAAACCCAGAAAATGGCGCTATATCGCGCGAAATGACTACGATATTCGTCATCAGCGGCTTTAATAATCCCCATGTACCGACTTTGAGCAAGATCCATCACAAAAACATTTTGGGGCCGGATAGCCGAATAGCGCCATCAGTTTTCAGAATTATCCTTACTTTTACCGGTTTTATTGCTTTTTTTGCCAAGTTTGAGCTACGGGCTGGGGGTTGTTGAGGGAGGTAGGGGGCATGCTAATTACTAACACATCGGGAATGGGGAATTGCATGTAGAAGTGGGCACAATGAAAGGTTCTATAGGGATAGGGATAAGACCTTAATGATAGAATTGACAGGGCCGGGCGGAGCCGGGTAAGCCAGCTAGTTTGAACATAAAACGAAGTCGAAACTAAATACTACAGCAACGACTAACACTAAATACTACTAATACTCGCATCTAATAGTCAATACTCGTTGATCGTTTCCATAAAACTATTAGATGCGAGTAAATGTTTGTATGTTGTGTTAGGATAGAGTTAATCTTGCTCTAAGCTAGGGTTAAATTAACCCTGATGAATCACGTCAGTTTTACCCTCTAGGGTTAATTTAACCCTCAGCGTTCGTTGATGAATACGGGTTAATCGCTTTCGGGGTAAGTTTACCCTCAAGGGTAGATTTATCCCTAAGGGTTAAGCCTACCCTGTGTTTCATGAATACGGGTTAATCGCTTTCCAGGGTTAAACTAACCCTCCAGGGTTAATTTAACCCTGGAAAGCCCCTCAGGGTTCGTTGATGAATACGGCCACAGATGATCTTTTTAATGCTGAGCGTTCCTTCCATTTTAGTAATAAATGCGCAAGCTAAGAATAGATTGAAATTGGAAACCAACTGCTGTGCTTGATTGATACTATGCTTTCACCAAGCAGAATTCATGCGGAACTGAATCTCATCAGATATTTCAAAGAGCTGCTCAGATGATATCGAATTATTTGTCGCTCGGTATCTCCTATAGGTAGAGTCACCTTCTTCATTTTCTAGCGGTATCAAGACATCGAAAAGCTCTGGCGATGTATCGAACCTTTGAAAAGAATTTCCCGTAATTTGCATATAGAAGAGGTATGCGTATTAATGATGGTTGTGTAGATAATGGAAAATTGTTACTGACACATGCAAGTAAACTTTGACGCATGCACTTATGAATAGAAACTTGCGAAGGTAAAACATTTTCTTAGCTATGGTCTTTTTGGCAGACTTAGTCACAGAGTTCAGGATCAGTGATAGGGAAATATACAAGTTGCACTCCAAAAAAGTTGTGAGGCATTAGCATTCTTCCTTGTCCACAGCGGAAATGATATCCAGTGTCACATAGGTCATGTCATACATCAGGCCAATTTTCGATTCTGGAATGTCAATCTCAGTGACCCTTTTGCAGCCCTGAAATTGATGTGTTAAGGTAGCAGTGTGGAGGAGGGCATAAAATATAGGGCATAAAATCGTAACGAACCGGTTTCACATTGCAAGTGTGTGTGATTCTGAGGAACGGCTCAATGGAGCCGAATTCATCCTGGCCTCCTTTTACAATAAATTCGCCTTGTTTGCCCGTCGTCTTTGAGTCTAGAAGGTCGTTGGGGTCGACTGAAAGGCAAGCTATCAAAAAGGCATCTTGTGCACTTACTAAAAAATGGGCAATGTTTTTGAGTTGAAAGGAAACAAACCACGAGATTTTTGACAAAGCGGGATAAACAGTATGTATGGAAAGTCTTCTTTTTTCATCAGAATAATTTCAAAGAAGAACAGTCAGAATACTTACGGGTATCTCACTCCCACAGTTCCACCAAAACGTCAGGCATTCGCTTTTTGTTACAAATAGCGGTGCCCTTGACCGTTACATTTTGCATTTTCGCATGGACGGCGACGAGCATAGCAGCGGCCGAAAGCAGCAGTAGCGAATTCATCTGTAACAATGAAAATGTGATAATGTGACGGCCTTTTATGCAGTACAACACCATTTACATTATTAGACCGATAAAACATAAAGAAATGAAGAGAAAAGTAAATTTGTTTGATATCCGCCGCAAAACTGGTTTGCTCGCTGAGTCATGTTTTTTGTAGTGGTTAGACACATACTTCGGGTATTTCAAAAGAAAATACTTTGGTTAATTTTTATTGCTTTGTGGTCTTATACAAGGCGAGGTATTCACTTGAAGTCCTGAATATTTTGTGAACAAAAAAGAACATATCGCTCCAACCATACCACTGTTACAGCCCGTCCCTGCAAACCTTCGATTTCGCGTGCGCTCTTTTTATGTGAAACAATGGGAAAGCAACTAGTGTAGGAGTAAAAATATTAGCCCAAAGCATTCTTTTACTTAATACCCAGAAAGCAAAGAAAACTTAGATTTGAAATGTCCTCAAACGTGCTGAAGAGTTAGTGATGGGGTGATATACGCCTTTTATGATGGCGGAGAAGAGAAGAGGCAATGTCATTGTTGTAGAGCCATCCCTTATATTGGAACTTGCTCACTCACTATAGGCTAGGTCGATATGGTCTCTGTGATTGCGGCGTACCCGCCGCACCTTGATATATTTGTGTGTGTTGTTCTCTAGTTATTCCTAGTGAACCCTCGGCATGTACGCCAATAGGCAGAGGGGGAACTCTTGCGTTTTTCTAATAAATCGTCAACGGCTCAACGCGTTCCACAACAACTGGCGATCAGGATCAAGAACAAGAAGCCTCCACCGACCAACCAGAAGAAGCTCGATCGACAAGGACCGGAAGAAGCTCGATCGACGACAAGGACAAGAGGAAGCTCGATCGACAAGGACCGGAAGCCTCCATCGTCCAAGGAGAAGAAGCGCTGCAGCTCGAATCGAGGAAGAAGCTGTCACTGGTCGAGGACAGCCAGACAAGTAAGCTTTGCTGAGAAGCTTATCGATTTAGCAGAAGACTTCATCGACACCAGAGAGGTCTACCATGCCGAAAGCCAGTGAAGAGCGGCATGGCGACTCTTTGGAGAAGGTCCTCTCGGTCATGGTCGACCAAATGCGGCTCCAAAAGGAGGATATGAGGCTGCATATGCAGCTTCAACAAGAACAGATGCAGGCCCGGATACAAGCTCAACAGGAGCATATGCAAGCACAGTGGCAAGCTCAGCAGGAGCAAATGCAAATGCAGTCGCAAGCTCTACAGGAGCAAATGCAAGTGCAATTGCGAGCACAGCAGGAGCAAATGCAAGTGCAATTGCAAGCACAACAATCAAATGAAGACGTTGGTCACTGCTTTGACCAGTAACCAAAGGGTAGCCGTCCAGGACGCCAGTGAGGATCAGTATGACCAGCTGAGCAAGGACGTGCAGAGATTTACCTCACGAAGAGACAGGTAACACATTTGCTTACTGGTATGGCAAATATGGACCGGTCATTCGCGACTCCCAGCTTCCGGATCAGAAGAAGCGCGACTTAATTCTGATGAAGCTGGATGAAGAAGCATACCGGAAGTATGCGGATGAAGCCTGCCTGCGCAACCAAACGACTTGGACTTCGACACCACCGTCGCAAATCTCCAGAAGCTGTTCGCCTCCAAGAAGACGCTCATCAGGAGACGGTATGAGTGCCTAAGGATAACGTGCTCTCCGCTGACACCGACGTACGTACCGTTTCGCGAGTACGCCAATACCATCAAGCGGATGGACGAGCCCGGCTCAAAGAGCTCGACTATACGGCGATGAAGACGCTGCAGTTTGTAGCAGGTCAAGATCCCTCACTTAGGGAAGTTCGCCTTCGGATGATTCGTCGACTGGACGCTCACAGGGACGAAGCACCGTTGACAATCGAGGACTTAGTCGCGGAGTGTGAGAATTTCACTGCTTTGAAAATGGATAACACGGACATGGAAGGCACGCGCGACATCCATACAGTGTGGAAGAAAAAGGAGGTAACTTGTTTCACGTGCGGAGGACCACGTTTCAGATGAGACTGTCCACAATCCGACAACACTGGTCGGAAGAAGCGGCGGAAGACAGGAGCGCAGTTTGGCCGCAGAAGACAGTGCAAACATGTGGTCGCTTTCGACGCCGAGAGCGTGCGGACCTACCTCGACGTCGTAGTTAGAGGATGTAATCTCAAACTTCAGCTGTACACAGGTGCAGATATAACGCTGATATCACGCAGAGCTTGGAAGAGGATGGGATCCCCGGCTCTGGAACCCTGTGTGATGCCCGTAAAAACTGCAGGCGGGACGTCGATGAAGATATATGGTAAATTCAACCGACTTTTCCGTCAGAGATCGAGTTACAGGGAAGATGCTCCATGGAAATGGCACATGCTACGTCATTGAAGGCTCGAATCTACTAGGACTGGAATGGTGCATCCAGCTGCCGGCATACAGAAAGCTGAAGGGCAACTTCTATTGCAGAAGGTGACTAGCGAAGAGAAAATCCGAGCCGAAGTGGTCGCCGACTTGAAGAAGAAGTATGGGAAAGTCTTCAACAGCGACCTAGGAAAGTGCACGAAGAGTAAGGGCACCAACAGAGACATCAAGGATCAGTGCTGCTGTAGGGCATGTCAAAGAATCGGCTTCACATTGACTATGCAGGGCCGATGAATGGCAAGATGTATCTAGTCGTAGTTGACGCTTACTCGAAATGGCCAAGTATTTGAGATGCCTTCATCATTAACTACAGCTACCCTGAGAGAACTCAGATCTCTATTCGCTCGATTTGGAAATCCGCAGGTGATCGTGTCGGATAATGGGACGCAGTTCACAGCAAAGGAGTTCCACGATTTCTGTGAAGAGCGAGGAATCAAGCATATACGTTCATCTCCATTTCATCCACAATCAAATGGACAAGCGGAGAGGTTTGTGGATATTTTCAAGAGAACCTTCCTGAAAATTAAGGAGGGAGGAACGGCAGAGAAGCTCGCGGAGTTTCTGCAGTCTTATCGACGGACGCCTTGTACAACTGCTCCAGGACAACGTTCGCCTGCCGAGCTGCTCCTAGGACGTCAGATGAGGACACCGCTGTCGCTGTTGAATGAAGATTCCAAAGAAGAAGGAAAAATGGGCAACGAAACCATGGAGAAGCAGTTCAACCGCCGTCACGGAGCACGAAATAAATCGTACCAGCCACAAGAAACCGTGTGGGTACGTGATTTTCACTCTGGATGTGGAAAATGGATTCCAGCACGAGTGAAGAAACGATATGGAGAAGCGCTATATGGCGTGCTTACGGAAAACGGTCAGTTATGGAGACGACATGCGAACCACATGCGCCGCGCAGCAAGTATGGATCGACATCATGACTCAACACAGTCCATCCCCGACGAAGGCCGACGTAACAATGGTGTGGATGCTGCTGAACACCAAACCACCTCGTCTACGCCATCGACATCAACCAGACCAAGTCGCCATCGTCGCCCACCAGAACGTCTACAAGTAGATCCTTATTATAAGGTGTATCGTTGTTCATCTTAGGAGGGAGGTGTTGTAGAGCCGTCCCTTATATTGGAACTTGCTCACTCACTATAGGCGACAGAAAATGAAGTAAAAGACTTGGTTGCGGAATTAACACACATCCCTTTGCGTCAAAACGGAAGGGACGTTTCGGCTCTTTCGGGCTTTTTGGGCTTTTTGGGTCTTTTCGGCGAAGTATGACGGGTCCCTTACGACTGTATGACTCACTGGTGAGTTGTACATTTACTGAACTTTGGTGCATCTCTATCCACTACATTCACTACGGTTGTAATTATGAATGATCGGTTCCTCATACAATCTGCACCCGCGTAGTCGAAAGCAACCTTTGTGCGCGGGAACTGAGCCTTATAAACACCCTTAGCTAGTGTCAGTTCAATAGTTCACTCATCTGCCTTTTCTAATGTTATTATTTTCTATAATAAAAATTCCTGGTTTTTCCTGTGCCGCCCAAAGGACGAGGATCCGAAGAGTGTCTGAAGCTTGAGGACAGAACAACTAAGAGGTCACACAAGACTTCAGCACGTGTTCAGAAATCTAGGATTTCTGAACAAATTTCGGACCTTTGATTAGAAGACTACCGTTCGGACTACGGGCCATAGGTCGAAAATGAGAAACGAGTCGTATTTTCCAGAAAAGCAGAGATAAAATGGCCAACGATAAAATGATAAAATTGTAAATGTTTAAGCCTTAGAGTCTGAAGAACGAAGCATTGATCGACTCTGATGGCCTAGATATCAGATTTCATTTCTTTAAGTTCCCTATTTCAGTCGCATCAACAATTTTAGTTTGCAATAGATCCTTCTCAAAGATTCATGATCAAATTATCTTGAAACTCAAGATTTAATATCGGAAACTCCCTTTTTCTAAGCCCACCAAAATCGATGTTAAGAATGACCGGCGCTTCTTGCATCATAATTCGACTCTTGACTATGATAACCCTTTTCTACGGATCTCTCTTTTATTCTCGACATTATATATTTGAAAAGCCTACCATGACTCACTGTTTGTGAAAAGTTGATTAAAGTCAACTCATGGGCCACCAATAAAAAGCTGAACGATGGAAATGCAATGTCAACAGACTTGACCTTGACTACATAAAGTATAACTATAACTGTATTTAGATAGGTGGTAAAGTTCCGACATCTTTGCTTGCGCAATTTGATGTTTGGCATCACATTGTCCATTTCTATAAAAGCCGGTAAACATTTTCATGTCGCTGATTCTTTGACAGTTGGCAGGTGGTCAAGTTCAGTTCCACGTTACTACAGCTCTCGCGGCAAAATTTTAATTCAAGACTCCGCTTACTTGAGCCAAAATTTTCCCGGTAGCTTCAGAAGCATGAAAGGCGAAAACGGGCTTTTACTGAAGCCCTCGATTCTGATTATAAACGTAATGACTCAAAGTTTGAAATCCGGTTCGTTTTTGGGGGGAATTCTAAGCTTTGTAGGCCCTCTTTTTGCTCGAATTTTGATTATTGCATTTGTTACAAAAGCCGACATACCGCTTTATCGGGCGCCCCTTGTAATCGGCTGTTACATGCGAAGAAACCGCGGTTATGCTATAGAATTATTTTAAAAACTTTTCAGATGTGACTACGGTAAATAATGTGAACGTGGGCGAAAACAACTTTCTGACAAAGTGTTCCTTAAAGCGAACGTCAAAACAAAAATTGTGAAAAGCTTGAGGTGAAATGATCGGGTTTAGACAACGGCATTTCAAGGCCTTCAGAAAGTAAGTGAAGGCACGCATTCTGCAAGAGGAAAAATTCTACAAAAAAAATATTTTTCGTGTGAGATTTTTAATCGTCTGAGGGAAATACAATACATAAGGATTAAAGATTGTCAAAAACGTCTGTTCTTAACCAGATTTGAGTTAGTCTCAACCAGGTTCTATAAAATTTTGTTTTCAATAAATGAATGCGGATACGCATATTACATTTACGTCTTGAATTCAAACCATAAAGCCTTGACTGGACAGTCTTGAGCGGTACTTTCGCAGAATTTACTACAGGAACCCAAAAGTCAATTGATTCTCACTTTTCTCGAAAATCACAACTTTCTAGGAACATGTTCAAACAGCACCTTTTCAGTGTTGCAAAAAATAGATCAAAAAGTTCTTGTGCTGAAGATTTCAAATTGCATCGTTCCAAGTTTTTGAGTATCTAATGCCCTTTTTCTATTTCTAACACCGCGGTCAGTGTGTTGCAGAAGCTCTGCAAAAAAGCATTGAAAGCAAAGAATTAATCCTTTCTAAAAAATTGCAAAGAGCACATCCAAAAGTTGCAATTTTTCAGAAATGAGACGAAACTTTCAAGACGAATATTATGAAACCTTACCAGCAAGATTGATCGTTACTTTATATTTCTCAGCATAAAATTGCTGACAAAGTTTCCCTTTATCTGAATCCCTGAAAAGGTGAGTAAATGTTTCTTTTATTTCAAAGCTTCGTCTTCGTCGCAACCAGACGGTTTCGGTCTCAGTTCAAGTTTTATCCGTGACTATCCGTATCCGTAAATGCTTTTTCCAGCTTTCATCCTTCCTCCATTGTATTGAGAAAATTGAAAAATAGGTAAAAAGAAAGCAAAGGCGTAAACCACCGCCTCGTCAGATATCCTTGAGTTCTAATGTAGTTGCATATCACATGATTTGGAGTTGGATTCTACACTGATATGACGGGAAAAACTCAGCAATCATTGATAAAAATTATTTTGTCCTTTATTTTCGGATTCACTGCATAATCATAAAATATCATGGAGGCTTGGAGTGATCTCTTCTTCAGATAGTATTGCAATTATGTCAAAATTGCCACCGTGTGACTTATGCGTATGTATATCTAAGAAAAACTGAAGCCATGATTTTGCATTTTGTCAGCCAGATATGTTCTTTTATGCAAATGCTGAGCATTCTTCGTATCTTACAAGGAGAGGATACTTAGTCGAAAACACCAATCCAGATGAGACATATATCCTCGTGACGTGCTTGGAGCGCTGATTTCAAATCTGGCAAAATCAGCTGCGGAGCGCCTTTGGGCAACGAGTTATGGTTGTTTTTGTGGAGAAAATTTGAAGTCGAGGGAAGAAAAAAAATTATACGCAGAAATCTCCAGTTGGGCTCGAATGGGGGAGTGATGTCTGTCAGATTACATTGCGCATAGAAAAATGTCTGTCTGCTATACCCAAACTAGAAATGAGTCTATTGCGAAATATGCATGTTGTAACAATCAATTTTATTCTCTTTACCCATTCAGTTTTTGGGTCCTGAAACGGTCATAGCTCCCCACCCAGAGGCGCTCCGCAGATAAGGAGGACAGATTTGAAATCAGCGCTCCGAGCAGGTCACGATGATATATGTCTTATCTGTTGGTGCTTTCGACTAAGTATCCTCTCCTTATTAGTAATGAATGCGCAAGCTAAGAATAGACAGCTTTTGGAAACCAACTGTGCTCAATTGATACTAGGCTTCCAGCAGAATTTATGAAAATGAAGCTCATTAGATATTTCAAAGAGTTGCTCAGATGATATCGAATTATTTGTCACTAAGTATTTTCCTGTAGGCAGAGTCACCCTCTACGACTTTCTGGCGGTGTCAAGATGTCGAACAGCTCTAGCGATAAATCGAACTTCAAAAGAATTTCCCCTAATATGCATATGAAAGAGGCATCTGTAGTAGTGATGGTTGTAGCTAACGTAAGAAATGGAAAACTGTTATTGACACAAGCAACTAAGCTTTGACGCATGCACTTATGAACAGAGACGTGCAAAAGTAAACTGATACGTTTTATTAGCTATTCATTTTTTTGGCATACTTAGTGACAGAGTTCAAGATCAATGATAGGGATATACGAGATACATTTCAAGGAAATTGTGGAGCTCTAGCATACTTCCTTGTCTACAGCGGAGATGATATCCAGCGTCACATACGTCATGTCATAAACGGTGTTGATTTTCGACTTTTGAATATCAAACTCGGTGACTCGTTTGCAGCCCTGAATTTGATTTTTTAGAGTAAGTTTTGGTAGAGATCTAATTGTGTACAAACCGGTTTCACATTGCAAGTGTGTGTGATTCTGAGGAATGGCTCAATGGAGCCGAATTCATCCTGGCCTCCTTTTACAATAAACTCGCCTTCTTTGCCCGTTGTCTTTGAGTCTAGAAGGTCGTTGGGGTCGACTGAAAAGCAACATATCAAAAAGCCATCTTGTGCACTTAGTAAAAAATGGGCGATGCTTTTGAGGTGAAAGGAGACAAACCACGAAATTTATTCAACAAAGCGAGATAAACTGTATGTATAGAAAGTCTTCTCTTTTCATCAGAATAATTTCAAAGAAGAACAGCCAAAATACTTACGGGTATCTCTCTCCCACAGTTCCACCAAAACGTCAGCCATTCGCTTTTTGTTACAAATAGTGGTGCCCTTGACCGTGACATTTTGCATTTTCGCATGGACGGCGACAAGCACAGCGGCCGAAAGCAGCAGTAGCGAATTCATCTGCAACGATGGAAATGAGAAAATGTGACGGCCTTTTATGCTGTACATCACCATGTACATTGATAGACCAAGACACAAAGAAGTGGAGAGAAAAGTAAATTTGTTTGACATCCGCCCCGAAACTGGTTGTTCGCTGAGTCATATGTTTTTTGTAGTGGTTAGACACATACTTCGGGTATTTCAAGGAAATACAGACTGAATAATCTTCATCGCTTTGTGGTCTTATGGAAGGCGAGTAAAGATTCACTTGAAGTTTGGAATATTTTCTGAACAAAAAACACGTATCACTGCTACCATTGTCAAAGCTCATTCCTCCAAACCCTCACTTTCTTCGACTGCATTTTTCGATGTGAAACAATGGGAAAGCAACTTCCCTATTAAGTAAAAAGTCAGCCCAAAGCATTCTTGTACTCAGTACACAGAAAGCAGAGAAGACTCAGATTTGAGATGTAACCATGCCGTAGAATGAATGGAGGTTGGTGGTATACGCCTTTTACCGACGGCGTGAAAACAAAGGAGGCAATGTTGTACAGTGAAGATTTCATCAAATGCGTCAGATTATCAACTTCCAATGCTTCGCCCGCCTATAGTTGGAAGAGAAAGACATGAATTTTGATTTGATGCACAAGAGAGCTTGTGTTTCTAGCTAGATACTTAATTCTGGTTCCCAGCAAAGGTTTTAGAGCTTTTTCCCAAACGATGATGAGATTGCTTGCATTGATTGTTCATTAGGTCGTATGGATAAAGTGCTAGAAGTTTGCGCGTTCTTTAATCACTGAAGGATACACTCCTATTAACATTGACGTTCTGCTAAGCTATTTATACTGTTCTAAGGAGTCAATATATGTATAGGGGATTCCAAAAATCGTGACGGTGGCGCGACCGCGCGCGACGCGCACGCATACCTGCCAACTGCTATTATCTTGGTTTTCATCTCTTTCAGATGGTTTTACTGCTTACATATGTTAGCATTCAAACACTGGAAGTGACTGAACTGACAGTTGAAGTGATGCCTTTTTGGAGTATTTTCTACTTTTCTACTGGGCGCAAATACCGCAGTCAAATCCGTCGTCACGATTTTATAAATGACCTATACATGGGTCGTTCCAAATTGAAAGTTCTCATTTGATGAAAGGATCCGCTTTCTTGGAAAAAATATAGCCGTAATTTGAATGTGTGGCACTTCTAGTTTCGGTAGCGATTTTCTGGCTTTGGTATTCATCTTCTGCAACTTGGAGACGATATCTCAGTAGAAACCTCGCTATCATACAGCCATTCTTACCGCCCTTAATTTGGGTGGACGCTTTCTTCGATGAGGGCCGCATGCATGTGCATCATCTGGAAAGGGTAACGCAACTCAAAAGCAAATTTCTATTCCGAAGCTCCATAGCCCAGAACGATGTCACTCTATCTTCAAGTGTTTCCTCTATCCTTTACCACAGACATATTGAACGGAAGCGTCCCGCCATATAAGCTGCACTTTCAACCTTTTTGTATGTTGTTCGATGATCCCCAGCGGTCAACCATTTTTTCCTTAATGTCATTTTTAGGAGATATGAATTTCAAAGTGGTGCTGATCATTTAATTTAGCAGTGTCAAGCATGTTTCTAATCAGAACAAATGAAGTATAGTAGTAATGGAACTTTGGTGAACAACAGATCGAAACTCAAGTATCAGAATTTTACTAAATAACTCATTTGTTCTCCAATGCTTGGGCATACCAGATCAAATAATCAGCACAGGTTTGGTGATCTCTTTTATAAATGTGGAGGAAAAAGTGGCTTTCAAGAAAAGATGGTGGGCCAATGGGGAGAGAGACCGGCACAAAGTGGGCAAATGTAGCGGAAATCGTTTTGGATGGAAAGCAAAGTGAAACTCGTTAATAAACGTCTACATGTACACACACTCTCTCTCTTGACAAGTTCTACAAACTGACATGCAAAAACACGATTTTGCTAGCGCGTCATCTCAGAGCATAATGCAGAGTATTGTGGAAAAACCAGGATGGCTGAAGGTTATCGCAATCTTTTTCAAAATCTCCCACTACCATAAAATGATAGAACGGTTCGTTAGCAACTCACGACAACGATATGACACGAAATTCTGTACACACATTCAGATCAGGGAGCAAAGTATAAAAAATTGTGCAAAACCGAATGTGAATGGAAAGCGTGCTTAACTTTTTTCCAAATTAGGTTGGCAATTGCCGACCCAATGTAGGCAAAACTTTCCCTATAAGTCATTCAGCACTTTTACTTAAATATGTTCTCTAAACTTTAGTACATATTAACATTTTGGTTCTGAAACTCCTCTTTTCCCTAGGATCCGAAATATCAAACGGCGGTCTTTGAGAAAAAATGCTCGCTCTAACCGAATAAATGGCAAAGTACAACAAAAAAAGAACTTGAAGATAGCTAGGCAGCGTGAAATCCAGTCTGCGGAGCTTAAAATATGAATGCCATTTCTCGCACGAAAAAAAACCCTGGGTAAGTTCGAGAAGCATTAGACGAAGGGAAGCTTGATCATGTTCTGAAAAATTTTTGGCGACGAGAGTGTTGGCAATATCATAATGAAATACTACTCAGGTAAACCGTATATTTGCCAAGGGACTGTAAACCATAAAGCAAAGCTCACTGCTCATTGTCTGTAATTTCACGTGTTTTGCTCTGCCGGATTTTTGTTTAAGGAAAGTCTGGGAATCATTTTGGGTAAGACTTTGCATAGGCCCTACTGTGCACATGAATGTCATTGACCGCTAATCTTGATCGGTCATAAATATGAGCTGCATTGGTGGGACACCGTGGGTCGAGGGCAAATTCTACGCTTAATCGTTAGCGATCGGACAATTTGCCAAAATTCTTCAAATCCAACATTGGCAGCTATAAATGCGCAATGACAGGCAAAATACAAAGTTGGACGCAAACAATGGTGCAGTAGATGTAGACGACACAACAGTCATCATACATCATGACAGACCCTGTACAATCACAACACACGATATTGGCAAAGGATCAAGGCTGTATTCACATCTAAACAACAAAAGCGGAATCAACGTAAAGAAACATAGAAGCAGAAGGAGAAAATGTATCTGCTGTGCAAGCAATGGCTACATTACCCAAAGTAAAACACCTCAGAGAAATAAATGGTTTGGGCCTGTAGAATTGAGTCACCCCAAAAATCATAATCATGAAAAAGGAAACAGAACTCGAACTTTTGTAAATCTACAGTCGAGTAGATTTAGCGGTAAATATAGTGTGCTTGCACAGAGGGTGAAATGCGGTGAAATTTGCGCGTGAACAAGTAGCCACGTCAGTACCGCGGGTATCTTGCGCGCGCAATTGGCCGGCGTCACAGTCGAAACTATTTCTTCACGCGCCAATTTTACCGCATTTCACCTTCTGTGCAAGCACACTATATTTACCGCTAAATCTACTCGACTGTACTCCAGATGAGATTTTCTACATGAGGAAACAAAAGACCTGGAGCATCAATGCAAGTCTAAATCAAAACTCTCAAGATCTCCTTCGCACCTTAGCGATGCGTCCAGTCGCCGGTCCCCAGCGACGCGACATCGCTTAGTTTTGCCGAAATCAAGGCGGTTATCGTTGGGAAACTAAGCTCTAGCAAGAAAAAGGTCAGCGTCCTTCGTACCTGACGACTACCACAACACCGTTGCAGACGATGGGCATGCAGTGAGTGTGTAACAGAGTTGTTGTTCCGTACAAATAGCGCAGCGACGAAATCGCGGGCATACGCCCTAGACCTTACAAAGAAAGGACACCGACTTAACCCTTTGGGACCTGGCGGTGGCAGTGCCACCACCAAGTTTGAAGGACCGTAGCATCGCCGCGACAGCATGTTTCTGGCACTCCTAGTTATAGTAGCTTGAAATGGCCTATTGCTTTCTATCTGCGCGTCCACTCGCATTTTTATTCGTTCTGCGCTTGGTATCAAAAGCAATTGCGTGCGAAGCAACACTGGATCGCGCTCGACTTCGAGATCTGATAGGTTAATGCCAATTTTTTTCTAGAACATTGTGTTTTTATTCATATTTCCATTGTAACTGTTGAGTGTGAAGTTGTTCAAAAAAATTGACAGTTGTTTGTGAGTCCACATGTGTTGACTCCTTGCCGTCATCTTCGGAATTGCTGTACGCAATTGCCACAAGTGGGCTTTAGTGGAACTTTGATGAAAGGTTTTTTACTCAGAAGAAGGACCGCCAACGAGCTTCGACAAGAATCTAGTTAGCATATCTCAACAAATCATCTTGGGAGAAGCTGCGGCCGCATCATTGGCGAAGATGATATTGACGAGGAGTTCGGACACATTGGAGAAAGCGACGAAAAGGAGCACGAAGATGAGAAAAGGAAAGTTCTCTGGCATCGCGAATGAACCAAAACAAGGAAGACAGGCTCCAATTTTTCGAATATCACGAATGCACCTACTAGTTCCAACAAAATGCGTGAAGCCCAGATTGAGACCTTTAAGTGAAGTTAGATATGACAGCGTCGGACAGTGGCCTATATGAAGATGGTAACGAACAACGCTGTAAACTAGAATCTTGTAAAGGACGTTCTCGAATTCAGTGCTAGAAATGTAAGGTTCATCTTCGCGATGAAACATCGAAATTGCTTCTGAACATTCCATTGTAGTTAAAAAGGTGTAATAAAAAGTGTTCCACTGAAGCCCGTTGGTAGCAAATGCCACTATTTTGTAATTTCTTACTGTGTGGTCGAAAGCTTTCCAAACTTAACTGAAATGTTATTTATGTGCCCATAAGTAAATCAATGAGAAAAAATTTCTTACCTACGGAAAAAAAGTCAGGTCCGAAAGGGTTCAACTGAGTTGAGATAGACGGCTAGATGTATATCGCTAGACGCGTCATTAGACGCTGATTCCAAATCTGCTTTTCCTTCTTCTGGAACAACTCTACGAGTGAAGTCATTGGCGTATGTCCAAATTTGTCAAGATTTGTTTGGCTTAGGATTGATGTAAAACTTTACAAACACCTATGCTGACTTCCCTAGCCGTGTTACTTCTCTTAGTCAATATACTTGATACGAAATTAATTAAACTAGTTTCATAAGTACAAGAAGTACCTGTTTTTTTTTCAAACTCGACCAGCCTGAACACACCAAAACATTTCGCAACCAAAGGACCCTATACTGCATATTATCTGAGAGTAACGTGCTGCATAAGTTCCGTTTTCTGAAACATAGCGAGGCGACTGAGCGGCTTGCAAAAAAATTGAAAAAGGTGGGTCTTGTGTTCGTGAAATTGGGGTACCCACGGTGTTTTTGTACAGCTTTTCGATATTTTATGCCACTTGAAGCTTGACAAATTTAGAATTCTGATAGATCTAATTTCTTTCGGAAGAGAAAATGCAGCTTTGGAATTAGATGCGTCTAGTTATATAGGATGGGGGATATGTGTTGCCGATAGTCTCCACCCGGCGCGGACAGCTGGTACAAATCCGTGGCGCATTGGATGCATGGTTGCCTTTTCTGTTGCAGATGTTCACGTAGGGCCACCCCCTTTCAGCAACATATAGCACTTTAAACGTATATACACCTCGTCTTCAATGGCCAGCTTGAGCTGATATCCTTCCCTTATTTGTAAACTTCTTTCACAGCACTCTGATACAAGTATCCATCATTTTTAGTCCTGCGTTTGCTCGAATGGTGGCTTTCAACAAGGTTCTCTGTTAGATGGGAAATTGGTTCCAGGCGAGAATGTCACCTGGTTGGTAACATGCTTTTGCTATAAGCCGATACAATGCTGACTTTTAGGTCTAACATTCGTACTCCAAGTTCTCATGGTGGGAGTTATAGTCCTAGATATAGTGCTCGGAATCGTGGGAATTGTCATCTTCGCAGTTCAGTCAAAGAAACTTTCGAAAAAATTAAGGTTGCGGGTATGGTTTTGAGTACTTTGACGAACAGCTAGCGCAAAGGAAAATTCTGTGCGTAAATTCGATACAATTAGCGAGTATCAAGTGAGAAATTTTTTCTTCGAAAGCTCAGGGAGAGCGGTCGAACGCGACCGTGTGCGCTGACGTCTGGAGGTCTCTTCCGTCCCTAGCCTTCACAAAACTTGCTGTTGATTCTCAAGATTTTTACCTCCAACTAACTTCAGAAAATATTTCAGCCCGGCGGAAGTCGACCAAAGGAAGGCGAGGCGGTAATTGATTTGCACCCTATGTTATATTCACGGGGGGTGGTGCAGGAGGAACCAAAGGCTGGCGCTTATATCCGCAGGAGATAATTAAGAGCGCGAGCGTTGTGGAGAATATTTTGGCAGGGATCCAAGAAAACTCGGCAAGGACATCCTTTAGGACGAATTCTTCATAATCTCGCCAGGAGATGACTTCGAAAATTTTAAAAAACATATTTGTAATGCAAATTGGAAGGCGCCACTGGGCCTAAAAGTAAATGAAAGTTTGGAATTGTAGTAATTGGTAACATAAGTCAACTACCTTATAGAACCTTCTTGTTTTGAATTTTGAAGTTTCAAATTGTTGAAGCCCGGGGTTTTCATTCAAAATTCTTCTTCGAGATAAAGAGTTACTCATTCTAATTTTAAATTTTGACATTAGAGACTTCATAAGATCTGCCATTGAAACTATGCCGGTAATTCTTTAGGTCGTACACAGTAGCAAAAGTTCATGAGATGCAACTTAGTTAACATTATTTCCTTATTACTATTTCATGCTTTCAACTTCGTATCCAGAAATTTCACTAAAATTGTTGGAATTTTCACCCAACGTTTGGCTTGAAATTTCAGTTTAGAATGGTGAATTTTGAAGGCACAGTTTTTGTTAAAATTGAATTGCGAGACAGAGTTGTTCAACTATCCGGTAAGCGTATTATTGAAAAATGCGCATTTCATCACTGATTCCTAATCTGTCCTTCGTATCCTTGAAACTTGATTCCAAGGAGAGTTACAAGGGTTTGTTTTTAATGGATGTCCTGGCCAAGTTTTCCTGAATCCTTGCCAAAATCTTCTCCACAGCGCTCGCCCTCCTAATTATCTCCTACGGCTACAGGCGGCAGGCCTTTGGTTCCTCCTGCACCGCATCCATATTTATCAACGTGCACTAAACATTTTCAATTGTGATTTTCGTTTCAGGAAGAGGTAGCGCTTGTAGGACCAGAAGAAGAGGTAAATCTGTCATCAGTTGTTTGTCCAAAAATTTATAGAAATCGGTTCCTCGACTTTTGCAGGAAGATCCAGTTTTTGGATTTGTTGGGATGCCGCGCAATCAACCAAGGAAAGGGAAAGATTGTCCGAAATTTGTTATAATTCCTCCAGCAGTCCCGAGAAAAATGTGAGTTGATAAGTAGAATATTGAAGGCGTTTGGAAAAATCTGCTTTCAGCAAAAAACGCACACAAATCATGCGGTAGGCTACTTAAACATATCGCTTAGAATCAGACTTTCCGAAGATTTTCTATTATTAATTTAGGGAACAAGGAGCAGCAGCAACGTAAAATTGTGCTTAACATTGTCATTCGCCATGTTTTATTGTCATTGTCAACTGAATGTACTGTGCATTTTGGATGCATTTTTCAAGAATAAATATTTTTTAAAAAATTCTCTAGTAGTGACTGGAGTGAAAGACAGGATAAAGGCGTAAGAAATGCGAGCAGAGGTTTACCATGTGTCTCTGCCTTATCGTCTAACTTGATGAAGGAGCGGAAGTTTGAAAAAAAACCCCAGCAAATCTATTAATTACTACATAAAAAAATTATTGTGTTACAAGAGAAGTGATCGAGAAATGGCTGACAAAAATCATAGCACCAGCTTCACTTGGTTTTCTGTTTTGGATCACTCAAAGATTTGACTGTAAAGAAATCACTCGCATTACTGTACTAAGCTACCGTTTTTTGTGACAAGTGGATACTTTGTACTGGAAAAGTGCAGTGTACCCAAGTATTGAAGCACGCTGATGAGCAATGAAAAAATATTCACTTTAAATATTCAGCTTGAAGTCATTTAAGCTTTTGGAGGTGCTCCCATATAAAGATGGATCTTTCGAAAAACAGTCGGCTATCGTGACCGTATCTACTGAAACTTTGATCAAGATTAGCTCTCCCAAACCTCTGGAAAAGTTCTAGTTCTCTCGGATTTGAGACGAGGCGCAGTGCAAAAGGAAGTGCAGCAACCCCTATACGGTTTTGAATCCTGCCTGAATTTATAAAAGGTGAAAGTCAAATTCAATTTTCGAGTGTTTTCAACTTTGCAACTATGATCTTCTCACGGGGAGTTTGAATACAAAGGCTTTCTGCCTTGGGGATAAGTTTTCAAAAATTCAAAAAAAATTTTCCATTATTCGTCATGATTATAGGACGTCTCCGGCAAAAATGTATTTTTATAACTCAACCTGCGGTATTACCATGCAGCTGCGACGACAATCAACAAAAAAAGATTCAGCTGTTACTTTAACTAAAAAAAAATTCAGGAAAACGGCAACTTTGATGGCTGTTCTAAACATATTTGGAAAATGCGCAACCTCCTTTTTCACACACATTGTTATTTTGAGACTCCGTTAGGATTCAGGAGTGCTGACTTATTGTCAAAAATCCTAAATGTAAAAAAATTGATATGATACCTTTCCACAACTATTTAGACAGAAAAGATACATTGAGGTTATGTATGACAATCTATGCAGCTGGGGCATTTTCAAGAGCAAATGTTTCACCGCAGTTTTCCTTAACTGGTCAAAATATATCGACCTTTTCACAGTTCGTTTAATTTTTTAGCATTTTACTAGTAATTAAGATTTTTTTTTACAAGCTGAAGAATTCCACACTGCACTCCTTGCCCTTTCTGCGACTAGTGGAGGCATAGGAATGCGAAATTTTGGAATATCTACAGTATCCTAGGTACTCCTCAAATCAAATTCCACCAATACAATTACTGTAATTACTGCCTATGGTGTAATGATGATTTATGAAATGCGAGATGAGAGGTTTGCGTTAATTGCGGGTCTATTGTACGCAAGTGGCAACAAGGCGAGGTCATGAACTCTCATAGGTGTGGGGATAATTAGGAGAGAAACTAGCAGTACGTAATCACACTAAAGGGTGCACAGTTTACAGTAGTTGAGCAGTTTGTTGATCTAAGCATCGAATATTTTACTTACTTTTCATTTTTTTCCCACATTTAGAAGTCAAATTTCATTGTTTCCTATTCCCCAATGTAATGATCGAAATTGAATTTTTCTTCAAGGCATAAGTTAGACTCGTTTAGCCGTTTTGAATACGGTAATGATGACCTCATGTATGTCGTCGTTTTGACACTTTAATAGCCATTCTAATGTAGTGCAGGGGTTAAGAGGCAGCCGACATATGGACCCTTATTGTACTCGAATGTTGCCCCTCTTCAACGTCCGCATACACTCTCAACCATTCTTTTCCATACACATTCAATGTCAATTCATAGCCATCTACAGCTAGCTACCATTAGCGAGGTCTTCGGTCTTCGATAGAACAACGTTTAGTGTTGAGCATTCTCATAAACATAGACTTCTGATCGGATACAAATTTTGCTTGCATCTGAGCTTCACCATTTTTCAAATTGTAATTGCCACGGTACTTCTTCTCTTTTCTAAATGTCAAAATCTCTTATGCGATAATTACATCGAAATTTACAAAAGTAGGATTTTTATGCGTTAGTATTCGAAGCAAGGCTCTTGATCGTGTATCAGAAAAACTTGCTCCGTACTAGGTACAATACTCTAGATAATGACACTCCCATGAATCGTTACTTAATTTCCTTTTTACTTCTCTGTGGAGCTTTCGAAGAAGGATTTCTTTCTATGCAATTTTATATCTCTTTAGAGATGTGGTACAAAAAATGTTAGCTTAGTAAACGCTGGAAAACCTTTGTGAACGGCTCAACAAAGGCAGGTGTTTATAAGCATCAAATGGAATAGGATACGTTATGTGAAATCGCAATTCTTTAGATATTCAAATTTTACCTTTGAACTTGTGAACCACTTTATGGGTGTGCGTTATACCATGGAAGTTTCCATTAACTACAAAAACATTCTACAAACAAAAGTATACGTCCACCTAAAGCATAAGCTAAACTTCGGCGGAATAACGGGAAGAACTGCCTTTCAGAAACTGGGGGTGTGTAGATACAGAGGTCCTTATGAAGACATTTGATCCTTACAGCTTTCGCCTGTACAATTTCATAGAAAACAGAATGAACGTCAGTGAGAGGCTTCACAACGTTACCTTGTCAGACATTTCATCTCTTCTCCATTTATTTTGTTACTCTACAGCTACAGTTGGCCCTCTTGTGATTTACTTTCTTGATCTTCTATAGTGCTTAGTTTATTGTAACTCCTGTCGTTACTCATGCTGATTTTTGAGTTTCAGAAGGTTACAAGGTAATGATGGCTGATTCACATCACTCGGACTATGTTAAAGTGCTAAAAATCAAAGGTAAAATTTTCTTCTGGTGCTTCGGTTAAAAAAATAAACAAGAATACAGGATTTTTGCCGTTAATTTTTCGCGCATTTTGTTAACTTCCCGTCAGCAGTTGATATTCTCAGCGTGACCGATTCTCATAATTTTGCAAGAAAAATTAATTTGAATTTTTGCCCCTCACAGAATTTCCTTGCTTCTCGTAGTATTTGAAATCCGTTGATAAAACTGCATTAGAGACATGTCTAGGTCAGAACGGAGACCCTCACATCCGGAAACCAATTGGGGAGCCTCGAAAAGCCATTGCCTAAGCGGCAGTCCTTAGGTATATTTGTGGGCAGGAAATCAGATCTAAACTTTTTCCCATACCGTACCCTTCCAATCGCCCCAACCAGCGTCGAGTTACGGTCTGAGCGAGAATTCATGTAGATCAAACTGCTTGACCGCGAATGAATTATATGAGCTGCCACTTGTAGGGTGGCTTAGCTAAGGGTTCAAAATCAGTCTCTCTCAAAATTAGTCGCATAAGAAACACAAGTACCCAAATTTGCCTAGACACTGCCTTCATATGGAACACTTTTACAATTGCCTTCTCTTCAGGAGCAAATGGTGAAGAACGCACGTTGCAATTCCCGCTTAAACTCGACCTTGAACGGCCAAAACGTCCGCGTACGACTTTTTCCGAAGAGCAACTTCGGCTGCTCGAAGAGGCATTTCAGGAGAATGGCTACTTGACTGGCGAGGCACGACTCGCCCTGGCTACTCGACTAGCCCTAAGCGATACTCAGGTGAGTACAATGGAACGAACACAAGAGTGCTTTGTTATATAGAAAGGAACATTTTCAAGCAAATGTTGAGTCGTAATTAGCTATTATGTTGTAATAGTGTATGCAATTGAAGACAGATGCACTACTAGATGATTTCAAACGCGATGTCCAGGCAAAAAGTACTGGCTTCTCATATAGCCGAAGTCTAATCGGAAAGTTAAGCCATTGCCCAAAAGGCAGCTCAAATTTTTCATCCTTGGCCAAGAACTTAAAATTCACTTTTGTCCGGTCCGTAGCTTTCACGAGCAGACCAATTGCGGGATATATCGGGCGAGATTTTCGACTTGGATTTCGCGCACGAATGAATCATATGTGTTGGGCTTAGATAATGTCAATAATATATTCTGATCGGTATCCACACTTGAAATTCACGCCATATTTCCTAAGAAAAAGTCAGATCAAATCCAAAAAGTCTGATCTCTCGATTGATGATATTGCGCCGTACTGGTGTTCGTGTATTATATTTTAGCTCCATAATTGTACCATACTCCAGCTCCATATTTGGTGGTCCAGAAAAGCGCCATCGTTTATGTTGAGACTGTTTATCTTGAAGAATCTAGAAGTGTAAAAGTAAAGGTATAACATGGTATATACTGTTTAGTCTTCAGGTAAAGGTTTGGTTTCAAAATCGTAGGACAAAAAGCAGGAAGAAGGCGACGACTGAAGAAAACAGGTAAAATATCATTTAAAAGAAGTTAAGATTTTTTCTATCAAAACACGTGTTTTGATTCAATCATTTACTATTTTCAATTTGACGTCTAAATTAAAAGCCAAAAATTCAAATTTAGGACAAATATCATCTCTCCAAAAGTAGCCACAACGACGTCACAAGCTCTACCGGCACAACCATCTTTACATTATCCAGGCTACACGTATCCTCAGCAGCAGTTCATGACATCTACGCCATTCTACCCTTTTTCGACATTAATGCCTTCACAAATACCGTTCTGAAAAGTTTGTAAATAAAGTGTAGTGCTTTCCGACATTAGAAATGTTGATGGCTCAATATTGGAGTTTGAAAAGACATTCTTTTTCAGTTCCATCCTATATCGTATTTGCTGCAAGCAAATCTTTCTGGAAATTGCGTAACTGGGCTCATGCAAAGCTTTGTGGAAGGCTACTTTCCATCAAAAATTTCCTCCATGCCGTTTTTCTTGAACATTTTCACAGCCAAGCATGTCGTGTCAGATGAGATTCTCTAACTTCAGCGCACTAATGTGTCTTTCCTAGAAAAACACACGACAATCTCCAAGATGTCACCGCAAGGACGAAGTGTATGATAGATGCCACACTGGACCTTGAATGTTGCATTTGCTAAGGCTCCTTTTTATTAGGCCGGTCCAAAAGTTCGTGCCGTTCTTCAACCCACTTATAAGCACATAGAATAAATGAAATGTTTTTTTACGACAAATCGATGCACTTATTATTCGATTGCGAATGATTCGATCCGAAAAGCTATGATTTCGAGTATTAACCGGTAGTCAGAACGGTCAATAATTCGGTTATTCGATGTTCATTGATTAATCGAATAATCGGTGAGCATCGAATATTAAATTCGATATCCGACCATACGGAGTGTCTACGAGCTACACACTTTTTGATCTCTAATATCTCTTTCCACACAACAACTCTTGCCAATCTTTGGGGTGCCATTTCGTAGAGGTCGCTCCAGCTTACAACTGCAGATCACCCTCTCTTATCAATGCGGGATTACGATAGAAGCCTTGGCATATAGAGTCACTATGAAATCGGCCGCTTTACAGACCTTCTCCAAAAAGAAATCCAAAAATTCGTTCAGAAGTGTTTTCACTATGCTGCTTTCACTACACAACTTCTCACGAATTTTTGAGCTTTTGATGAGCCAACACATTTGGAGAGACATCGAAAAAATTTTCAAGTACCTGACTCTTACAAAGCACTACAGATGGGCGCAAATTTCGTATTCTCAGTAACGTTTAATACCCTAATGTATGCGCTTTTGGATTTTTCTATTTCCTTTCTCAGGCAAAAAATGGCCCATCTGTCCCTCTTCAGTCTTTCTAAGGTGATCTTACAGCAGTAAAGTGCTATATAAGTTAAAGCAGAACTACAGACTAGTATCTAGCTCGGCAAAAACGTGGGAGGAGAATTATCAAATATCCTACTATAATAACGCGCTAAGGCCGATTGTTTTTTGTGTGTGCGTCTGTGTGAAAATCTATCTGTTAGAAATTCCTAGAGGAAGCTGCAACTAAGCTATCGGGCTGCAATTCTGCATAACATACCGTGCCAGCGTGTAGGCTCACCATGCGCAAGGACAAGCCGGTTCGATAAGCGGGTCCCTCAAAATTTGCGCTCAAACAGGTCCACGCGCTTTTTGGCATGCAAAACTGGGTCGCTAACTCGACTTTTTGCAAATGATTTGCCGGACAAGTAACTCTGCTTGCCATGAATTCTAGCCCAAAAAGTGCTCAAGAAGTTTGTTTTTTTTTTGCGAAAACAGCGCCAAAAAGTGGTTATCGCCTAGGTAGTCAATTTGGCAAGGTTTTATTTGAAAAACTGAAATGATTTTTGCACAGAAATTTAGCCCAAGGTGACCATTATCCTTATGACGATTATCAAACTAAAGTAATTTCAGTAATCCGTTCAAATTCGCATTTGTTTCCTTGCAACAACGTTTTTTTTTTCTCAAAATTACCGATCTTACATGGAGATGCTTCTTGAATGAACTGACGCACTGGTTGTCAGTAAACTATTAGGGCTAGGGCATCCTGCATATCAACTCACAACCTCTGAATGGGGTTATATTTTTGAAGTCTCATGAGGTAAGCTAAACAGTGTGCAATAAGAGCTTTCCATGTAGCAGAACTTGCTCGATTTCACTAGTCAAGGACGCACGATTCGAAATAAAAATATTTTTGAATTTTTAAAAATTTCTTTACAACAGTATGGAAGTAGGCTTTAGGTGCTCAGGTCTATTGATTTCACCACTGAACCGTTTTCCCATCATAAATTTTAATATAAAAGGTATCTATTCCAGTTATTCGCTGAAACAACTTACTGATAGCCCATAGGCGTCATCTCATTGAAATTCAATTTATTCAAATAACATTCGAAAAATGTTATTCAAAAAATATGAGTCGATAGTCGAATATTCGAAATTTTCGATTTTTGAATATTATTCGATATTCGAAAATTTTGATTTTCGAATTTATTCCATATTCGAATAATCGAAAAAATTTCAAATTTCCATAAGTAAATAGCACATGTTGAATTTCATTCTATACCTAGAGTGCTTCGAAAAAAGATGGAAGAAAATGAAGTGCAATCCAATGCATTATTTGGCATTTATATCTGGCTTCTCAGAATTTTTAGAAATATTTTTGGATGCTATCAAAATCTAGAGTTGCTCAACAGGGCTCGGCACGAGGTGGCTAGATGAAAACGGAAAAAACGAAGTCCCCCTTGACTTTTGGGAATTTTTACGAAGTCCCCTTTGACCCTCAACCAAATTTCCTCTAAAAACCTGAAAAATTCCCCAAAATCCCCCAAAAACGAAACGTCGACTAAAAAAAAAGGTCGCCCTCGCCAATTTTCCGTGTCTCTTCAATCACAAAAACGAAACCCCCTTTGCTTTTCGTCCCAAAAACGATATCCAGCTTGCTTGTAAGCCACCTCGTGCCGAGCCCTGTTGCTCAACTCAGACCTCATACGACATCAAGCGGCGGACAACTAGAACATCATTCTGCAGCTTCTCTCACCTTTCTGATGATATTTTCATTCTGTTCTTAGAGACTTTGAGGGTAGAATCATCAGTTTTCGATATTGGACGCACTCCGTGCTGACCGGCATTTTAAAATTGATATATCGAAGCACTAGCGCTTATTTGCTCTGTAAAAAATAATGCGAAATCAGTCAATTTTTGAAAGTTTCGAATTAAGAAGATTGACTGGTGTTTGATGCTTTTATGGCACAACGTCGCAGACCTGAATACTTTTAATATGACTATCTTGGAACTTAATGAAAAGAGAGGTGGAGGTCTTTTTCAAGCTGCGCTTCTCAACTCCATTCAGCTATCAAAGCCCTTCCAAAAAACTAGAATGAAATTTCATACAAAATGGAAGATACATGGTTTCAATTATGGGTTCGAAACTCTGTGGATTACGTTATAGTGAAGTAAATTGAATTTTTAGGGCGTCTAAAAATCTAAGCAAAATCTTTATTGATTTCTCAGTAGAACGAGTCCTAAGCAAAATATTTACTCTGAGATTACGAATATTATCGAGATACGCTGTCGCTCCAGAGTGATTTTTATGATAATTAGTTCTCTTGAGAATTTGTTTATTGTCCATAGATAAAATGTTTTAGTATGCTTGTCAATTACCGGAGCGGATGTACGATTACACACACATTCTAAAAGGTATATTTATGATAAGGTCATTTCGAACATATTTCCTTTTTCGCCGATTTATGACTTATTCCAGAGTGAACGATTTTGATACGTCCGTGCTGCATGCTCTACATATGTTTCGCTATAGTATTCAAAACTGCCAGTTTTGTACGAATTCGTCTCTTTGAATTTGACCACTTAAAATTCCTATTTTGAAAAACCACACAGTACATTACAATGCAGCAAAACGAGCCTGGAAAAATCATGTGGGGCAGCAAGCGGTAGCCTACTCACTGCAAAAAGCTTGGATGAGGTTTGTCTACGGGAACGGCCATAGGTTGTCGGTGTTGTCGGTGTTGTCGATGTTGTCGGTGTTGTCGGTGTTGTCGGTGTTGTCGATGTTGTCGGTGTTGTCGGTGTTGTCGATGTTGTCGGTGTTGTCGGTGTTGTCGGTGTTGTCGATGTTGTCGGTGTTGTCGATGTTGTCGATGTTGTCGGTGTTGTCGGGTTTGTCGGGGTTGTCGGTGTTGTCGGGGTTGCCGAGGTTGCCGGTCGTTATAGGACCTCATGATAGCCTCCACGTCTCGCGCGCTCTCTAAACTGTCTCTGACCCCGACAACCCGGGCAACACCGACAACATCGACAACATCGACAACATCGACAACACCGACAACACCGACAACACCGACAACATCGACAACACCGACAACACCGACAACACCGACAACATCGACAACACTGACAACCTATGGCCGTTCCCTACCAAAAAATTATTTACCAGCAAACATTTAGAAAATGGACATTCCTCGAAAAAATTCTAATCATTTCCGAAGAAAAGATTGTAGATTGTGGAAATATTGAGGGAAAAGCAAGTGACCTACAAAATAAAAACATAAAGACGGACAATAAACAAGGTAAGAATGATGCCTTGCAAATTTCTTAAATCATCTGGCCTTTTCTATTCAATTACAATTTAGTCAATGATGGAGCGACTTGATGTCACTTCTGAACTTCTCGAGATTCTTGAATATGGTCTGCAAGAGTTATTAGTCTCTGCAGGTTTTTTTGCTGGACTATTTTTTCAAATTCTGAAAAAAAACTACTTTTGAGAGTTATAAGACCTCGCGCACTCTTCCGAAAAATCTTAAATTTCCAAATCTTTTTGGACGAGATGAAGTTGCAGTGCCCTCTTCCCACCATTACGGAAATTTATTTTAGAGCGCTGATGCAGGAAAAACGTTGTCGAAGAAAACGCTAACTCCCTCCCCTCCCCCCCCCCTCTTTTTCCTTCTCAGGAAAATTCTACGAGCGTCAATACAGAAAGTTACAAGATTTGGCAATGCATCTAGCCCTAACCTGCCATCTTGCAATCGGCAAACATTTGACATAAGATCACATTGAAAATCGAAGCATTACCCACACTTCCAACCATGTCTAACCATGTCTTTCCCGATAAACCCGAGAAATGACCCGTAACAATTTGTCGTCTGCGTCTCCAAGGATGCCGTTGTGTCGATTCAAAAAGGCGACCTCGCGCCCTGGTTACCGTACCGTCTGCGAATCTAGGCAGCGTGGCCGCCATTTGAAAATTTTCGCTCGCCGCGACCTGGTGACAGTTTATCGTTCGGGTAAACCTCTTCTGGGAGTACCAATTCTCGCATTCTTGGAGTATCCAGTTCTTATCAGTAGTCAAACTCTCTATCATATTATTGTCGATGTTTTAATTCTATTTCGGGTAAGGCAGAGTTCATTTTTAGTGTCTTCTTTGCTAACCACGGCTCAACTGACTCCATAACAGCTAACATCACTTTTGACCGAAGCTTTGAATATGATGCTTCGGAGCAGAAACAGCAACAATGCGAATATTGTCAACAATCAGAAACCAGGTAATCATGGTCTTCTCTTAGCAGTTTGAGGTATTCTGGTGTCATCTTCAAGTAAAGCTCTTTTCAGGAGAAGTAAAACGTGGCAAGAAGCAGTCAATTGTAACCGGTGATGACCCGCTTGAGCCTAAGGCTAAACGACCTGCATTTGCTGACCTGAGTCGGGTCAGTGCTCCATATTGATCGGTCTTCGGTATCTAGAAACGTAAGAGTAAGAAGAACAATGGCTTAATGATGACGAGGAGATGGTATTCAAAACCCTTACTTGCACATTGGTTCTCGCTAATTTGGCTCAAATATACCCTATCTGGAAGAGCATTAGGTTCTTCCAGAAGGGTATATTTGACATTCTAAAGCAGAAACATTAATTAAAGGGGTACCTGTTTGAAAAACTGTGTTGTGCTACTCTAACATATGTCAGGAGAGAAATGTGAGATGTAGAAAAGTATAAACAAAGTATCACGCACCGTAGCAGTACATTTTACTGAAAAGCTTTCTGATTTGTAGATCACTGTTAGTGTTTTTTACGCTAATTAGACCTATATCTATGTATTTAATTATTTGAAAAGTGTGCCAAAAAATTCACAAAATAAAACTCTCGAAAGGTATATACCAAAAGAAAAATAAGCTTTCCGTTTTGAAACTGAAAAAATGGCTCATCGCCTGGTTTCTCCGGAAGTCTAGGATTTTCATGGCTAACTCGTTAAATAAAGATGTCAGGCAAAGTAACTCCCCACATCATTTTAGAAAGTTGAAGGAATGAGAGGCAGTAAAAGGAATACTTTTGCTAGCCCTGAACGTTGCGTAGGTCATATCTTTGGCAATTATGTGAGCTATGATGCTATTCAGAAAATTGCAAAATGAGCTCGATTCTGATGTTTAAAAGGGCTTGAACCTGACCTTCCGAACATCTCTAAATCAGTGGAGAGCATTTGTGTTGGACATATGAACTCGCAAATATGATCGTTAGGCATATCAGAAGTAAATGTGCAACTATGCAACTTAACTATTAGGTTGTAACAGAATTAATGCAGGTTTTCCTCACCTCTTTTTGAAAGGGCTGGTTCAAAAAAATCCCATTGTCTTAGGTATGCATATCATCTGAAAGTACTCTTTTTCTAGTTTCTTGTGCATGCTTTCTTTTCAAGAGTAGTGGATTCATCTCGAAACCACTTGCTTTTGGAATCGAGAAGCTAAATTTCTGAACTTTTCCCTTTATGAACTTTTCCTCTAAATTCACCGCGAATAATCGCAATGTATCGCAAACTGGCATAATGTTTGTGGGTGACTTGTTCTACAAAACGAACATTGCAGCAGATTTTTCAAAAGTTTCCAGGCTGAGAAATTTCAATTCAAACCCAAGCAACCGCTGCTATCATTTTGCGGCGTATAAGGGATCGTTCAGACCGCGCCGGTACCCGTCCAAACCCGCTCGAATACGTCCGAATACGTCCAAATCCGCCCAAATACGTCCAAACCCGCCCAAATACGTCCGAATACGCCCGAACCCACCCGAACGCCGGAACTGCCAAAGCGCAGCGGGTATGCGGCAAATTGGCATATTGGAGCACGCGCAGAATACTGCGTGCCTCGTGCATATAACTTAGTCACACGTAGCTCGACGTTACATACTGATCTTTTGCAACTACTCCGATTACACAAGGATCAATCCCATGCGTGCTCCAATATGCCAATTTGCCGCATAGCCGCTGCGCTTTGGCAGTTCCGGCGTTCAGGCGGGTTCGGGCGTATTCGGACGTATTTGGGCGTATTTGGACGTATTCGGGCGTATTTGGGCGTATTTGGACGTATTTGGACGTATTTGGGCGTATTTGGGCGGGTACAGGCGCGGTCTGAACGATCCCTAAAAATCCCAAGTGCGAAGCAATCGCAGAGCTTTTGCCATGTGCAGAAATAATAGACTTAGAAGATTTGAAAGCAAAAAACGGGAAGCTGTTATTCTCTTTGGTGGCAAAAAAAATTCAAAAAACCATAAATAAGGATTTTTTCGCTTTTTCAGAGCACTCTAAGAATGACTGATCACAAATTTTTTGCAATATTTTCTAGCAGAAATTTTTTCGTAAAATTCAAGTTTAACGCTGCTGCACAACTGACTGTTGTCTACCCACTGAGTAAGTTTGTATCATCTACTAAATTGTTTGCTAAGTTAGGGATCGGTCAGAGTTTGCCAGTGTTGCCGGTGTTGAAAGTGTTGAAAGTGTTGCCGGTGTTGAAAGTGTTGAAAGTGTTGCCAGTGTTGGAAGTGTTGCCGGTGTTGAAAGTGTTGGAAGTGTTACCAGTGTTGAAAGTGTTGCCAGTGTTGAAAGTGTTGCCGGTGTTGAAAGTGTTGAACGGAGATCATCAGTCTAGCAGTTTCATTCTTTCTCGAACGATCTCACCGTGGTGAATACGTTGGAAATGGAATTGGGGAATGAGAAATGAAACTAGGTAGATGAGATGGGGAATGTTTTCGCATGCAAAAGATCCTCAATCAAACTTTTTGAAAAGTGGACGGCTTGTCTGGAATAGGCAATCTCCAATATTCGAAAACGCTGCAGACCTCACTTAGGTCCTTTACTCACTAATCGCAAGCGCGGCAGGATTCGAACTAAAACACATTGCTACTCAGACGTCAGCTTTCTCAAATACTGGAGATTGCCTATTCCAGACAAGCCGTTTACTTTCCAGAAAGTTTGTTTGAGGATCTTTTGCATGGAAAATCTTCCCCATCTCATTTCAGTTTCATTTCTCATTCCCCAGTTCCATTTCCAATGTATTCACCAGCCGGTGAGATCGTTCGAGAAAGAATGAAACTGCTAGACTGATGATCTCCATTCAACACTTTCAACACCGGCAACACTTTCAACACTTTCAACACTGGCAACACTTTCAACACCGGTAACACTTTCAACACCGGCAACACTTTCAACACTTTCAACACTGGCAACACTTTCAACACCGGCAACACTGGCAAACTCTGACCGATCCCTTACGGTCTCTCAAACTAAAGTCTTTTCAAGAAAACTTTTGGCAGTCTTCCGGCTACAAAATTTTTCTCAGTGAAGCTACAGCGACATACCAGTGCGTACTAATTTGCCAAAGGTTTGCTGATTGCAATAGTTTTTATTGGAAACGGATTAACTATTCCTGTGAGAAGCTATAGTAGTCCAGAGTTACAACCTAATACCTGTGACGAGGTTTTAAGCGTGTCATCTGCCCCGTCCTCGTGTTATTGAAAATGCTAGTGAGGGTGTTTGCAAACCAGAATATAGGTAGTTTATTTTGTAGGCGTTGTCAGTATAACTCGCTGTAATACCATTTTTGCAGTTTTGCTATGCAAAAAAGTTGGCGCATCCATAAGGGACCCGTCATACTTCACCGAGAAAAGCCCAAAAGAGCTCAAAAAAGCTCGAAAGAACAGGAGCGCAGAAACGAACTTTTGGTAGAATTCTGACATTTTTGATGTGCAGACGACAGAAATTGAACCAAAAAAAAGTCGGTTGAGAAAGCAACGCACATGCCTTAGTGCCAAAACGTGCACGCGGAAGGGGGCGTTCCGGTTCTTCCTGACGCTTTTGGGCTTTTTCTCTTTTTCGGGCTTTTTTTGGGCGCTTTTAGGCTTTTTTGGGTTTTTTTGGCGAAGTATGGCGAGTCTAACCCTGTAATGAGAGAACAAATTTCTAGTACGTTGTTTGAAAACTCACCGTGTACTATTATCTGCTGATTGCTCAGCATGGAAAGTACTATCCATGTCCTTTCAGGCAATCTCCAATGTAGTCATCGATTCCTCGAAGAAGCTACATTTGACTAAAGACGGCCGTCGCAATGTAAGGCGCAAGTCGAATTCCGAAACATCCTTGCCTGCAATTACAGAGAATACCGACGCGTAATACTCCCTTTTTATTTACTTGGATTTGGCATTATGTTTATTCTTTTCAGTGAGGAGCTGAGACCAGCAGTGGAGCCGGATCCATGTCCTGCTTATGACTATGATGCTGAAAGTGGACCCGACATTGCAAACGTCTCCGAATTTGCTTTTGACATCTTCAAATACTACAGATCACGCGAGGTTCGTGCTATCATCAAAATTGTTCACATTCTTCCTATGAGCAAGCAAACATGCCGTCCTACATAGGTATTTTGAGTGGGGAATGCACACGTGAGCGTTTTCGAATATTTATATCTATAGCAAATATCTAAAGTATTCTCAAGTGATAACAGTTCATTTACATAATTCATATGTCATGTAGGCTACCAAAGGATCGCGGCACATTTCAAAGGATCTCCTATACACTCTTTCTGTCACTGATATTATTATCTAATGTTCCATTATATTGATTTAGAAGCTGTTTTACATCCCTGACTACCTCCATCAGCACCCAAATCTTAGCAAACAGACCCGAGCAGTACTCGCGGATTGGATGGTTGAGGTAGGAAAAATGCGAAATTCTTGACAACCCACTTTATTTCTGACTTTTTTAGATACAAGAGACGTTCGAACTCAATCATGAGACTCTTTATATGTCGGTAAAGATTGTTGACATGTATTTATCGAAGACCAAAGATGTAGTAAAGGATGATTTGCAATTGTTGGCTAGTGTAGCTATCTTCATTGCTTGCAAGTTCGAGGTGATTTTGCTATTCTCGTTCAAACTTTCCTTAAATATCTACCTATTCAGGAGCGTAGCCCACCTCTTATTGACGATTTTATGTATGTTTGTGAGGAAATGTTCAGTCGTGAACAAATGATCAAAATGGAAATGAAAGTTTTGGACACCATAAACTATGACATTGGATTTCCGCTCAGCTACCGAAATGTCAGGCGCTACGCTAGGGTATGTGATACAAGAAATTTTCATTCGATGCAATGAAAAAAACAGTTTTCGTTATTTTTCTTTTTTCAAGCCCGTCTATTGAGGCATACTGCCGTCATCCGCACAAAACTCACTCAGTTACGACTAGTTTAGGTGACAAAGACTGATATGCCAAAGTTGACACTTGCACGATACGTTCTGGAGACATCGCTGATGTTTTATGAATACATCGGAGTATCTGAATCGTTGATGGCAGCAGCTGCCATATTACTGGCTTTCAAAATGCACGACAAGGATGCTACCTGGTCTGAGTTGCATTTCAACTATGGTCAAGACATCCTGCATTGTTTGTTTCAGGACACCAATCCTCCAAAAATATTCCGGTTACAAAGCCGAAGAGGTTGAACCGATGATGTGGGAGTTGAATCATATGCTGTATAAGCGTCGGGTAATGTACGATCGATTGGAAACTGTTTTTTCGAAATACAGCCATGAGTATGTATATTCGTCTTGTAAGCTTGGAATGCGCTTCCATCGAGTTTTTTCAGAGTATTCTTCTCCGTTGCTTCGGTTCCACTCCTTCCCGATATCTACCCGCTGGACAGACCAGTTCAAGCGCCTCCATCTTCATCTCCCAAGTGATTTTCATTGTCTGAAGCTGTACCACACTGTATTATATAACAAGCATAGGTTGACACGTATTTTGCTAGTTTATATTGTCTATTTAGCAAAGATTTGTTACCTTCTAGGCGTAGTCCTATATCAAATTGCAAAATGTGCTTTCCTCGCCAAGTCTTTTTTCTTTTCAACCTTAGTGAATGCTACTATAGTTTGCGATCACCTCTCTTCTATTTATGATTGTCCGTGCATCACCAAGTAGATCTCTGAGCGGACTTCATCTTTTTCAGACTCAAAAAAGCGGGGAAGATAAGGATTGTTATGTTAAGATTTCATCTTTTTTCAACCTGCCATCACTTAAAATCACATCTAGCACTTTATTGATCTATATGAATACTTACGCTACTTATGAAAGTATGTAATTGATGTTTATTTGGATCAGATAACTTTGTGAACTGGCCAATAAAGTGTGCGAAGTTGCTGAAAGCCGATATGCTTCTATGGGTGTTTGCTACCCAATCGAGGCTATTGAACGTGACTTTTCGACGTGTGAGAACTTATACAACAGCAAGATAAAGCTTCATGTTTTTAAATGAACAAGATAGAGATTCAGCTGTCCAAGTGCCGACACATTTGCGTAAAAAAGGAGTATTATACATTCTTTAAACAGTGTATCACGTATTACTTTCGCGAGTGTGTTGTCGACACGGTATGGGTCCATACGGTGCTGACAACATATGGCGACGGAATGAGAACCTAGAATTTTCGGAAGCGTAATTGGAACTTGTCATAAATCTCCCACAAGGGAAGCTTGTTAGGTCGAAGTGGCATTTCCAAATGAATCGCATTACATACTAAAGGGCATAAAATGCCAATTCCAAAACTGCCTTCCTTATCTGCAGAGTTTATGGAAGAGGAGTTATGAGCGTTGTCTGAAGCCAAAAATTGGATGTGCATTTTGGATAAAATGAGTTGCTAGGATCTTACTAGCCCGCAAATAATGCAACATAAGGTGAAATATTCTTTATTCAAAAGTATTTTTGAATAAAGTGCTTTGATGATTATCACTGCTCCATTGAAGAGCTTGAAAAAGTCTTACGGCTTTTTTGTCCTACTTGCACATTCAATTCTTTGCTTCAATAAGAAAACTCCTCTTCCATAAACGTTGTGCAGATAAGGAAGGCAGATTTGGAATAAGCATTTTATGTCCTTCAATAAGGTATACATCCCATCCAAAAAGGCCACTTCGACTAAACATCCATTCCTTGTTAAAGTATTAGACCTAGTCAACACGGTAACAATATATTTTTACTCAGTTTGCTATGCACCGAGCCTTTGAAACCTCCTCCACTCTGAACTTAGAGTTTTGTGATGTACTTCCATACTAGGTCCCCGAAAGTTTGTTTCCTCCTTTCCTTCACTTTATAACTCCTTCAAATTCAAACGATTGGGAAGTTTTTATATGTCTGTGAGAGACTTTACACATGTACTCTGAATAGCCTTTAAAGTGACCGGTGTTCCTGCATGAAATTTTATGAGTCTGACCACTCGAAATTTCGTGTTTTTTATGCTATCGGGACTGGGACACAGGACGAGCTGCGGAGCTGCACTTTGCTGGATTCGCCAATTCATAGCAAACCACATTTCTTTGCGCTTCTATAGGCCACAAAAATGTGGAATATACGAGTTTTCTAGACTGTCGAGAAATGATTTTCACTTATAAAAATTTCAAATCAAGGCTTTTGCACAAATATCTTGCAAGTCCAGTTAGACCTGGAAATATTAGATCACTACGTATAAAAACATGAATTCGTGCACTTTCCCTGAACGATAGCAGATGGTAGACGAGGAGAAGCCAGACGAGATGCGGACACGCCCCTTGTGTATTCCAATATGAGACACCAGTCCAAAGCGCCGCTTCGCGGCGCTTCGGACTGGCTGTGTGTGTGAAGTGGGATGTGACTTCAAAGTTAGAACTGGAAACCTTTTCTTGCGCAGACATTCGACGAACCCAGAGATTAACAAAGATAAGTGTCAGAAGTTTCCTGCTTTATGTGGTTTCATAAGTACTAACAAAAGTGCCAATAGATTTCTTACCGTTTCCTCCTAGCTTCCCAGGTATGTATGCTCTTGTAATTTGACTTGCGCTTTGCTGCCCTCCCTAAGTTCTTCGAGCCAAAATGCATCCCGCTTTCCCTCAATTCCTTTTCACCCAAAAGCTTCCCTTATGAAACTTTCCAAACTACCATTCTTTTCTCGCACTCTCACATCCTTCAAATCTTACTTAGTCGTTTCAAGTCTCGCCTCAGAGGTGCCGTTGAGAAAATGCGAACTTACACCTTTACAGTCTGTCCCCCGAATCAGGCCAAAATTGACATGATGCGCTGCGCCCTCAAGATGCCGCGTCATGTCTGCGGTTTGCTGTTGGGCCCGGCAACCTTTTCCCAGCTATGTACAATCTATTGACTGTTTTCAGCCGGGGCCCTCCCCTCCTCATCGACTGCCTGCGAACTACCCCAACACTTCACAACACTTCACTCTCCATTAAATCTCTTGGGCTCGTATGAAAACCTGGGGCGAGATAAGCGACGTTCCCGGTCATGAAAGGGCCGGACACACTGTGGAACACCGCTGCGACTCTAACCAACATTCCAACTTATAATATAGAATTTTTAAAATCAAAGAGCATCCCTTCCTCTTCACAAAATATGCTTTGTTGGAAGCGTGCACAAATTCTTTCCAATTCAAGAATCTTAATGTTGGCGTTCTATATGGGCTATCCAAATTGTTCTATGCTTTTCCACCCAGCTCCATACTCCACCCCGATTTCCAACTCATCTTGATAGGCTACTGACTTGAATTCTATAAAGAGAGCTATTATTAGAGTTCAAGTGATTCAGCTATTCATCCAAGCAAATCTTCAGTGTTTATACGATTCTGGGGCTGTGCAATGTTTTGACAAAATTGCGCCAAAAACTACATGTTCCTGAGGTTAGCAAGGGTTGAGTTGATTTTTAGTGAAGCCCTTTCTTTTCATCTTTTTTACACTGATAGCAAATAGACAGCATGTAGCTATAAAATTCTATTACGATCGCAGTGACGTTTTTCATAGTATTTCTGAAATTTTCGGTCTTTTGAGAAAAATCAGAAATTGTAAGATGCGGTCTTCTGAACCTACAATTTAGTTGCTAAGTGAGCTTTTTGCATCCAGCGTAGTTTCAAGGCAATTCGCATCACCATGTTTTTTATCACTTAGTGGTTAACAATTTGGAAAGTTCACACAGTCTTGAGTTGTCAAATGAATAAAATTAAAGACTTTCGAAAAGCATCAGACCTCAATTACGCTTGCATGTGAACTGAGGATTCGAGTGAGGAGGAGTTTTATGGTGTTGTGTTCAATAGCTTGATTTCATGGTAAACATTATCGAGAAAGCCGAGTTAGCGCAAAATACGATGACGTCATTAGGTTGCACTTACGCTACTGGGTCGAATCGTAACGGTAAACAGTATGGAAGCGAGCGAAAGTGCAAAAGTTAAGACAAAGATCTGGGCAAACATTCTTGCTGGTTGTTGACGTGCGATGGTCCCCCCTGCGCTTTATTATAGGGTATGATGTTTTCAGTACCGAACCGTCTCGAATTTTTTTCGCGCATAGCTGTCGCCAGGACAAATTCCAGACTGTAAACAGACCATCACGAGTGGCATATCAACAGTCTCAAGACGATGTTTTCGCATATCACATGATTACACATGCGATCCTTGAGCAACATCCATAGAGGCAAATGTTCTACCCGGTCGAGGTTCAGATACTATGTCGCTATTATGAAAACTCGCCTCGTGCAAGGTTGTTGCCGCATCGTCTTACGTAGGTTTTTATCTACTAAAATCTTTTGCTTGCAGGTGGCAAAGATTCTCAACATTTCCAGTTTATGTTTCTGCCTTGTGCGTTTACGTTTATTTGTCTTTTTTTTGTTTCGTTTTTCTCTTCTTACACAAAAGTATAGTGCACAGATTAAGTGGGTCTCATGGTCTGATGCTTTTCGGAGCATGTTCATGAAATACTGCGATTGATGGAACTTTTGCTTTTCCAAGCTTCTGAGAAAATCTAACTTTTGTCGTGTTCCGAAAAGCGTGAAACCGCGCTCTCTTGTCAGAGGCGACGCTTCAGAAGAAAAAGCACCTAGACAACTACGCACCGCAGATACTGTCGGAAATTTTGATCAAAAATGTTATCTGATGGGTAGAAAGGTTAATTTGTGTAATTGGGTGCCGCTGGTGGGGGCGAGGTTTCATCTCAGGCTAATTTTGCTTCCGCTTCCAGAATTGAAAGAGTAATGGTATAGCTGGTGGACACGAGTATATATTTGTGAAAATATTCCCTGTTTTATAGAAAGCAAAGCGTAAGTAATTGGATTTCGCTGGTGAAGACGAGCGTTTACTTAAAAAAAGGCTTGAGTATGGGTCTCGTTGGTGAAGGTTTTTTTGCTTTGCTTCAAACTCAACGCTTGGGTAACTGGTCACTGATAGAGATAAGCGTTTACTTGAGAAAATCCCGCTTTGGGTATTTTACTGGGTCTCGCTGATGGAGATGAGCTTTTACTTAACGAAATCCAACGCTTGAGTAATTAAGTCTCGTTGATGGAGGAAAGCGGCGCTTCGGGTAACGATCCAACGCTTCAGTAATGCTCTCGATGGGGAGGAAAGTTTACTCGGCAAATTCAGTGCTTTGGGCAACGGGTCTCGCTGGTGGAGATGAGCTTTCATCTTGGAAAATCCAACGCTTAAATAACTGTGTCTCGCTGGTGGAAGAAAGTGTTCACTTGGGGATCCAAGGCTATAGGTAACTGGGTCTCGCTGGTGGAGGAAAGCGTACTCGGTGAAATTCAACGCCTTGGGTGATTTTTCGCTGGTGGAGATGAGCTTTCATCTGGGAAAATCCAACGCTTAAATAACTGGGTCTCGCTGGTGGACGAAAGCGTTTACTCGGCGAAATTCAATGCTTTGGGTGACTGGGTCTCGCTGGTGAAGATGAGCTTTCATCTTGGAAAGTCCAACGCTTAAATAACTGTGTCTCGCTGATGGAGGAAAGCGTTTATTTGGGAATTCAACGCTTCGGTATTTGGGTCTCGCTAGGGAAGGCGTTTACTCGGCGAAATTCAATGCTTTAGGTAACGGGTCTCGCTGGTGGAGATGAACTTTCATCTGGGAAAATCCAACGCTTGAATGACTGGATCTCGTTGGTGGAGGAAAGCGGCGCTTCGGGTAACGATCTCACTCGTGGAGATGAGCTTTCATATGGAAAAATCCAACGCTTAAATAAGTGGGTCTCGCTGGTGGAAGAAAGCGTTTACTTGGGGATCCAACGCTTCGGGTAATCGGGTCTCGCTGGTGGAGGGAAGCGGTTACTCGGCGAAATTCTATGCTTTGGGTGACTGGGTCTCGCTGGTGGAGATGAGCTTCCCTCTGGGAAAATCCAATCCTTGAATGAACGGGTCTCGTTGGTGGAGGAAAGCGGCGCTTCGGGTAACGATCTCACTCGTGGAGATGAGCTTCTACTTGGGGAAATCCAACGCTTCAGTAAGTGCTGTCGATGGTGGAATAAAGCGTTTATTTGGGAATTCAACGCTTCGGGTATTTGGGTCTCGCTGGGGAAAGCGTTTACTCGGCGAAATTCAATGTTTTGGCTAACGGGTCTCGCTGGGAGATGAGCTTCCATCTGGGAAAATCCAACGCTTGAATGACTGGGTCTCGTTGGTGGAGGAAAGCGGCGCTTTGGGTAACTAGGTCTCACTGGTGGAGTTGAGCTTCTACTCAAGGAAATCCAACGCTTGAGTAACTAAGTCTCGTCGATGGAGGAAAACGGCGCTTCGGGTAACGATGCAACGCTTCAGTAATGCTCTCGATGGGAGGAAAGTTTACTTGGCAAATTCAATGCTTTGGGCAACGGGTATCGCTGGTGGATGAGCTTTCACTTGGAAAAATCCAATGCTTAAATGACTGGGTCTCATTGGTGGAGAAAAGCGGCGCTTTAGGTAACTAGGTCTCGCTGGTGGACTTGAGTTTCTACTTGGGTAAATCCAACGCTTGAATGACTGCGTCTCGCTGGTGGAGGAAAGGGTTCACTTGTGGAAATTCAACGTTTTGGGTAACAGGGTTTCGTTGGTGGAGATGGGTTTCCACATAGGAAAATCCAGCGCTTGAACTACTTGGTCTTGTTGTGGAGGAAAGCTTTTACTCAGGTTATGGTCTTCCGTGTGGAAGAGAAAGCTTTTAAATAATTGGGTTCCGCTGCTGAAGATGTGTTTCTATTTGAGGAAATCCCTCTAGCGGTAACTGGGTCTCCTGTTGAAAATGCTTTTACTTGGGGTTATACGTTTGAGTAGTGGGTCTGGCTGGCGAGCTGGTGAAAATGAGCTTCTGCTAGGTACATCTATTATCCTGCAGGAAAGGCGGTTGGAAACGAGCGCCTATTCAGAAAAATCTGCTTTTCTTTGAAGAAAGTAAAGCATTCAAGTAACTGGGTCTCGCTGGTGGAAATGAGCGTTCATTCGAAAGATTTTCCTATTTTATACGAAGGAGAGCTTGATGATTAGGTCTGGCTGGTGGAGCCAACGCTTTCCATGAAGGATTATAGCGGGTAACTCTTTCGTACATAAATGGCAAAATTTGATCGATGATTGAAGGGCATTTATCCAGAAAAAAATTTTATGTAAGAAGAACACAAGAGTAGACGCTTTGTAAACGTTTTCATGGGGAAACCTCACCTATACTTGTAGGAAGCGAGTTATTGACGAGTCCCGAAATAAAAAGGCTCAAAGTTCAGGGTAGATATCAGTCCAGAAAACTTTTTCAGATGCTTCAACCGATAAGGAGTCTACCTTGGAGCGAATTTAATGATTCGGCGAAAATTTTTTTCAAGTAAAATAAAATGCAGGAAGATGTCATTGAGATGCACAAACTTCCTAAACATGTGCTTCGATCCACTTATAGCGACCCGCAGGGTCGCTAGTCATCCAAAAAGAATAGAATGTGGTTATCTGATGATTGTTGCTTTTATCGCGAAGCTCAATGTACACAACTGCGCTGGTTTGTAACGAAGATTTGCAACTGTAAATTTTGTGATTATCCAACTGCTTTTGAAAATTTTTGAGAAAGTAATACAGCAACATAGCACCCTAGACCTTTTTTGCTTAAGCAACTCATGCGTTTTTTTTGCGTATCTGCGAGATTTGGAGCAAATCTAAAATTGGTGCTAAAAGTCTCAGGTGACCCAATAATATTTTGTGGCTATCTGCCATCAAGATCAGAATTGACCCTGTTGAATAATCATTGTTCTTTAGTAGTGGAAACCATTTCTTTTTCAAAAATCTAACGCGAAAGTTGCACTATCTTATTTTATTATTGTAGTCTTATGTTTTTTGAAATTCAAATAGCAAAAATGCCCTCCAGCTGCTGACGTAGTGCCGGCGACATTGCATTCTATTAGGTCGTTTCAATAGTAATTTCGCTTTTTTCAAACGGACACCACATTTGACGGAACAAAGGTTTCTAAGAGATCTTAAAGGCATTCGCAGACTTTCATTCTCTTTCTAACGGTTATGAAATTTTTTGTTCTTTCTTCTTAAGCCATACACGAGATTGGTAATCGAAAAATATTAAATAAATATAATATAATATAAATTAAATATAATTAAAATATTACTATCATGCCGAGATTTATTGAAAGTCGCACTATTCAATTGGTTATGAAATTGTTGCAAAACAGTCAGTGAGCTTTCAGAAAATAACCGAAACCTGCGACCCATGCTTTTTGAGATGGTCATTTCACGATTTTTCAAAACTTTCATATCAATCCTCAGAAGGAGTTCAAGTAACGATTCGATAGAGCAAACCTTGTAGAATACAGTGCAACTTTTTTATTTTTTTTAGCTCGCCGTAATTTTTTAAAAGATATTTTAACAAAACCAAGAGATTTTGGCAGGCCTATATCAGCCACAATCGCACAAAACATCATAATTATTCGGAATTTGAGACTGCCGGGATGGTAGTATCAATTTTACAGAGAAGTGAGGGAGTTAGCAAATTTTACAAAGTAAGTGAGGGTTTACGGGTTCGAAATATCAAATTTCGGTTTTTTCGGGTACAGCCTGAGGCTCGCTAAAAAAATGAGTTATGATGATTATATTCGCGAAGACTAAACGAATCGGAAACAAAAAATACCTGTTAGAAAGAGGAGAAAATGCTGCATCGAATAGTGCGCGAGCTACTCTTCTTTTGATGTCCTACGAGGATTAAGCTGCCCAAATATGGAAATCGTTAACATCAGTTAAAATTCTGTTAAAAATGTATGACAAGCTAAGGAAAGGAGAAAAAGTAGTACTGTATTCTATAAGGTTTACGCTATCGAACTCGTTACTTGAACTCCTTCTGAGGATTGATATCAGTGTTTTAAAAATTGCAAAACTTGACCATCTAAAGAAGCATGGTCGCAGATTTTGGTTATTTTCTGAAAGCTCACTGACTGTTTTGCAGCAATTTCATAACCATTAGAAAGAGAGTGAAATTCTGCATCGAAAGCCTCCAAGATCTCTTAGAAACCTTTGTTCCGTCACATGTGGTGCTTGTGTGAAAAAAGCGAAATTACTTTTGAAACGACCTAATATATTAGGTTGGTGCAAAAGTTCTTTCCGCCCAAATTCAAAAATTCATAACTTGTTGAATTCTCAACGAAACTGCAAGATCTAAATTTTGCTTAAGAGAGAAACTCATGCTCTTTGCATCTGTACCTGAACTGTTCGTTAAAGTTTACAATTTAAGGAGATAGAAGCTCAAAACCAAAATCACTCAAAATTTGAATTTTTCGTGTAGGGTCATAAAAAATCGGAAATCTGCAACAAAAATCAGAGCAGTCAGGATTGTAGGTTCTTTCACCAGCTCTTTCTAACGGTGCAAAGTTTGCGCTGATTGAGCGCCTCTATCAAAAGTTATGAATTTCGAGCAAGTAATACAAAAGGACGAATTTGATTTATTTTGGCATTTTTCAGGGAAATCATAACTTTTTATAGAGACGCTCAATCAGCGCAGACTTTGCACCGTTAGAAAGAGCTCGTGAAAGAACCTACAATCCTGACTGCTCCGATTTTTGTTGCAGATTTCCGATTTTTTATGACCCTACACGAAAAATTCAAATTTTGAGTGATTTTGGTTTTGAGCTTCTATCTCCTTAAGTTGTAAACTTTAACGAACAGTTCAGGACAGATGCGAAGAGCATGAGTTTCTCTCTTAAGCAAAATTTAGATCTTGCAGTTTCGTTGAGAATTCAACAAGTTATGAATTTTTGAATTTGGGCGGAAAGAACTTTTGCACCAACCTAATATTTTCGCTCCCAATGTCATCGCTGTGCGCTGCTTGCGTTGTTCGACCTCGCCCATTTCTCTGTGCGTCTGCGAACTTGCTCTGCAGGCGCAGTTGATTTGCATTTGAATTTTTCCGATCCTCCTTATAAAGTCCTTTGCGAAGCAGGATCCTCTTTGTTTTATTAGGTCGTTCGATAAGTTCGTAGCGTTTTCATAAACCAACGAAATGACAAAATTTTGTCAAAATTCAGTCAATAATGCACTTTCCGTTGCTGCGCATAACCTTCTGCCAACTTGCATTAAGATTTTCGACTACGTTTTCTTCAAAACCCAGCAGCTCCAGCCCCCAAAAAGTCGTCTATTCAGGGCCTAGGATTGCCTTTAGGATCGAAACAAGCACCATTCATAGGGTTTGCAAGAGATCGTGACAAATGAAAATTATCTGCTAGGGCAAGGTCTGAGGAGTACATCGGATGCCGAAAGGTCTCCCAGTCAAGTTTTTCAAATCAGTTTTGACGAAGTTTGCCGTACGGAGCCATATGTCATGCAGAAAAACTCGCTGAACCTGTCTTTTATGTCATTTTTGCAGTAGAAATTCGTTGAGACGGTGCAGTCGAGCTGTATACGATATGGGCAACTGACTCGTTCTTTTTTCGGCAATGTGCAATGCAGAACCTCCTGCCTGTCCTGCAAAACAGTCTTGTTCAGAGGACACCTTGTAAACTCTCGCTTTCTTTGGTGTGATTTATTCCTTCGTCGTATTGACGCGGGAGCGCCATTTTTTTTTTGTAGTCGGCAAAAAAATTTTGTGCAAAAACACTTTTTCTAAGAAAAAATGAGCAGGTGTCGAAAATGCTTCTTTTTATCTTTTGTAACGTCCACATATGAAAGCTGAGAACTCTAAGTGAATCAACTTTCCAACGAAATTATTACGTTTATCATAAAGAGCATGATTAGCTCTTTTCAATGGTATGCGCAACTTGGCGCAAATCAGCCGCTTTCCAGAGAAATGAGGAGGAGAATGAAAACGCTACGAACATTTTTAAAGGATCTTGTTCATTGTGCCTTCCTAATCTGCTATCGTCTCATTGTGTTTTTTTTTTTGGTTCACAAAAACTCGCACAACAAAGTCTTCAGGTTGCCAGATGGGAATGTTACACACTTTGGACTTGGAGAATTTCAAGTCCTACAAGGGTAAACAGGTCATTGGTCCTTTCAAAAGATTCACAGCCATCATCGGACCAAATGGTTCAGGTTCGCAGGTTTATTGTTTTGAACTTTGTTGCTCTATTTCAATTGGTCATTTCTCAGGCAAGTCAAATCTTATGGATGCCATCAGTTTTGTTCTTGGAGAGAAAGCCACAAGTTTGCGTGTGAAAAAATTAGGTGTAAGTGTTAATGCAATTTTCCCTTTCAGTTTCTTTTGATGAAGCCTTTTAATTTTTGTCATACATCTCTTGATGGTTGCAAAGTTCCGGTTTATAATCAGTCTTGTACGATGTCTCGTTAAGGACCTCATTCATGGAGCACCCGTAGGAAAACCTGTATCAAATCGTTGTTCTGTTACCCTCAATTACAAAGAAGATGATGGTCGAATGCGATCTTTCACTCGCTCTGTTACTAATGCTGGATCCGAATTTCGTGTAGATGGAAAGGTTAGCATCTTATCAGCGTTTCACTCTGTTATTTTTCATTTCGGTAGAAGGCGCTGGTCTTTCCCAAGTTTTTGTTTGATATCTAAAGCATCGATGTATTGTGGATTTTGATTTCTTCTTATCACAGGTAGTCACTGTCCAACAGTATAACCATGAAATGGAATCGATTCAAATTTTCATCAAAGCGAAGAATTTCCTGGTTTATCAGGTAAGATCTTTATTTCCGTACCTGAGATGTCATGCTCTAATGGTGTGTTTAACAGGGTCAAATCATGTCAATTGCTATGAAAAATCCTAAGGAACGCACTGCTCTTTTCGAAGAGATTTCTAGGTTTGCATTGCGCCTTGTTTCCTCTGCACTAAATTTTCTTTAAATCATGTTTCAGGTCTTGTGAACTACAGGCAGAGTACGATAGACTGAAAGTTGAACTACAAAAGGCAGAAGATGATGCTCAGCAAAATATGAATAAGCGTCGAGGCATTGCGCAAGAAAAGCGAGAGGCAAAACTTGAAAGAGACGAGGCTGAAAAGTACCAACATCTAAAGGATGATTTGGTGAGCTTGATTGCACTACTTTCTTTTCTTTTTGTTCGTTATCAACTTTATCACTTCAATTCATTCATATAGCATTTCGTTAGTTTTTTAATTTCAATTTCATGTGAAACTATTACATACGTGTTGATCTTCGACTTTGTTATATCTGAATTGTTTAGGCTGCCAAACAACGACTCCTTTATCTTCTGGAACTGTTTTATTGCGAACGACATGGGAAGGAAGCTCAAGACTCTTTGGCCCAGAAGAAGGAGCAGGTTGCAGAACTAGAAGCTAAGAAGGTGACTTGCTTTGCTGGCTGCAGTTCCACTGTATTTTCCCTGCAAATATCAATTTAGAGCGAATGCGATGAGTTGGTAAATGAGAAGCAAAAACTGGTCAAAAAAGTGCAGCGCGATACGCACAAACTGGAAAAGGAGATTAGCGACAAGGTCGTGTACTTTTCTTTCATTTCATCTCTATCATTTACGTTGTAATTTTCAGGAGAGAGAGATAGCCAAGCAGCGTCCTCTCTATGTGCAGGTGAAACAAGAAGTTTTGCACGTTAATACAAAGTTAGAAACCAGTAAGAAAACTCTAAATGCAGCACAGAAACTTGCAGAGAGGAATAATGAGCAAGTGCAAGTGCTAGAAAATAGTGCAAAGTTAGTTTAAAACATTCTTCTACGTTTTATGTTTACTTCCACTGTGCATTCCAGAGACTTGGAAAAGAAGAAAGCAGATTGTGAGGCAGAACTTGAGTCACAAAGTCAGGAACTTGATTTGCATCTGAACGAGCAACAGGTGATCCTTTTATTTGCTGATTTTTGTTCAAATTTTTCTTATTCATTAGATAATTCATTGATTTTGGCCATAATTTACCGTAAACGGTAGACTTGCATATCATTTTCAGATAAATGAGTATATGCTGTTGAAACGTGAAGTGGTCAAAAAGTCCGGTCTCATCGATATGCAGCTGAGCTCGAAAAGGCAAGAGCAGGAAACCGACAAAAGGTACGGTTGTATTCACAAGTACCCTGATTTTGCACTTACCGCCGCGATACGCACTCACGCAATTCAGTTCGAAAGTCAACGAAGAGCGTCGTATGAAGACCTGGCAAGAGAAGATCAAGAATAAGAAACAAGAAATAGAACGCTTGAAGAAACAGGTAGCATAAATTCTTTGACCTGTTAAATGTGTAACTTTATGACCATACAGATCGACTATTTGGCCGAAAATGCGGAGCAACAGAAAGTTGTGCTTTCTGAAGAGAAAGCCAACTTGATCACGATGGAGAAGCAAGTCAAGGAAAGCAAGGAAAAGCTAGAAAAAGTGAGTAATCTTAGGTTATAAAAATGTCAAATGTATTCATCATTCTACAAAATATCTCATCTAGGTGTCGGCCGAATTGAATGAGGTAAACAAACAGCTCTCCGATGCCTCAGGAGACTCCGCTGAGTCCGAAAGAGTACGAAGACGCAACGAAGCCATTGAAAATCTGAAACGAGTGTTTCCTGACAAGGTACAGATGAATTGCAACTTTTATTGTTTTTCTTATCGTACACAAGGACACTAATATTTTGTGTTTCGACTCTAAGTCGCTGTTTTACACTGTTTTCACCTCTGTTTTCCTTTCCTTTAGTTAATGGGGCACAGAAGCAAGAAAACGTTGAAGCCTTTTGTAAGCGCTCTTTTAGGTCAAAAATGAAATATCATGATAATGATTTTCTGCTTTCTGAGACCTAGTTGCTTGCTGTAGTAATAGTGGCATGCACACGAGTTGTATCATATTTCTGCGAATCGCAGAGGAGTATAGAGTACAGAGAAAGTATAGAGTATACTCACAACTACTGTTCTACTACTTTCATACCTTATCAATGGTACTGTTTATAGGCAGTGGATCAGCAGAATGGACCATTCTCGGATTTTGGTGGATTTAGGTAGTAGACCCCCCCCCCCCCACGTACACTGTATTCCAAACCCCACCCGCCAATTTATGGGCTAAGTCCTGAAAAATGCGCTTCAAAACTCTACCAACCCCGCCCCTTTGCATTGAGTGGGTGGGGCTGGTGGAGTTTTGAAGCGCATTTTTCAGGACTTAGCGCATGAATTGGCAGCTGGGGCTTGGTCTACAGTGTACCTGGGGGGTCTACTACCAAAATACACCAAAATTCGAGAAGGATCCATTTTGCTGATCCACTGCCTTTAACGCGTCACCCTGACCTTCATTTTCAGATTCATGGACGCCTTGTCGATCTCTGCCAGCCAAGTCACAAACGTTTTCATTTAGCTGTAACGAAAGTGCTTCAGAAAAACATGATGAGCATTGTTTGTGATTGTGAGGATACTGCTAGGGATGCCATCTTGTACTTGAAGGTATGACATATTTTCAACATTTCTCTGCACATTTTTGCGAGAACGTTTTTTAGGAGCAACGATATCCTCCAGAAACTTTTCTTCCTCATCAAGGACTAGATGTTCATCCAATTAATGAAAAGTTGCGCGAGCTGACTTATCCCAAAGGAGTAAAGTTGGTCTATGATGTGATACAGGTACGTTTCTAGTGTCTTCTAATTCTTCTTTTCGAATACTGCTAGGATGATTCTTCAGTGTAACCATCCAGCTGCTAGAAAAGCTCTGCAGTTTGCTTGTGGAAACGCCCTTATTTGCGAAACAGCTGAGGATGCAAGAACTCTGGCTTACGGAGGCGCTGGTGGTGATAGGTACAAAGCCGTAGCTCTGGATGGAACTATGTTCCAGCAAAGTGGTGTCATTGGCGGCGGTAGTCATGAATTGAAAATGCGGGCCAAGAAATGGGACGAGAATGCGTTGAGGTAAACCTTTTTTTTAAATGTGAGTAAACATTTTCTAGTCTTCCTAAAATTATACTTTTAGACAACTACGCGAAAAGCGAGCGCAGTTATTGGATGAAAGCAATACGCTACATAGAACAAGAAGAAAGGAACTTGATGTGGAAATGCAAAGGTTCGTTTATTTTTATTCAGCCCAAAAATTATTCCATATTATTATGTGATCACTTAGCTTACTTTCTAGTACTAATTGTAAGATAATTCAGAAATAAGCTTACATCGGTTGAATACCGCCTGAAAAATATGCAACTGGAGAAGACTAAATGTGAAACAGATGTGCTAAATAAGCTAACAATCGAACTGGAATCGTTGGAATCTGAACTCAGTGTGATACCGGTATACCTACGCAATAGCAAGTAACTGTAACGCATACCAACTGGTGGTTTTAGCCGAAGATCGAAGAAATCGAAGAAAGGATGGCAGAAAGGGAAAGCGAGCTCAAAAAGCTTGAGCAGAAAAGTCATGCGGTTGCGGATGAGGTATGAATTTCTTATTTTGGTTTTTGATCCATACTTTTCATTTCATTAAAGGTGTTTGGTACATTTTGCAAAAAAGTTGGAATCAATAACATCCGCGAGTATGAGGAAAGGGAAATGAGGTGTGGCATTTTCAAGCTGATGAAATGATGTTTTTGGATTGTTTGCTATGTATAGATAATTTGATATATTTTCACCATAGTATTTTGTTTTCTTCCCATCATTTTGTCTCTTTTAGATTCCACCAAGAAAGGGCAGACCGATTGCGTGAATTCGACAACGAGCTGGATAGAGTTCGCAACGAAATCGAATACCTTCGTTCAGAAGACAAAAACAAGAAAGTCAGACAAGAGACAGAAAAGGTAGGTGCTTATTTCAACTTAAGGTTGAAAATGATCGTTATCTTGTAGGTGAAACTTCTTGAAAAAGAATTGGAAGGGTTGAAGAAGAAGGAATCCAAAGAGGGAAAAGTACTCACTCGACTTGAGAAAGACATGGAAGATATGAAGATTGCCGCCATGGAGAAGAAAACGGAACAGGAGGCTTTCGAGGGAGAACTAGCAGCAGCGAAGAAGGACGCGCAGGTCTCGACTGCTTTGTTTCTTTTCGTAATTATCTGCTTAGGCTTTCAAGTTTGCCATACTTGTCTTTTAAATCCTTCCTTATTTGTTCGCAATGAAATTTTTCCAGGCTGCACAGCGAGATGTTACGAGTGCCGAGAAGGCTGTCCTAGCTTTAGAAAGTGCAGTCGGTAGGAAGCATGCAGATAGGCATGGTCTACTGAAAGCCGCTAAAATCAATCAGATTCAAATTCCTCTTGTCTCTGGCAGTCTAGCGGATGTCGATGCCGAGGAAGATGAAGGTTTGTTTTTCTTTTCTGATTGAATTTTTCACTTGTATTGTCGCGATCATAAGGCGTATTTGTTTACAGAAATGGATGGTTCTCAGCCATCGAATTCTAACAATCTCTCTCAAGAGCAGATTGAAAGGGAGTCGAAGATCAAGCTGAACTATCGTCAGTTACCGGAAAATCTCAAGGATGTGGGGCAGATCTATCCGTTAATTATGGTTTTGTATAAACTTGTACGATTTAGCTCAAAGACGAAGAGGAGGTAAAGAAACATGTGGAGAGAATGAATAAAGAGATAAGCGACGCTCAAGCAACTTTGTCTCGATTGAACGCCCCAAATCTGAAAGCGAGTCAAAGGTAAAGTATTATGACTTTTTCCATCCTGTTCTTCTTTTTCCAATATCAACTATCTAGGATGGAAGAAGTGAAAGAGCGGGAAGCGGAAACTACTGAGGAGTGCGAAATGGCGCGAAAGAAGGCACGAAAAATCCGTGGTTACTTCGAAAAAGTGAAAACGGAGCGTTATCGCAAATTCCAAGAATGCTTCGAGCCCGTCAGTCAAAAGATAGACGAGATATACAAGGTGATCTTTTACTTTTGTTGCATCTCCTATAAGCTACTTTTTTCCAGGCTCTTTCGCGAAATGCTAGTGCTCAAGCATTCTTAGGAGCTGATAACATGGAAGAACCGTACTTGGAAGGTATCCAGGTTTGTGAAGAATCAGTCTTGCTTTTGCCATTATATTAAATCCTTGCATGCTTCCAGTACAACTGTGTTGCGCCTGGAAAACGATTCCGACCTATGGATAATCTTTCTGGTGGTGAAAAGACAGTAGCCGCATTAGCTCTGCTGTTTGCAATGCATGCACGCAACCCGTCACCATTCTTCGTTCTGGATGAGATCGATGCCGCCCTTGACAATACTAATATCGGAAAGGTTTGTCTCCTTTATCGATACTGCTGGTTATATTCCATTCCATTTCTAGGTATCGTCGTATATCTGTGACTCAGCGCGAAGTGATATGCAGATCATCATCATCTCTTTGAAGGAGGAGTTCTATAATAAGGTATCACGTTCAAGAATTTAGATGCAAAGGCAATTATTTGTTGACCGCAAAATCGTAAAAGTTGTAGAAATACTTGGTGTAACGGTTATAAGGTATAGGTTATCCTCGAAGGAAGGCTTAAAGGCATAAGGAGAGGGATATGGAAGGGGAGAATTCTTCAAACAGACTTTGACGAATTTTTTGGATCAGCAGAATGGACCTCTGTCAGATTTTGGTAGTGTTAGGTAGTGGACCCCCAAATACACCGTAGCCTGAATTCCACCCTCATTTTATGCTCTGTCTTGTAATGGAGATTCAAAACTCCACCAGCCCCGCCCGCTCATTGAGTGGGCATCATTGGTGGAGTTTTGAAGCGCTTTTTCAGGACTTAGCGCATGAATTGGAGGGCGGGATTGGGGCTACGGTGGGGGAATTCGGGGGGTCTACTACCCAACATTACCAAAATCTGGCAGGGGTCCATTCTGCTGATCCACTGCTTTTAGAAGCAATATTGGTTGAGCGGGCGTGAACGCAGCGCGTGCGTATCTTCACCGTTGAATCATGCCCCTTATTCGCTTTGCGGATAACCGCGTTCGGGTTTCGCACCTTCGTCTGGCCATAGAGTTCATCTTGAGGGAACGGCGAATAGTGATTGAACACCAACATGCGAAAATTTACCTACATAAGGAGAGGGATATGGAAGGGGAGAATTCTTCAAACAGACTTTGACGAATTTTTTGCGCACTGCGCTATCCTTTCGCGCGTTGAAATAAACATAAGGACATTTTTTTATGAGGAATTCGTAATGCACCAGCTCTTCTCCTTATTTTTATTCATTTTAGGCTGATGCTCTTATTGGGATCTATCCGGAAGCTGCTGCCTGTTCTACCTCCGGTGTGCTCACATTTGATCTTACCCCGTATAAGCAAACTGTGATGAATGAGACTAATGCTTCCATCATGGAATCTACTGTTGTATCCATAAGGGAATAACCCTGATTTGGCATTTTCAACGATCTCAGAGTACCTACACAACTTCTCATTTGGAATTTTCTGAATTTTTTACTATTTCGAACTTGTATGTAGTAGCAGCGTCTTTGTATGTATCTCGGTGCGTAAGCTATTCGCAATGGGTGAAACGATTAGAATTTGAGGTATTGCACCCACTGCAGCTTTTATATTCCTTTTTTTTCTAATTGCTGAAGTTTCATACTCTAGTGGTGGCATTATTCTTGTATATCAGCTAAACACGATAAGGATAGTCGAGACTAAATCAACTCGATTTCACTTCTATCTTGGATCCTGTAAATTCGTATCACTTCTGTAACCGCCAACTTCTGTAACATTCGTAACATTTAGTCATATTACACATTTGATACTCATAAAACTGATACATTGTAAAATTTGTGGGATTTTCATCATTTGTCATGCAGTTCCAACCTGATGACACTAATCTGTCTGTATGGCATCACCTTGTACAATGAAGTTAATATTTATTGCTTGTCAGTTGGAATGGTACTGTGCCTTTACTACAGACTTTTGAGCTCTGTATACACTGTCAATTTTTCCATAACAGGTGTCATACTCAATTTATGAGCGGGTTCGGAACCGTCTGTGCAAATGCTTGTACTAACAAGAGAAGGAAGGTTGGTTGAAGTGGCCTTTTCAAATCAGATGTACACTGTTTTGTAGAGCTTGGAACGCTGATTCCAAATCTGCTTTTGCTTTCTGCTGCAGGCTTCTAGGCGAGGAGTTATGAAGGTTTCTGTGAATATTCGAATACAAGATTACTGGAAAATCAGTAATCTTTCCTAACTTCTAACTTTCTCAACTAATAGTCGGGCTACTAGGTGCAACCAATATTCTTGATTCCAAAATACCAACTCGGTGCTGCCTCATTTGAACATTAGGAAAAGGTTACGACTGATTTTACACTAGTCTTGCATTTGAGTTTTTACTCACGAAAACCTGCATAACTCCTCGCCCAGAAGTTCGCAGGTAGATCTGGAATCAGTGTTCCAGACTCTACAAGACACTGTTCATCTCATCTGAAAAGACCACTTCGACGCCATTTCAACCTTACTTCCCTTGTAAGCAACGAGCATCTGACATTTGGTGTCACGGAAAAGTGAGAACAGGTTTAGCACTGGAGTTCGGACTTTTCTTCTATTTTCGGAGTGGAATTTTTTACGTGGAAAATCGTTTCAATGAATATACAAGTAATTGTGCGCTTTCTTTCATTCTCAGTCTTGCCTGTGGCAGCAAACCTTATAAGGGAAGGATATCGACTTGCAGTGGGAAATCCAGAAGAAATGTGTATTATTAGACATGCCGTCAGATTCCAAATCTGCTTCATTTTTTTTGCGGAGCAACTTTTTGGAAGAAGTTATGAGCGCTTGGATGTCCAAATTTGCGCAGCCTCAAGTTGCAAGAAATAAGCTAAATGCCGAAAAAAATTAAAAACCCATGGGAATTTCTAGTAGCTGTGTCATCTTCTTGTAGTCATTGTACTCAATACAAATCTGGTTACCCACTTTCAGGGGTATGCATTTCGCTGATTTTATGCCACTCGGGGCTTGGCAAATTTGGATTTTCAAGCGCTTATTGGTTCTTTCAGAAAGTTGTTCGGCAGAAAAAGAAAGCAGATTTAGATTCAGCACTTGCAGATGCGTCTGGTAATTTTTTTGACTTGCGAGGGCAACTTGGTATCTCACCTTCTCTCATTAAATGCCCTTTGATGCGCCACATTTGCTGAACCGGTTCTGAACTGGCTTACTGTCAAACAGCACGATAGAATCTCGTCTCATTAGGATAGCATTTACATAATGTAGCAGTGATTTTATTTAAAATTTACTTATGCCAAGCTTTGCTATATTCTGCAAAATCGAATAGCCTGCTCCTACACAAACATCAGGCTGGAAGCGAATGTTCCATGACGTAAACAAGTTGTTTACCATCGCACGCGCCAACACACCACTAGTGTGCATGCATCCATTTTATTTTGTGATTGATCCTCTACATTAACTGTCTTGTTTCTGTTAATTTATCATAGGTTGCAGAGACTTTTTTTTGAAGTTCTGAGCCCAAGGGGTTTCGTTATTTTCTAAAGCAAACTTCAGATTATAATATGAGCACGTATTGGTTGAAGAACTTCGTCGGATTGAAGCAGTCTGACTTCGAGTTATTGAAAGTCCCCAATCCCAGCACGGAGTTCTGCATACATGTGACGTTAAGGAGTGTTCAGGTATGTACGATGTAATGACTCTTGAAGCTGGATCGTTATATTTTGTTTTTTTTTTCTTCCCCCATACATAAGTTCTTCATAAATGGTGAACTTTTGATTTCGAACTTGATTTTATACTATTAATAAGATTTCTTTCATTCTCTGTAGACTGGAGCTTTACTTGGTTCGGTACTTGGCCCACTATCTGCAGCGATCTTCGATTCAAAGAATGCGAATTCAAAAATGCTCACGTGAGTTGTCTTCGTTATTTTCATAGCTCCTTGCTCTAATTTGGTCTGATTTTAGTGAAAAATTTATCAGCGGTGGAACAAACGGTGCTTTGATCGGTGCAGCAATGGGACCAATACTCACTTATCTAGCTTTACGTGACTTGAGCACAGTAAGATTGTACGACAGATGCTATCGGTTGAGGTGAACTTTTTTATCCCAACTAATCACAACGGTACAAATATTCACAGTTTAAGATTCGATAAACAAGCATTATGGCAAGATCGCACATGTTTTCTATCAGCTGCTGTTGGTTATTTGACTAGTGGTTCGCTTGGGTTTGTTGTGGGTCTCGACCTTGCTGTGATTCTGAATAATCTATTCGCAAAGACTAAGTAGGTGAGATATTAGTCATAGTCATCTTCATGCTCAAAATCTTTTTTTTTCTTTGCATTTGTAAGGCAAACAGTAAATCTCAGTTACTGCGGACAGAAGCAGTATCAGCTTTTACTCAACCTCTATCGGATTCTATAGTAGTTTTATTTATCTTCACATACTCGCAGTGGTCAGTTGTGATTTGTTAGAGGTTTGCTATAGTTTTTAGTTTTTATATGTGTTGTGCCTTTCTAGTGTACCTTTTAGGTTTTACATCTCAGAGTACATAATTTTATGAACTGTCATAAATCTAACGTAAACTACGTGTTTTACCTCGCTATGTTGAAGCAGGCATTTCTCAGTTTTGATTTCCTTCAACCTAATCGTTATTTCCAATCACTGCGAACGCCACCGTCTTGCAAGGTTGTATATTATTTGTTCAGAAGATCATTATGATATAATCCCTTGAGAATTGATTACAGATCAACCTCTATGCTCGAACCACCCATAATTTTATTATTGCAAAAGGATAGGAATGAACATTAGCAACATACCAGTTGACAAAAGTGACCAGATGAATGCTAGCTGTACAGTCAAAGAGTGTTACGTAGTGAACCAGAGCATAAACTTTGATACATCACAGACAATGAATTTCAAAAGTCATTCTCTTACGTCAGGTGAACTTTTGGAAAAGAGCTTTTGCTTTAGACGTGATGACCATGAAGGGGCGGCTGATTCTTGTTCAGCATGATGAAGAGTGGGAATTTTTTGGCGCCTCTTCAGCGTTGAGGATCTTGAGGAAATCGTTGAATTTGTTTATATAATCTATATAAACAAGCTTCACCTGCATTTTTCCATTTTTCGAGGTTGAAAATCGTTGCATGGTGGAAAAATCCGCATAGGTTGTACATCGGGTCTAGTGGGAACCTAGAAACAAAATTGTTGCCAAACACTACTAGAGATCTGGTCATGATTTTTCCAAAATTATCCCATTATATGTTTGCACGGAAAATTGTTAAAGGTACCAAAAAATATAATCTCATACCACCGGTCGCACATCATCGGGTAGTGGTGATAGATGGTCACCATCGATCTCTTCGTAAAGGTGGGTGAACGACAGTGATGGCTCTTTCTTTAGAATCGACCTGAATGCTCCATACATATTTATCGGTTTCCAGCGCGGGTCGTTGAATGAGCCGTGCGGAAAAATAGATGCATGAAGTTATACTTGCTTTGAACACGCCGCGATACGTTTAGGCAGAGCGGTCAGTTACCAGTACAGGCGCTGTGTGGTTTTTGTGTGGCGCGAATCCAGGATTCCATTAGTCTGCGCGTTTAGATCAGCAGTTTTGATGTCAATGCTTATTTGCAAATTTCCTCTTTGGGTAGTACTTCGACTGGTTGTGATATGCGTTCAGGCACTGCGCGCCTCTGGGCATCTTTCCAGGCCGAAGCAGCGATTAAAAGGTGTGAAAATACCCAGAGGGTACTTTCGCAGCGCAGCGCAAGACCGAAGCGAGGCGGCCTCAAAGGCACTGTCCACCCAAATTTCCGACTTTCATGTTTATTTCGCTTCCGGGCCTTCTGAAGGCCCTGTTTTCAAATATGGAGTCGAGAATTCGCGAAACCCCCAAAAACCCCCGTTTCCGAAAAGGGCACAATGCAAGTAGCGGAACTGCGGCGCTGATATACGCCGGGCGCCCGGTCACCCCGCCTGTGCAAATCTGCAAAGGCGGGGTGACCAGCTGGACGGAGTGACCAGGGGTAGGGGAGCGAACTCCGCCAGTTTGAATCGCCTCCGCGAGTTACTGGTCCTGCAACGACATGCACCAGTATAGCAAAAAAACCAGTTGCCAGCGAAGTCGGGCTCAAGCTGGCGGAGTTCATTCCCCTACCCAGTGACCAGCGCCTGATTACGTCCCTTCCCGAGCGATTTCTCGCTCCGAAAGCAATCTTTTGCTGCGCAACTTGGAGGTTTGCCTAGTGTGGGGGCCCACGTAAGTATGCCATCATAACCTCGTCAACCCCATTTCGAGTGGACGTGCCTTCAAGCCCCTGAGAGCTGGAGCTGCGAGTCTTTTACTAAGAAAGCCTTTTGATGATAAAGAGTATCATATGGGGCCTGTAAGCTAGGATTCAAGGTACATGTAGTTCCCTTGCGCAGTGGCGGTCCCAACATTTCCGTCGGGGAGGGGGGGGGGGTTGCAAAAATTTTGTCCAAGTGAAAAGGCCTGGCGTTAGTTACGCATTCCAAAAAATTTTTTGGAATGCTTCTCAAAATTTTGCGGGCCCATTACCCCTAAAATCTTGAAAAAGGGGGCATGGCTGCCCACATCCTCGAAAACTGTTTTTTACGAGGCTAATAATTTTTGAGAAATTTCAGAATTTTGTTTCAATGATTTACAAGATAAATAAGTCACTTGCACATTTTGACAACCCGTGTAAGTGAATTTTGAAAATTTTGAAAATTTCCGTTCTCTTGTGGAGGTCTAGCCTTCCCCCCACCCCCTGGGTCCGCCACTGCCTCTGCGGTGTTTGCAACTCTTGCTTGTGAGTAAGTAGCCATATGGCACAAAATTTAAAATTTGCGCTCTGTGGCCATTTTGCACTCGTAAACTTTAGCATTACAGAATGGCGATTTACGCGCAATTGCTGTAGATAGCGCAGAGACACTAAAGAGTCAGTAGTTTCCCACCCCCTAGGACTGTGGTGTTAATTATCCCCGTAGTGAGGTTAAAATTGAACGTACCGTGGCTTGGAACTACGTTTGATGAACGGTAGCGGTAGCCGTTTTTTAGTATGATAATTGAAGTAGATTTTGCTGGAATCGTCTGGTTCTTTGATGCTTATTTGCTTTCTTCGTATCGTTGATGCAACAGATGCAGTTCTTTGAAAATATAGTAAACAAACACTTTACAGTCTCGCTGAGGTGCACATACCCGTCCTTCGTCGGCAAAAAATCATCTTGCATTCTTAGTGCATTGAAGAGCTCCTCAATGCTCACTTCATCGTTCCTTGCTTTTTCTGAAGCTTTTTCCTCGAAATCGAGGAAGTCTTCAATATTTTGTGGTTCTTCTGGAGAATCGAAGTTTAATACTGAAGGTCGACGTCTACGTGTGCGAACAGCAAGCGATGAAAATACCTAGAAATGAAAAAAATTTACTCACAGCTAAAAATCAAGCAAACCCACAGTTTTACAAGCGGCAATTTTGGATTGGGCTGAAGGTTTCAGTGATCTCAACGTGAGATTCGATCGTGGCCGTAATGTGCTTTCGTCATCCTCTCCGAATGTGTCCTGTGCTTTTTGTAAAAAAAGATCGTGTTGGTACTCACATCAGTTGTGGGAATTATGGTGCTCGATACGATTGTATCGAGTGGCTATATATGCAAATGTCGCACAATAAATAATAAGATTAGTAAAATATATTGATATCAACAAAATATACACAATATCAATAAAATGCATGTCGCTTTGTTGAAACTAGATTTCGGCTACGGATAGGTCAAATTTGAAACTTCTGGTTTTGGGTTACGGATATTGTTTCAGATTTCTGGAAAATACGTTCAAGATATATTGCCAATAAAATTCCTCCTAAATAGCATTGTTATAGGAAAAAGTGTGTGACAATCTTGCTTTCTTTCTGCGAGATCTGTTCGGAGATGCAGAAATCAAACAGAGACAGAAACAAAAAAATCAGTGGTCAAGAAATTTGCAAGTTTCTTTTTCTATTTGTTAGTGACTGCTGTAATAAAGGTAGTAATGAAATTGAGTTTTAAGTCTCTAGCTCATTCAGTAATGGTGCAAAAACTTCTTAATGCTGTTGAATGTGTTTCTAAAAAATAAAAACTGTGAATAATTTTTCGGAAAGCTAGACTTATGAGAAAGGCTTGTGGCCCACAGGCCGGGCATACACGCGATTTCAGTCGCAACATGATTTTGCAATTCGCCAGAAGTCTTCAAATCCAACACTAGCAAACTGCACATGCATAGTATGTATAACTTACGTGGAGGATTGATAAAATGCCCTATCTTCTGTACATTTAAAATGTGCTTACAGTGACTCATGGACATTTGGAATATTGCCAAATCGCGTCGCGGCTTAAATCGCGTGAAGTATGCCCGGCCCTTTAGAGAAGTTATGTGAAATCGGGTTACAGACGATATTTAATTCTAGTGTCAATGATTGTAAGCACAGATTTTGATGATGAAGGCTAAGCTTACGTTCTCCGATAAGGATAAAGATGTAGAAGATGGTGAAGTGTAGTTGCTCGATATCGGATAATGATCGTATTCCAGCTGAAATACTGTATTTACACATCGTTCTCATTTCTTTTGAAATCTTCCTCTAGAAAACCTACAGTATGATATAGCGGCTCTTTAGACCATGCGCTTTGTACAGTAGCTGGTCTAAGTATAAACTGCGAACCGCTCAGAGCAGATGAGATGTCAGACGAAGAATAGTATCCACTCGAGTCGGAATTGTAATTTCTAGGATAGCTGACTAATGGTTTGAAGATTGAGGTTTAAAAAATCCTACCTGTCTCTCCTTTGAAACACAGATTTCAACGACATACAGCAATCGCGGACCAACCGATGGTATCTCTATAATGAAAGTATGATATTTCATACAAGTTCAAGGTGATTTAATATGTACAAACTGAGTAATGGGGTTTTTCCAATCGTTGCACTTTTCTCACATTTTTTAGAGATCAACAAGTATCATGTGAGCGATTTCAACTAAGAATTTCAAGGAATGGAGGGGGGGGGGGACGGAAAGAAGCGAGTTTTTCTACGCCATTACTGTAGCATTGTGTGGGGAGCTGTTGTTGTATAACTATCACTTTGACATCCAAGAAGAATGTTCTTTTATTTTTATTTTTAGTTGAATTTTGAGCTGCAAGGGAGGCCATGACGATTTTAGAAACTCATATTCTTAACACAAGTGGATATGGAATAACTGCTAACTGACGATATTTCTATAATTTTTTTATCTGTAAAAATAACTTGAAATCGGACATTTTGAAGTTTCAGAAAGCACAATAAAAAAATTATCCATCCTATAGCAATAGAGCCTGAATAAAAGATACAGAAATTTGAAATTTTGAAGTCTATTCTATTATCAAAGCTATCATATCAGGTCACTACGAAGATTTTTTTGTCAGCTTCTTGAACATCTTCAAAATAAAACCTAAAAGTTCCCTCTCGTGAAAGGAAAGGGAAGGCACTTCTCGAATTCATTCCAAAAAGCTACGAGTCACCGTTCCTCTAGAACGAATTTTCGCTTCAGGTAATGGTCCAAATTTCCTTCTTTCTTTTTTGTAGTTGGGGCTGTTATACTGTAGGATGAGATCAGAAAATCGTAGGGACTGATTCAGATTTGTTCACAAAGGAATGACTTTAGTAGTGACATAATGTCTAAAAAGATGTTTTGGCGCTGAATTTGCTCGACATCGAGAAGAGAAGTAATGGGGATGTTTTAGGATAGTTCATAAGTTTTACACCAGAGAAGAAAATAAGGAAAATTTGAAGATGTTCAAAAAGATATACATCATATTATTGTGATGATGCCAAAGGTCCCGATTGAAATGTCAAATAGATAGAACCGAAAATAATCCGCAGAGACATTCAATTAGCGCAAATTTTTCTCACAATCAGATGAAAAGAGCAGGTCGCTGGAGCGTAATCAAAATTCAGATCTGATTTTTGTAAGCTTTTCAGCATTTTTTTCTTGGCTGGAATCGCAATGGTTATACCAATGCGTTTCTGCTTCACTTCCAAAAAGCGCAAAATTTCATCTATCAGCTAACTAAAACGAATTCATTTGAGGCAAGAGAAAGACTCATGGCCAAGTCTGGTAGTTGGAGCTCGACAGGTAAATGATAAGTGAGCAGCTCAAGGTTCGAGTGAGAATTAGATGGCATGAGATGACTTCGGTGCAAATGCGCTCTGGTACTGGAAAAAGAATTGTTCTATTACTAGGCAAACAAACAATTGCAAACGATAGGTTCTCACAATACTCTACTGATGTACTCAAATACTTACCTCAAGTCTTGGGCCTCTTCGGTGCTTTTCGTAGTACGAAATATTGCAGACCTCAAGATGTGACAGGCGCAAGTCCTCTGAACGAGTGTGTGTAGATATCCGGCACTAAGCTCGACTGTCTGGCGTAGTCCAAACAGTTTTGACAGCTAGCTGCTCAACCCGCTCTCTGAGCCTGTTCTCTGCTATAGATTTCAGTTCAAACACTATGTCGATTTTACATCAAACTCACACATCAGGGACTAGTCTCGAGCCCGTGTCACCAGGAAAAACACTTGACAGTTTCAAGTGGTTTTTCTGACCGTGTGTTTGCGTTTGTGCTGTTTGACATATAATAAGAAAGGTGTCTTTGTACGCAAAACTGGTCACCGTCAACATTATAGATACTTGTAAAAGAATGTAGTAAAAACAGATAGGAATTTGCGTGTTTATAACAATGAGTTTACTCTCGTTATTCGACAAATTACTGAAGTTTATCCATAGCGCATAGAAACATATGTTGTAGGAAATGGATTCGGAATTTCTATTGGCTTCTCACAAAGAAGCTACCCCAGCAGGGAAATAATTAAATACTTTGGGGGACAAGTAAATACTTCCTCCTTTGCCAGAGATTTGCCAGAGATTATCTCAAAACATACCCTTTGATTCAACTGGCTTGCCGCCTGAAAGGCGGGGCTTCGTGATCTAACTGAGGCTAGATGATCACAGAGCACTTTGCGCGAAAGTTTTCTATGTAAATTTTTGCCTTATGTTTTTATATTTTTATGTTATGTTTATTATTTGTTCTGAATTTATTTATTTTTGGTTTGTCATTTACAGTCTGCTACAATCAAGATCAGGCCGAACCGTTGGCGTAAATTTGCGCGCTCGCAACGCTAGCGGTCTGCGCTGCATACGCGCGCTGTCGGAGAGAGCAAAAGGATTGCAGAGAGCAGAGAAGCAGGCCGTGGGCGTGACCGCGAAACTCTAGCGATGCGGGCTCCCGCCATGCCAAATTTGGCCTGGTTGGGAGTGGGGCAGACTGTATGTCCCGACGAATCATTTTTTATCCAGTTTTCAAGCATACCGCATCTGCAGATTATTATGCTCATGAAAACGATAGGCAAGGAATTGAACGATTACCTAGGAGAAAGTACTTCCCTTTCCGAGAAAAAAATTCTTCTCGATGTTGCTTCAAATCTGATGACTTGTAACCATAAATGAGCGTGGCGTCAGGCGTGCTCGACCGAGGGATGGAAGGGGGGTTGTATTGGGGAGCGAGTAGGGTATGGAGGGTCGTAATCAAGAAGCGAATTTCCTGAACGGCGACAACACCACATCTAGACAAAGTAAAGAACAAAACCACTAGAACGATAAACGTCATACCCTTACCAAAAAAGCTTGCTTATTATATCGAAACTGGTGGTGAGCAGCAGACCTAATAACTCTACTACCGATGTTTCAGTCGATCCCGAAAACTTTCATTAGGCCTCCACCATGTAAGATGGGCGTCGCTTCCGCCATCAGCGCTTCGAATCCCATTTATGAGCTTTAGAAACAGCAAAAAATATTGTAAAAACTTTACCAATACCTGCTATAATTCTCAGTACTTCTCTGTATCTAAAAAATGTCATTTCCTAAACAATATTGTGTTAATTTAAGAGAAGAACAAGTCAGCTCCTTTATCCCCAAAACAACGTAAAAGTCTTTGTTGACCTATGCCAGTTTCCTTCAATATAGTCCCCAAATAGAAGATTTAGAATTGTTCCCAAAACTTCAACCACCGCTTTCACTCAAGAAGCTACCAGAAGACCACAACAAGCTCAAACACCCGATGTGTAATCTAAAAGGTTAGTGCTAATAAATGACATGGAACTTGGTGAAAAAGCCTTCTTGATGATGAAGTTACTAGAGTCAAGTACCCCCTCGAAATGTCAGGTTGCCCAAGCTTCTGTAGCCTTGTGCCTGCCCGTGACCTTCTTAACTTACCTTTAAAACCTGCGAACAGCTCCATGATTCTCAAGAATACTAGTAAGGGAAGCATACCAGCATAATTTGGGAAACCAAAAAGAGATGTGTAACAATAGACGCATCTCCGAACGGTGACCAAATCTGCTTTCCGTTTCTGCAGAACAACTCTCTGAAAAAGTTAAGAGCGTTTGAAATTTTGAAAATTGTCAACTTTCAGGTGGCATAATACTAGCGAAACCTGTACAGAAACAACTGGAAATGGTGGTCAATTCTGTGAATAAAATCATGGAACCGCATAGGTTTTGTGGTAGAGGTTTGCGCTGATTTCAAGCCACTTACAGCTTGACGAACTTGAACATGAAAACGTTTCTTTGAAGGGTTGTTCCGCAGAAACGGAGAGCAGGTTTGAAATCAGCGTCTGAAGGCGCGTCTATTGATATACATCACTTTTTGGATTGCCAGATTATGGTGATATCCTTTTCCCTTGTAAGCTTAGAACCTGTTCTTGTCATGGTACTAATCTGGTCATCCTCATTTCTTGAGGAAGTTATAGCTCTTGAAAGAACTCATACCCAGAGATAATTCACCATCAACTTGGCTGTTTTCACCATGTTATGCAATCGCAAACAGGCTCCAGGCTTCAAATCAGAAATTCGTCACTACAGGCTTGCTTCTCTTTAAAGTCCGACATTGAGATTGCGGAGGTAAAAATGAGGAAGGAGGGACCGTTCAGGTAGGTGTATAAAGGGGGGGGGTCGCTTTCGAAGGGCATGTACCTGATCTCTTGCTCAACCCTGGTTGTAACCTCAAATAATGCGATTCAAAATCACCATGTGAATTACCTCATACGTTTCGAAGCCATTTTTCACTAACACATCTATCTTGTAGTTTTTTTTGTTCAGCCGACATTACTCGGGCCACCAGCTTCGACTTTCTTCGGTTTTGGCATGACGTCGTCTAAAGTAATAAATGCTTGTTGCTATAGGAAAAGGCCGAGATGTCGTCTTCGCTACCATTAATTATAGAAGTTAATCTTCACTCAGAACCAATCAATCGAGCAAGAAGAAATGCAGTCAAGAAATTGTTAGCAAGAGAGAATGTTGAGGACAAACCCTATGCCCTAACTTAGCGTGCGAGAACACCTATTGCAGGAGTCCTACTTACTGCCCTATCTAATGCAGTTGAAGTTTGTAGAAAGCCATTTATTTCTCCAAGTCTCCAGCTTTGCTCAGGTGTGTTGTTCTTTTTCGGCTTCACAAAAGCAGTGGAGGGCATGCCAGTTGTTAATCCAGTTTGTATTGGGTTTTTTGGTCCATGGGCCAGCACTGGGGAGAGCGGTAGGCTGACATCAAGAACAATAACCAGCGCAGAAAGCGACATTTCAACCTTTTGTAATCCAACGAGATCTTCTCGTACACCAACGAGAAGCACCGCCAAGAGAATGTTGAAAAACCATATTTGTAGATAAAACAACGTGATGTGTATTTTCCTGTCGTATTGAACTTCATATACAGGGTGTCCCTAAAGTAAGTACACACTTTTCAATCGTCAGTATCTCTCTTCCCAATCGGTCTTATTTTGCCAATAAAGTACCATTCTGTAAAGGAAGCTTCAACTTAGATTTACAGTATCGGGCGAATCGGCGATCTCTCTTCGTTACTGTGGGATTATGGTAAGAACTTCCTGCATATGGAACCATTGTGAAATATGCCATCTGACAAAAATTATTTCAAAAAATTTGGAAAATCGTGCACTAGGGTTTTCGCGCACGCTGATTCCACTACACAACTTCTTACGAGTGCTTTTGGCTTTTTTGACGGTGTAATCACATTTCTAACAAATACTGGGTTATTACGGTTTACCTTGGTTAACTCTGGAAGAAAGCACCATAGTAAGGTGGAAGTTTCATATTCGAAATCAGCGGCTTCCATTACCATAGTATGAGAGGTTTTGGCTAGTTTGGTTTTGTTCCGAGGCAGAATATGGCCTGAAATCCTTGTCGAAGTTCCTACAGTGATCCCACAGTAATGAAAGGCGAACGCTGATTCGCTCGATACTGTAGATCTAAGTTGAAGCCTCCTCTACAAAATGATAATCAAATGGGGGGAAAAGACACAATGGGAAGAGAGATATTAACGATTTTAAAGTGTGTACTTACTTTTGGGACACCCTGCATTCTGAACTTGTAAAGCATACTTTACGAGAATTTTCGTAACTTAAAGTCTCCCGCAGGATGAATACCAAATCATTTTTAAAGCACTATAAGATTTGAAGAGATTTACCTTCCGTTAACCTAAGACAAGGGTTTCATGCGTTGAAATTACCCTACATATAGGCTACTGCCGGAGAAGGCGCAGAACCTAGGGGTACGAACGCGGTCTTGTTAGCCACAACTTGAGGCGCATTGTTTACCTTGGTAAAGATACGCTTCCGCCGCGAAATTGTGCAAGTGACTTTCTCGTTACTTGTAATGTTTAATACGCTTTCAAATCTCTTGTAGAGACTGAAACTAGTTTGTAAAATTTCTTCAACTTGAGGTAGACGCTGGGAAGCATTCCAAGCATTCCAAAACTCTTGGAAAAGCTAACGCATCGCCCTCTTATCCGAAAATAAAAAAAATTCTGTCGACTCCTCCTGAAATCGCGAAGCTATCTTCTGATTGTAAGAAAGTCTAGTTGCCCAAACTTGTTAAGATCTTCTGAGGAATGCCTTCTGCTCAGTTGTTTGAATTTTTACGAGTTTTTAAACAGAACGTTTAAATTTGAGTTTTTGGTCCAATCTTGACGGGAGATCATTTTTATACAAACCACTCTAATGCTTATCTTTTCGCCAACTTTTGCCTGATCCCTCTGAAAAACTATGCAAAAAAGCTACTGAACCCTAGCGGTCTCATTTGATGTGTGGTCATATCGACAGTTTAATAATGAACACGTAATTTGTCAGACAGTTTCTCGTACCAGACTGTTTCAGTTCGCAGAAAGTTCTGCGCTGCTTGCTCTCCTGGAACAATTCTTCATCGCTGTCACCCTATCGCAGTTTTTAAGCGATTGTGATGATCTTTAATTGAGACTGGGGTCTTAAAACATACACTCAGTGACATTGTTGAATACCTATAGTGCATAAAGAACCAATGATTCCTACGAACGTCATGAGAAATACCACAATTAAATGCGAAATGTTGCGGAATTACTAAATAGCGTAAAAGCTGCGAATGCTGAAGTTCCGCTGACTCAGCAAAAATAGTAAGAATTTCAACGAAGTATGACCTAGCTTAGTTCAAAGCCCATAGTCATAGCATGACTTTTGGACTCCAAAGCGGGGGCTAAGGAAGAATAGCGCACATTCTTTTAACCAAAATCTTACAGTAAAACTACAATCCCAGGAGGGGAGGCGGGGGGCGACAAAAACTTTTTTGAATAAAGATACACACGTGGCTTCAGCCACGCTTTCCGAAAAAAATTTTTTGGGATGCTTCCCAAAAGTTTTGCGGGCTCATAACCTCAATGCACATTTTTACAAAACATGTAGACAAGGCTCGGCACAACTGGCATCCTCAAGCTGGGTATCGTTTTTGGGACAAAAAGCAAGGAAAATATCGTTTTATGGCCAAAAAGGCACAAAAATTGCGACGTTTTTTAGTCGACGTTTCGTTTTTCAAGGGTTTTTTGCGTTTAGGGTTTAGGGTTAAAGGAGACCTGGTACGAACTTTTCAAGATCAAAGGGACTTCGTTTCAAAATTCCCCTGGTTCCAGCTTGTCCGAGCTCTGCATGTAAGTAACTTTCAAAAATTTTGTGACTCATTCTCTCCCCCCCCCCCTTGATACGCCACTGATATTGCCTACTAATTAGAATTTCAGTTTGCTCAGAGTTATCGGTTATTGGCGGAAATGGCGTTCGCTTTTCAGCTACTAATGTGGGATTGAGGTATAGCTACGGTATGAAATCAAAGAACGTGGCAAAAGTCGCTTCACTAAATCTAAATAAAAATCAAATGGCGTAAAATAGTATAGTTCTGTGCTGCGAATTACGTTAGCACGCTACCGTATTTCTACAGTAGCAAGTCTTCTTCATTCCATTCGTGTGGCAATCTTCAGCTTAATTACGCACTCATGACTGAATCAGCTAAATTGGAAGTCCAATGCCTTCAGATACATAGCCGTCTATTTTCCGTTCCATTTCTCAAATTTGCAGCGGATTCTGAAGACAATATCAAGAATCAACGAATTTTACCGATATGTATATCCAGGGCACGGCACAGGTGGCTTACCAAGCAAGCTGGATATCGTTTTTGGGGAAAAAGCAAAGGGGATATCGTTTTTGCGGAAGAGCATAACGTTGTCTTTCGATCTGCGGCCGGCACGCTGCCGGCTTGCCGCCCGCAAATAAACAAAGGGTTTGTTTACAGCGAAGTGAAGATGAAATGACACCAAAATAGGTGTGTAGTTGCGCAATGGGGAGTGAGGACTAAGTATGAAAAATTATGGAAAAATTATGTGAACTAGAGGCGTGCTCAACTTTTTTTGGAGTTAGGTGGCTTTCAAGCCACCTGGATAGCCACCTGAGGTGGCTTGGGAAAGAAAAAGTCATAAATTTTTCCTCTCTCACATAATTTTTCTACTTTCTTTACATACTCTTCATCTACATCCCAAACCCTACAAATTGGTTCCTAAACCGCCTCAAACCCCCTTCTCCCCGCTTAGTTATAGCCCCTTAAAAATTCTGAATGGCGGCGGAAAGGCTGCTCTAGGCGCGTATTGCTGCACGATGGATACATCATGCCGCCAATACGGAGAATACGGATATCATCGCTTGTGTTCGTTGATTCTTTTTCGTTTTTTTTCTGTTGTTGCTTTGTTCCGTTCCTTTTCATGTATTTTCTCTTCGAATATCTCGTGGCGGATGTCGTAATTTCATTGAAGTCAAAGGGGACTTCATTTTTTGCAATTTCGCGAAGCCACCTCGTGCCGAGCCCTGGTCTAGGGTCAAAGGGGACTTCGTAAAAATTCGTAAAAGTCAAGGGGGACTTCGTTTTTTGCATTCTCAACTAGCCACCTTGTGCCGAGCCCTGTGTATATCAATAAATGCGGAAAATCACCAACTAAGGCAGATGCCCAAAATTAGTCCTCTCATATTTATATCTTGAATGGAACTCAGAACAAATAAGAAGTTTCCTATTTTTGTTACAAAAATACTATAACGATCTTGGTAAAAGTGGTTGTCGCACAGAGTGACCCTGTGCACGATTCGATTATCTCATCGTTCACGCCGATGGAAACATTTCACCCGAGAAACCGATTCTTGATTCGCTGATGACCAAAAGTCAGCTTGCAATGTTGTGCTATAGCATGAAAGTCCAAGACGAAGTGCATGCCCATAAAATAGAAGAATTTATGAAAAAACTGCATGGCCCCAATCAAAAAAAAGAAGAAAAGCAAGGGCTACACAGGCTACTACATTCTGGTAGTTCCCTGGCGATATTGTCTTGCATACATCTACCAATATAAAATGATAATCACAGCATAAAGAGCAATAAGGACAAAAGGAGTCAAGAGGTAAAGGGTTATGCTACTCCAATAACGTAGGATATGGGAGCTCTATAGAAAACAAACTAGACAAATCTTTTTCGTGTAGAGTGATCGTTTGATTAGCCTACCTAAGAAATCAATAAGAGTTTGGTTTTTTCGACTTTCTAGATCTAGAACTTCGTCCAGAAACAAGTTCTAGCTCCAATCCCGAAAGTGGTAGAGGGCTCAAAAAAATCTTTATGCTTTTGAAAACTCAACACAATGAATAAGTTTTCAATGCTAATAACCGAAAGTAAGGCAACGAAATTCTCAGTTACGCCGTTAATCCTGTACCTGTACTTGCTGTAAATCTAATAGTGTAAATCCTACCAAATCTGATCCACATCAAATGGACAAAATTCAAAATATTTATGGCATCACTATTGAAATTTTATTGACATCAAAAAAAAATCTAAACTCGGTTAATCAACAAATGAATGCAATCCAGGAGGGGGGGGGGGTGGCAATGATGCAAGACTACCTAGCAGTCTTATGCAAGCTTCAATTTAAACTTACTGGATAGCAATTCATTTGTTACTCTAATCTTAGCTAGAATCATTTCTACTATCACACTTAACTAATGAATGTTTTAATGCTATAAGCAAGGTCAACGCGCTTACGTCAAAGACTGGTAAAGACCGAAATGTACGCCGTCTACACTGGACGCCCTTGCTATAAAAGCAAAGCTGCACAAGCCTGAGCAGTGTGCGGTGGTTCTCCGTTGCTGAGAAGTAAGTCCTTGATTTATTTCTCTTGTTTGATTTATGAAAAATAAAGTTTCAGATGCTGCTTATACTGTTCACACTAGTCGCCCTTGTTACCGCTCAAGGAGCTGGAGGATACGGAAATCAAAATGCAGGATACGAAGAGGCTGAAGTTAGGCAGCCCCCACCTCCACCAATGAGTGCATCTGGGGGAGATCAACAAGCTTATAATTCTGAAGGAGGTAGCGAAGGCAGAAGCGCCGGAGGTGGACGAGGAGATGGTGATGGAGGTGCAATGATGGGCGGCGAAGGCGGTGGAAGGGGATCCGGCGGAGAAGGTAGTATGATGGGCGGTAGTGGAAGCGGTGGTGGAGGTCAAGCTGGAGGAGGTGGAAGCAGCAGCAGCGAAGAAGGAGGTGCAGGCCGTCACAGAGGAGGTGGTAAAGAAGAAAGCAGTGGCGAAAGCAACAGTGGAAGCAGCGGAGGCAGCGCCGGAGGAGGCAGCGGAGACAGCAGCGGCGGAAGCAGCGGAGGCAGCAGTGGAGGAAGCAGCGGAGGAAGCAGTGGAGGAAGCAGTGGTGGAAGCAGCGGAGACAGCGTCGGCGGAAGCAGCGGAGGCAGCAGTGGAGGAAGCAGTGGTGGAAGCAGTGGAGGCAGCGCCGGAGGAAGCAGTGGAGGCAGCAGTGGAGGAAGCAGTGGTGGAAGCAGCGGAGGCAGCGCCGGAGGAAGCAGTGGAGGCAGCAGTGGCGGTAGCAGTGGTGGAAGCAGCGGAGGCAGCGCCGGAGGAAGCAGTGGAGGCAGCAGTGGCGGTAGCAGTGGCGGAATCTATGCTGCTGGCGGAAGCACCGGCGGCCACTCTGAAGCTGGAAGCGTTGGAGGAGGAGAAAGCAGCGGAAGTGGAAATCAAGTTGATGCCGGCGTAATCAGCAGTGGAGGAAGATACTCTGCTGGCGGAAGTGCAGGTGTATATTCTCGAGGCGGAAGGTACTCCGAAGGAGGTGTTGGAGGACCTTCAGGCGGTGGAGAAAGCACCGGCGGTGGCAGCAGCGGAGGCTCAAGAGGAGGTGAAAGCGGAGGTCGCGGAGGCGGAAGCTACTCCGAAGGAGGTGCTGGAGGAGGAGGCAGTGGAGGAAGCAGCGGTGGAAGCAGCGGCGGAAGCAGCGGTGGCTCAAGCGGAGGCGGCACAAGCGGCGGTGGAAGCGAAGGTCGTGGAGGCGGAAGCTACTCCGAAGGAGGTGCTGGAGGAGGAGGCAGTGGAGGAAGCAGCGGTGGAAGCAGCGGCGGAAGCAGCGGTGGCTCAAGTGGTGGCTCAAGCGGAGGCGGCACAAGCGGCGGTGGAAGCGAAGGTCGTGGAGGCGGAAGCTACTCCGAAGGGGGTGCTGGAGGAGGAGGCAGTGGAGGAAGCAGCGGTGGAAGCAGCGGCGGAAGCAGCGGTGGCTCAAGCGGAGGCGGCACAAGCGGCGGTGGAAGCGAAGGTCGTGGAGGCGGAAGCTACTCCGAAGGAGGTGCTGGAAGAGGAGGCAGTGGAGGAAGCAGCGGTGGAAGCAGAGGTGGCTCAAGTGGTGGCTCAAGCGGAGGCGGCACAAGCGGCGGTGGAAGCGAAGGTCGTGGAGGCGGAAGCTACTCCGAAGGAGGTGCTGGAAGAGGAGGCAGTGGAGGAAGCAGCGGTGGAAGCAGAGGTGGCTCAAGTGGTGGCTCAAGCGGAGGCGGCACAAGCGGCGGTGGAAGCGAAGGTCGTGGAGGCGGAAGCTACTCCGAAGGGGGTGCTGGAGGAGGAGGCAGTGGAGGAAGCAGCGGTGGAAGCAGCGGCGGAAGCAGCGGTGGCTCAAGTGGTGGCTCAAGCGAAGGTGTCACAAGCGGCGGTGGAAGCGAAGGTCGTGGAGGCGGAAGCTACTCCGAAGGAGGTGCTGGAGGAGGAGGCAGTGGAGGAAGCAGCGGTGGAAGCAGCGGTGGCTCAAGTGGTGGCTCAAGCGGAGGCGGCACAAGCGGCGGTGGAAGCGAAGGTCGTGGAGGCGGAAGCTACTCCGAAGGAGGTGCTGGAAGAGGAGGCAGTGGAGGAAGCAGCGGTGGAAGCAGAGGTGGCTCAAGTGGTGGCTCAAGCGGAGGCGGCACAAGCGGCGGTGGAAGCGAAGGTCGTGGAGGCGGAAGCTACTCCGAAGGGGGTGCTGGAGGAGGAGGCAGTGGAGGAAGCAGCGGTGGAAGCAGCGGCGGAAGCAGCGGTGGCTCAAGTGGTGGCTCAAGCGGAGGCGGCACAAGCGGCGGTGGAAGCGAAGGTCGTGGAGGCGGAAGCTACTCCGAAGGGGGTGCTGGAGGAGGAGGCAGTGGAGGAAGCAGCGGTGGAAGCAGCGGCGGAAGCAGCGGTGGCTCAAGTGGTGGCTCAAGCGAAGGTGTCACAAGCGGCGGTGGAAGCGAAGGTCGTGGAGGCGGAAGCTACTCCGAAGGAGGTGCTGGAAGAGGAGGCAGTGGAGGAAGCAGCGGTGGAAGCAGAGGTGGCTCAAGTGGTGGCTCAAGCGGAGGCGGCACAAGCGGCGGTGGAAGCGAAGGTCGTGGAGGCGGAAGCTACTCCGAAGGGGGTGCTGGAGGAGGAGGCAGTGGAGGAAGCAGCGGTGGAAGCAGCGGCGGAAGCAGCGGTGGCTCAAGTGGTGGCTCAAGCGAAGGTGTCACAAGCGGCGGTGGAAGCGAAGGTCGTGGAGGCGGAAGCTACTCCGAAGGAGGTGCTGGAGGAGGAGGCAGTGGAGGAAGCAGCGGTGGAAGCAGCGGTGGCTCAAGTGGTGGCTCAAGCGGAGGCGGCACAAGCGGCGGTGGAAGCGAAGGTCGTGGAGGCGGAAGCTACTCCGAAGGAGGTGCTGGAAGAGGAGGCAGTGGAGGAAGTAGCGGTGGAAGCAGCGGTGGCTCAAGTGGTGGCTCAAGCGGAGGCGGCACAAGCGGCGGAAGCAGCGGTGGAAGCAGCGGTGGAAGCGGTGGCGGAAGCAGCGGTGGCTCAAGCGGCGGAAGAAGCAGGGGCGGCTCAAGCGGAAGTGGCAGCGGAGGTCGTGGTGGTGCCGGCGGAGACAGAGCTAGCGGCAGATGTGGTGGCGGCGCACAGGAAGGCGGCCATAGCGGACAAGGAGGAGGTGAGGGAGGATCATCCTCGGGTGCAACAGGTCCAGCTGAACCCTCGGTAAGGTGCAAATTTTGATTCTCTTAGCAGCGATTAGATACAGTACTTCAGGGCGACGGCTACTCCCTTCGCAAAGTTCTCGCACTCTAGACTATCCAAGTCTATCAAAGTCCACGGGGACTTCACTCAGGGTCTCAATCTAGATTTCTATAGAGACAGATAAACATTTAAAATATATTGTCCATGGATCATTTCTAATTTTAGTGCTGTAGAATCAAGTATGCGCATTCAACGAGCGCTTGTAACATGTGAAACTGTGTACAAAAGTAAGACACAGGTTTTTCTTCCCAAGTTTGCCGCTACCTTCACCGAGTAGAGGTAAATTTATCGCATCGACTGAGTTCTACAGTACATTCTCAAGGCCTTGCCCACCTTGTACGATTTTAATGACTTCCACTTTTCAAAGAACTCAAGGTGCAGTAAGTTTCAAAAGATCAAGAAAAGCTGTGCTGATGAAGCATTTCGCGGGTTAAATGCACTATCACCTCCCCTACCCCGCCACTCCTCCCTCATCTCATCCCCATAACTGAAAACTCCTTTAGAAAAGAGCATGTTCAGTCTTCTCTAATTGGGCCTACTTCCACTGACTTCCAAAGTGCAGAGCACCTATGGTCAAAATTGTCAAAATTTGGGCAGCGCATACAGAATGCTCGCGCAAAAAAATGACTGTAAGAGCCGTCAGATACATCCGAATCAAAAAGAAAGTGGAATAATCAAAATCGGTCGAGCATTTACATTCAGACCACCATAAAGTCACAAAGTGTATGGTGCATGTTGGAGCTACGAGTTTTGAGCTTAATATACAGGGTGTCCCAAAAGTAAGGACACACTTTTCAATCGTTTAGATCTCTCTTCCCATTAAGTTTTTCACCGCCACTCATGTACCTTTCTGTAGAGAAGGCTTCAACTTAGATTTACAGCATCCAGCGAATTACCGTTCGCTCTTCATTACAGTAGGCTTACTGTAGAATCTTCGACAAGGATTTTAGGTCATTAGAAGCCATATTCTGCCCCGAAACAAAACCAAACAAGCCAAAAAACTCTTATACTATGGTAATGGAAGTCGCTGATTTCGAATATGAAATTTCCACTGTGATGCTTCTTTCCAAAGTTATCCCAGGTAAAGCGTAATAACCGAATTCCCAGTATTTGTCGGAAATGTAATTACATCGTCTAACAAGCTGGAAACACTCGTAAAAAGTTGTGCAGTGGAATCAGCGTGCGCGAAAACCCTAGTACACGATTTTTCAGATTTTCTAAAAAAAATTTGTCAGATGGCATATTTCACAATGGTTCCACATGCTGGAAGTTCTTACCGTAATCCTACGGTAACGAAGAGGGATCGGTGATTTGCTCGATGCTGTGTATCTAAGTTTAAGCCTCCTTTACAGAGTGGTATTTGAATGGCAAAAAAAGACCCATTGGGAAGAGAGATATTGACGATTGAAAAGTGTGTATTTACTTTTGGGACACCCTGTATACTGATCAAAAGTAAAGAAGTATAGTTTGACACCACTTGCCAAAAAGAGACGGAAGTTGGATCAACTCAACCAAGGTTTCGCCGAAAGATATGTCAACCTCAATGACAAAACTTTGAGTAGAATCCAAGTTCCCTCACGAACATGCTCTCTGATCACTTTCTAGCCACAATTAGGTCACGGAGTCCGCCTTCCAGCCCTCGATCTGGTTGAAGCAAAGGGTAGATACTGTCACCCAAATCGAGAAGGTCAAGAGATATTTTCACTCGCAAAATTTCCAGCGGAATGTGCTGTAAAGAGGTTATTCATCGCTCCCCTTGCATTTTCAGAGCACGAAAATTCAATGACCTTTTTGTCATTGCCTCGAACAAGTCAAGCAAACTACCTGCTTGCTTGAAAAGATGTCCACCAATAACAAAAATTCCTATCCTCATTGAGCGCTCAGTCACTATGCGATCTAGCTACCAAATGTCCTCAAAACCAACACCGCCATGCTACTAAAGACAGAAGCTACAACTACAGTAGACTAGTAAAGTGCTCTGATTTTGTATATTCAAAGTGCGTTTACGAGGAGTTGTGAACAACTGGAATATTGTCAAACTGCATGGCGACTGTAATCGCATGAGTATGCCCGAGGTCTGAAGCATTATCCTTCAAACCGGAAATTGTGTAATGCTCTTACCCCCCCCCCCTCCCCACCCAGAAACAGAGTCGGTTCTGAACTAGCAAACAAAAAGGAGCAATTAGACAAGAGTATAGGCATTGTCGAATCGTTGCCCCTCGCGTTGAACACCAACACGCGGAGCTGCTGGAGTCATGGGGTCCCGGCACGACATAGGCTAATCACAGATAATGAGCGCGCACCTCTTTCAAACACATTTTCATAATTTTTAAAAATACTGCCTAAATATACCGTGCAATGCTGAAAGCAACATCGATGTTGACCGGAAAATTAATGAGTGCATGAGATCGCCTGTAGTGGTTCGCGACATACTGGTGTTCAAGGCACAGGTAATTAGCTTTTGCAAGGCCTATACATTGAATCACGGTAGGTATACGGTGGCGTGCCACTCGAACTAAATTTGTTCAATGATGTGGTTCGGCATGATGACTGCTACTATCGAAGTGATTTCAAACTTGGCGGTTGTGATATAGTTACGAGCTCATATTATAGGCAGTCGTCAAAGATTGGGACTTGGAGGTTTTGATACTACGGCAAAGAGGCAGCTTACGGCACGGGAAATCCGTGTTTTTTCAAGGCTCTCGAGGAAGGAGATACCAGTTAGCCCGCAGCCTCAAGAATTTATTAGAAAGGTCAAATTTTAACGCTGATTTTAAATGTTAAACTCCTAGATCGGCCTACTTTCATCAAAATATAAAAGATGAGACTTGTACGGGTAGAGGACGTTATGGCGAGAGGGAGGTCCCGCGCAGATGTCCGCAACAAACACGTTGCTCTAACAAATGACAATAAAATCGTGACGATGGGGTTAGAGGACTATACGTCGCCAGAAGCGGGAGGGTCCCGCGCGGACAATGCAGCAGATACTCAGCACTGGCACACATATGCGGCGGGACCATCCACTTTCGGCGACATATGATCCCCTAACCTGAGGCTGCGTTCATACTGATCCCAAAGTCCGGGAACAGTTCCAGCACAGCGCTTGAAATGAGCGCTGTGCTGAAACTGTTCCCGGATTTCGAAATCAGTCTGAACGCAGCCTGAGGTAGGTGCCAGAGTAAGCGAATATTTTGTTCAGGTTGGGGTCCCGAGCAGAATTGACGTCACTTGGATTGACGCCAGCATGGTGAGTGACGTAAATTCTGCCCGGGACCCCAACCTGAACAAAATATTCGCTTACTCTGGCACCTACCTGACAACGGCAGCCTCTGCGTGTTTGCATACGCGTTTCGGCAACGGCATTTTCTTACCTTCCCACTCTACTTAATTCGCTTTGATGCTTGCACATAATAGCTTTCAGATACTGGAAGTGACTGTGCAGAGCATCAAAAGACGTCTGTCTGTTTCTCGCTTTTGTGACGTTTAGGTGCGCGCAAAGACCGTAGGAATTTATCGTCACGTTTTCATGAAGGACCTATGACATTTAGCTGCTAAACGACGTATCTTCCTCCACCCCAAAATGGATTATCTGGGACACGCGCATCTTTTCATGCTTCTGGGACACGCGCATCTTTTCATGCTGAACGCGGCGCGCATATTTCTCAACTTTTGAAGTTTGTTTCAACCCCACAGGCCGAAATTGAAATAGCGGGTATCCGCCACGCAACCGTTCGCGCCGTATCGCAACAAGAGTATTACACACGTGCAAATCTATGTCTGTGCCCCATTCTCTTGGTTGTTTAAGTGGCAGAATGCTAGCGGTGTGAGCTTGCATAGAATAAAGCGAAGCGGACGCGATGCTCCTCATAAAATGTTTTGTCCTACATTCGCATATATAGACTGTTCTGGGCGAGCGCGTTCCTAAGAGGACACTGAACTGCTTTTTGAAAGGTCCTCGTCTGTTTTCTTGGTTTCAAGGGCTAATTTTACAGATATCTGTTTTTTTTTGTGGTACCATACTCAATTCGGACTATGTTATTTCCGTACACCAGTAATTTAGTAGTCAAACAGTGGCGGTCACATTTCCATTCCGGGAGGGGGGGGGGGGGGGGGAGGGTAGGGAAGAGAAACGAAAATTTTCTTTTGATGAAACTGCGTGGCGTGCATCCCGAAAATTTCTCTGGACCATAAACCTGAAATTTTCGAGAAAGGGGTGTGGCGGTAGCCTTGTTCACAAGTATAAACAAGTCACTTGCACATTTGTATGACGTACATTAGGTTGGCCCGAAAGTTCTGTCGCGTGATTTTTAAAACATATGAATTTCCCAACGTATTTGCTTGCTTTCATTCTCCTCTGAAAGAGCAAATCGCAATTTCTTCATAGCTGTATCTTAGCGGCTTCCTAATTGGCATACATTGCGTAGAAGCGGTAGAAGAAAATTACTCAAAATTTTGAATTTTTTGTGTAGGGTCATAAGAAATCCGAAAGTTGGGTAAAAATCGGAGCTATCAGTATTATGGGTTTTGTTAGCTGCTCTTTTCAAGTGTGTAAAGTTTGTGCCGATTCAGCGTCTCTAAGCAAAGTTATGATTCTCGAGCAAGTATTACAAAAGGGCGAATTCGATTTATTTTGGCATTTTTCTCAAAAATTATAACTTTTCATAGAGACGCTGAATCAGCACAAACTTTGCACAGTTAGAAAGAGCAGGTAACAGAACCTATAATGCTGATAACTCCAACTTTTACTGTAACTTTCGGATTTTTTATGACCCTACATAGAAAATTCAAAATTTGTATAAAAATTCAAAATTTGTATAATCTTCTACCGCTTCTATCTATGCAATGTATGCCCATTAAGAAAAGAAACCGCTATGAAGAGCATGATTTGCTCTCCAAAACAAAAATAAAAGCAAGCAAATCGGTTGCGAAACTCAGAAGTTATGAAATTTTTGAGGATGGTGTGGCAGAATTTTCGGGCCAACCTAATATAAGTAAGTTTTTAAGATAACGCTGTCATTAAAGGCACCGTCCACCCAAAATGGAGGTTAGCGAGCTTATGATGGCATACTAGTGTGGGCCCCCATACTAGACAAACCTTTAAGCTTCGCCGCAAAATACCGCTTTTGGAGCGAGAAATCCGCTCCGGAAGTAGCAAGGTAGGCGGGGCGACCCCGGTCGCCCCGCCCACTTCATGCTTTATCTCGCCTGCGCTTGTTGCAGAGGGTTCTCGAAACAGGGATTTTTGGGCGTTTCGCGGATTTTCGACTCCATATTCGGAATCAGGACTTTCAGAAGGCCTGAAGGCGACAAAAACACTGAATTCGAGATTTTGGGTGGACGGTGCCTTTAACACATCAAATGTGTCTGTGCCTAAAGCGATAGATTGAATCCTAAAAATCAACGTTTATTATGGGGTAGCACAAGCCTTGGTACTGTAGGCCATGACAAACAAAAATATCTATTATTTACACATCAGCTATCTTTCCTGAGAAGGATCCTTTGCTGTTATCTTTATAAATGTCTTTCAAAGAGTCTTTTCTATTATAAATATCTCTTTTCTGTCAGTAGCGTGCTTGAGCTCGGGATTGTGCGGAATGCCATTCAATAGCCAGTCTGCATTGCCACAGCATCTTCTGAAGTGTGCTTACGAAGGTGAGTGAAGCATTCACTTCATAAGGTTTTGCTATAGCTCTGGATAACATAGAAAAATTCGATGAGTACTATCTTGACTTCCTGCATGCGAGAGGTCTGCAGATGGCTGAAGAACGGGAAATCGGTTCACGTCTTGCAGAACCAGAAGGCAAAGTTTTATTGGTCAGGAAGCTTCTATGTATATGTAATATATGATGTCTAAGTTACAGATCGGGCGCACAGTCGTAGTACTACTTCTGATGCAGGAATATGTGAGAATGTAGAGGAAAGAAAGCAAGAAACTGCCAACAAAAACATGTGTGGGTATTCCATTATTTTCACACCTTTCATAACTGTGCTACAGTATATCTCCTGGTTAAGCCATTCAAGATCGCAGGCGGTACTTTGAGAAATTTGTACGGGACCATGGATACTCCGAAGAGAGAATAAAGCACTTGAAAGTGTTGATGCACGTTATTTATGGGAGGCCTCCACCTATCTCGGTGTGTTTTATATCTTTGTCCATTTATCCAGTCATCCTCTCCTTAGGTACAATGATCGTCTCGCTTCTTGGACAGCAAATTTCTGTAGACGGAATCTATACTGATATAAGTGCAGTGTTTGACAAAAGGATAAATGGGATGTGATAGATATCATTTAGATCCTGGAAGGGACTGTCAGCATTAAAGCACTCACTTTTTGTTTATTTATGCTCGTGAGGGCCAAGACCACATTCAAATCATAATTAAGACTTTAACCCGTTGACGACGATGTGGACCATCGATAGCCCACGCACTTTTTGCTGCCAGGGGCGATGTGGACCACCTGTGACCCACACCTCTTGCAAAGTCATATTCAGGGTCAAGCGTGGGGTGCGGCACGTCACACCTGGGGGGTCGTATTGAGGAGTCAAAAGGGGAGGGGGTCGTAGTTGGGTAATCTGATAATAGTGATAACATGATATTCGTATCACATCCATGATTAGCATGCCAATTAACCCCTGTAGACAAAGTGTGAGCAAATTCTGAAGATTCAAGATACTAGGCTACCTAAATGAAATGGTCAAATTCCAACATGGTTAACTTTGTTTCAAAAGTGAATTGACTATCCATTTTTGCACTCAAGACAAGCACTACTCCTTCTTTGTCCACCTCAGGAATCCCGCTTCAGAAGACCTCCAAATTGTGGAATTAGAAGCCAAGCAAAATCTCGTTTTTCCCATTTTTCGTTTTTGATCGCTGTGCTTTCACCAAATATTACTTACGAGGGAAGGATACTTAATGACCGTGGCCTTTTGTAATTAGATGTATACCAGTAGGTGCGTCTTGGAACGCTGATTCTAAATCTATGTTCACTATCTGCTGTGCGACTCCGTGAATGAAGTTATGGACTTTTTTCCATAATAATTTTGCGAGATTTGGGCAGTCAAAATCGTCAGTATCTAGGCTTTTTAGAGACTCTGATGTATCGCTGACATTTTATAGGACTCAGCGTGAAGCTTTACGTTATTTGTACACTCTTTTGTAGTGCATAAGCGAACATTCTAACGTTATTGGTGAATCCTGCATCAAAAACAGTGCAAATTCTGGCGAAAAGAAATGTTCATAACTTCTTTCGGAAGAGCGCACAGCAGATATGGAAAACATATTTGGAATAAGCGCTTCAGGATACATTCAATGGTATACGTTTCATTTCAAATGGTCACGGTCACCTATTCTTTCCTTGTTAGAGCTAAGAAGACAAATCAGGCTCCAAACAGTCCTATGGAATCTACAAGGTTTAGGCTATCGATTCATATAAATAGTGTCCGCTAAAAATGTTTTTTTGATATAGTTAATGGGGTGCGGCACACCCCCTTAAAAGCTGCGGCTGCCGCACCCCCTTAACTTGCCTTCAAAATCCAGAAAGCGCCCCATTGCTGGTATGAATATTAAGCACATAGCTTCTTCTTGCTACATTGGAAATTTGGAGCCGAACATAGGTGCGATGGGGTGAGCAAATGCTCACCCCCCTTCACTTTCGAGGCCGGGCTACCCCCCCCCCCCCCCTTCACCTGGGACTGAGGAAAAAAAATTTCAGGTGAGGAAGTAGTGCATGCGAAAATAAAAACTTATGTGATATAAAAAATACAATTTCAGGGAAATTATGGAACGCAGAATTTAATGAACATAGTTGCGACAGAACAATACATGGACAATGGTCAATAGCAAATATTCAACAGCTTATGGCGCTGATGGACAGCTTATTTGGCATTTACACCTGTAGATAATGTGCTATGATTGTGATTTATTGTCGCAAATAAATTTATTGCGGTATATGGAGTGCAATAAACGAATTAAATGTTTAATTGTGCCGTTTGAAGCATTATAATTGTTGTAGTAATGAGATTAGTGTAATTTGAGTCAAAGCAGTCTTTAACTGAGCTTTTCCATACAAGATGCAGAAAAAAATGGATCCTGAAGTGAATTTTTTGTCAATTAGGTTGCAAAAAAAATTAGGAAATTCAAAGTGTAATCATTGTTGCACATGAGTATGAACCTGGAAGATAACCGTCTAGGAGGATTGCACTCATGAAGAGCTTCCGATTGATATGTAGTATGCTGGCCTGGAACGACGTCGCCATGGAATCATCACTTTGCTAAAATTTAAAAAATCAAGATTTTCAAAATTATGTAACTCTTGTAAACAACACTGTATGTCGATGGGAAGGGTGTATATGGATTGCACTCATCAAGAGCTTCCGATTGATATGTAGTATGCTGGCCTGGAACGACGTCGCTATGGAATCATCAGTCTGCTGAAATGTAAAAAGTTGGATGAATTAAGGTTTTCAAAATTAAATAACTCTTGAAAATGATAACGAGTCTCGATGGGAAGGGTGTTTGTGGAATGTACTCATTATAAGCTTTCGATTGGTATACAAGAAGTTGGCATGAATGGAGTTTTTTATAGAAAAATCGTGCCTCAAAAAGACAAAATATCACGGTGCAAAAAATCGATTTTTTAAAAATAACTTTTGTATAAGTGAATGAATTAGGAAGGGAAGGGTGTAGGCGAACTGTACTCCTCAAGAGCTTTCGATTGATATATAATACATGGGGGGTTCATGCTGCTGGACTTCGGGAACAGGGGGTGAGCAAATTCGGGCGAAATGCTCACCTACAAGCGGCGAGATAATGATATAAGGTGAGGAGAGCTGAGCATTTCGGCCAAATTTGCTCACCCCCTGTTCCCGAGGTTCAGCAGCATGGACCCCCCATGTATTATATATCAATCGAAAGCTCTTGAGGAGTACAGTTCGCCTACACCCTTCCCTTCCTAATTCATTCACTTATACAAAAGTTATTTTTAAAAAATCGATTTTTTGCACCGTGATATTTTGTCTTTTTGAGGCACGATTTTTCTATAAAGAACTCCATTCATGCCAACTTCTTGTATACCAATCGAAAGCTTATAATGAGTACATTCCACAGACACCCTTCCCATCGAGACTCGTTATCATTTTCAAGAGTTATTTAATTTTGAAAACCTTAATTCATCCAACTTTTTACATTTCAGCAGACTGATGATTCCATAGCGACGTCGTTCCAGGCCAGCATACTACATATCAATCGGAAGCTCTTCATGAGTGCAATCCTCCTAGACGGTTATCTTCCAGGTTCATACTCATGTGCAACAATGATTACACTTTGAATTTCCTAATTTTTTTTGCAACCTAATTGACAAAAAATTCACTTCAGGATCCATTTTTTTCTGCATCTTGTATGGAAAAGCTCAGTTAAAGACTGCTTTGACTCAAACTACACTAATCTCATTACTACAACAATTATAATGCTTCAAACGGCACAATTAAACATTTAATTCGTTTATTGCACTCCATATACCGCAATAAATTTATTTGCGACAATAAATCACAATCATAGCACATTATCTACAGGTGTAAATGCCAAATAAGCTGTCCATCAGCGCCATAAGCTGTTGAACATTTGCTATTGACCATTGTCCATGTATTGTTCTGTCGCAACTATGTTCATTAAATTCTGCGTTCCATAATTTCCCTGAAATTGTATTTTTTATATCACATAAGTTTAAATTAAAGTTTAAATTACAAAATTATATGAAAAATAAACTAAAAATACAATATATCTTTACTATAATATAATATATACAAATAAAAAAATACAAAAATCAAATTATGCAATCTCAGCAGAAATTATGTATACAAAATTCTATTAATTACAGAAATTATTAAAAAAATTTTTTGGAAGAAAATTCCCCCCCCCCCCCCGGTCGACGTCTTAAATTTTTACAATTCTCCCCCCCCCCCCCGGTCGACGTCTTAAATTTTTACAATTCTCCCCCCCCCCCGGTCGACACCCTTCACTTTTGGGGGTCAAAATCAGCTGGGACACCCTTCACTTTGGAAAGACCCTGCTCACCCCATCGCACCTATGGAGCCGAACGTCCCACCCATAAGAAAATTATGGCCCTTTCAATATGCCCATTCAGATCAAAATCAGCCGTCAAATTACGTGTGAGTAAAGTGCAGTCACAGAAAATCGGGCGTACAGCTCTCAGAAATCCGAAAACTCTCTAGAAAAAGATGGTGTCCTCCAGAATGTCACACTTTGAGGTCCAGAGATTAAGAGGAGGAAGAAGGGGTCGTTTGAGGGTTTTCATGGGAGGGGGGGGGGGTAAAAGACTTGTGCCTGACCTCTTTCTCAACTCTGGTAATGCTATCTTAGATATATAGTTCAGGGGGAGTCTTATTAAGACAGCAATCAGAGGGGGCGTGGTCGTAACCAGCGATCGTGTGCCACACCCCTTGCTTGACCCTGGTCATATTGCTTGAAGGTCTAGTGTTCTTTCCATAAATCAATATTTTATCAATTTTTTGCACTCTTGGGACCTGTGTGCGTCGTCAAGAAATATTCATAGTTGTTTAGAAAACAACCCTGCATTTTGTAAATAACCGCAGAAGCTTCCCACACCGAAAGTGTTGTGCAAAATCGCGTCGTCTCTCAGGAGCCCCACGCAGAATTAGGCACCGTCGTCAATGCGACTGGCCAGACTATTCCCGTGATTGCTGCGATTCCTGTGATTCCTGCAGATTCCGCAACAATGTATAGCGAGAAAAAGTTTGTACTGAAATTCGCAAAGCGCTCCGCAGTGCAGCGCATCGGAATTCGAGGAATCTCAGGAAATACAGGAACTACAGGATTCACAGGACTCACCTCCTGGATAGTATGGCCGGTCCCAGTGGGTTAATGCCCTACATTGCCACAATAGTCATCGTAGAATCTGCAATAATAAAGTGACTTGCAGTCCCCTATTTGCACTTTCTATCACAGCAGCTCGTGTGTAAAAAGAAAAACCCAAAAACTCCCGAAAAACACGCTAAAACTCCACAAAAGTGTCGCAGATTCCCGAAAGGAGTGGCCTTAACAGTATCAAAACAATCATTCCGGGGAGCCAGTACGTTTTCGTCATTTCCAAACACCACTCTGGCTAGCCGCCAACTTTCGAATCCTACCGTAGCTCCCTGAATTTCACTTGCTTGCCCCTCCCCTTCGTTCCTTTGAATTTTCGCAAGGTTTGACTTTCTCTTATGGGCTTTTATTTTACTGTGTGTGTATTTATGGTAGAAGAAATGGACTAAGTATACGGATGCTATGTCAGCAGTAGAATTTACTTAATTAAAGGTGGTAGGGCGTTTTACGCGTTGTCATCTGTCGTTGTGGAGCTATACCAGTTTATTCGCGCGTTTGCAACTGCCTGCTTTGCCTGGTGATGCTGATTTTACCAACTCATTCATCAGTGCAAGTCATTTCCTTATGTTATCATGCCAGCTTGCTCACTATTTTCGCTTTTGTTTTCCTTCCTAGCTTTCTGGTCCCTCTTTCTTCATTTTCATTGATTGTGGTTGGCTTATCGTAGTGCACGTGTAACTATGAAAAACAAAGCTGCAAGTTTTTTAGGGTTGGTGTACAATGCCGCGAAAGGATAGCGAGAGCAGCTCGTCAACCCACGAAGAATCTCATCGTGAAGACGAATCACTCTCGAGCGATGTTGTTGTCAACAAATACCAGATGGCTGCACAAATGGCGAATGAAATCCTCAAAGTAAGACTGATCTATCTCATGTCCTTTCCTTCATCCATATGTTTTTTCCAGAAACTGATCTCCGAAGTGAAGGAGGGTGTAGAGGTTGGCAATCTATGTACTATGGGTGATACACTCATTCAGGAAAAAACATCCAAGGTTTTTGTGAAGGAAAAGGATGTGACTAAAGTGAGTTATTTGCACGGATGCATTTTTTACTGCCATTGTGCTCGCCTCAACTTTATGTTCCTATGTTACCAGGGTATTGCTATGCCAACTTGCATTTCCGTGGACCATTGTATCTGCCATTATTCACCTTTACGATCAGACCCACCTGTAATTCTGAAAAATGGACAGATGGTCAAGGTGCGTTTTTTCTCTTTCAGTTTTGTTTGCCTTCTCGTTATTTGATTAATTATGGATCTTGCTTGGTTTTGTTCTTTACTGCAGAGATACTTATTGGCCTTTTTTTTAATTTTGAAAAGAGAAAGACAGGCTAAGTCACTTTCAGTTTTTTCATCTTGAATCAAAGCTAAGGCTTTTCCTTCAAGTTCCACGTTTCAAAAAAATTGAATTGCGTTTTTATGAAAAAGTGACTCATTGTATGGTCGATTCGTTGACCGCACGGACTGCTCAAACGTTGCGGACAAACGCGTCGCGGCTAAAATGTCATGAGAGCACGACTTTTACAGTGGCGATTGTATTGGGGCAAGCGTTTTAAGGGATCGTTCATACCGCGCACAAAGGCGGACGAAGGCGGACGAAGCTGGACGAAGCCGGACAAAGGCGGACGAAGCCGGACAAAGGCGGACGAAAGCGGACGAAGGCGCGATCTCGTCTCGTCTCGTTTCTCTCGACACGCACACACACTCACACGCGCCTTCGTCCGCCTTCGTCCGCCTTTGTCCGGCTTCGTCCGCCTTTGTCCGGCTTCGTCCGCCTTCGTCCGCCTTTGTCCAGCTTCGTCCGGCTTCGTCCGCCTTCGTCCGCCTTTGTGCGCGGTATGAACGATCCCTAACTCGCGGCGCGTGCTCCGCAGTGATGTCCAGTCCGCGAGGTCAACGAATCGACGATAAAAACAGTGGCTTCCCAAGAGTACTCTATCTGTTTCACTCATTTTCGTTTTGGATAAAAAAGATCTCGACCTCGAAAATGGAACTTATTTTCCGATTTATCAAAATCATTCGTTTTCCAGATTGATCTAGGAGTTCATGTAGACGGTTATATCGCTACAGCAGCTCATACTGTGGTGGTCGGTGCCAGCCCTGTAAGTTACATGTTTACTTTCTCCGCTTTTTTCATCTCTTACTTGGTTAATTTATTTCGCTTAGTCGTTTTCTTTCAGACGAACAAAATCACGGGTAAACAGGCTGCCTTATTGAAGGCTACTTATGAAGCTATGGAAGTTGCTATACGAATGCTTCAACCAGGCAACAAAAACATGGATATCACAACAGTCATTGACAAAGTAAAAATTATAATTTTGATATGCTGGTTTTTCATCAGTTCTTTATATATCCTTTGATGAGCATGCCCTACATCTAATTTAGCGAAATCTGTGAAAACACGAGGCCATAGTGTTCTCACGTGATTTTCTTATTGTGTCTCATCGTCATCTTACAACAAGTATAGTTATGGTTGACAGAACTGTACTTAGGTAGCTGCCGACTACGGTGTGACCCCCATTGAAAACATGGTTTCACATCAACTGCAAAGAGATCAGATAGATGGAGAAAAGCAGATTATACAAAATCCCGGTGAGAAGCAACGAAGTGAGATGGAAAAGTGCACTATTGACAAACACGAAGCCTATGCCATTGATGTGCTGTTTTCTACCGGAAAAGGTATAATCTTTATTCTTTTCGAAATATTCACTCCATTTTTGACATCACGTACATATTGTCGTGCAGGGAAATCAAAAGATATGGACACACGCACAACTGTGTACAAAAGAAATGAAGAAATCCAATATTCGCTGAGGTTGAAAGCGGCCAGAGCCTTGATGAAGGACGTGAAAGATAAGGTGAGCGTAATCTTGGCAGTTTTTCACATGTTCTGAATTATTGCCGGTGTTTTGGCAGTAAGTGATGATTTGTGTACTATGCTTTTTTCTTTGAAGAGCATGTGGTACCTATTTTGAGCCGCGTAAGCTGCAGACATGTTCGATTTGCTGTTTTTTTTCTTGTGTGAAATTGTGCATGTTTATTGGTTAAAACTTTTTTGTTCTTTCAAGTCATCAGTAATTGATCTCGTCCCGACTATAAGTTTTTCATAGTAACACTTTCAGTTCGGAGTCATGCCCTTCACTTTACGCGCGCTAGAAGATGAGGTGAAGGCAAAAATGGGCGTTGTGGAACCTGAGAAGCATGGTTTGCTGCGACCATATCAAGTTCGTTTCTTTTTTCTTAGATGGGCAAGCGGCACTAGTAGAACATTCAACCGCGGATGTTCTTGAACGTCACATAATCCTTCCAATCTTGATTACACATAGGTGATGTATGAAGCAGCTGGTGAAGTAGTTGCTCAGTTCAAAGCGACTGTTTTGGTGATGCCAAATGGTTTGCTGAAAATTGCCGGCTTACCTCTCGATATGAATCTGATTGAGACCGATGCAAAACTGCAGGTAGGGCTCGCAAAGGCTATTTTCAACGTTTTTACTGCTTTTTAATCACTTTTCCTCTTTTCTTTTCTTATTATTACCTTACCGAGCAGCTACAGTTCTAATTCTGATAGGATCCGGAACTGATTGCTACCTTGAACTCACAACTGAAGAAGAAGAAGAAGAAGCCAGCCAAGAAAGACGCTCCCGTTCCTGTTGCTGCCAATAACGCAGCGCCGGTAGCTGAGCCAGTTGCTGCGAAATAGTGTCATTCCATTGTCAGGATTGTTGCTTTCTATCTTTTTGGACAAGAGCGATATTTATGAAGGTGGTGTATCAAATGGAAACTTTTTTCGTGTTATGTTACGTATGGTCCTCACGTTCTCTATCTCCTTTGTTTCATTTTCACTAAGCGAATATATATGACTGAGAATGCTAATTGACATTTATAGATTCACACTGTTTCTTCGTGCCCTACACGTCTTAGTGTATGTAGGAAATGTTTATGAGTCACAATATGTATGACCGGGTGAGCGCTAGATATAGTAAGCATGATAAATAGTGCAGGCGGCATTATCTTATAGCGCGGACTCCGATATTACCGCTTAGGTTTTTGAATCAGATATTTGAGAGGGACAAGTGTTCCACTCAAATCTATGGTTCATTTCTGCTTGATTTGCGCTACTCAAAATCACTCGAACGTCGATAATGTTGGCCGCGCTTTTATTGTGGATGCTGTCATACTACGGAAGAATAATGTTTCTAAAGTGTTGTTACTAGAAGAGGGTTAAACATCGTCCATTATCTTTCAGGTTTTCGTCCATTATGACTTAGCCTGAATTGCCAGTGAGCCGATTGATACGCCTTTGAACTATGCTCTCCAACTGTGCACCTCGGTGAATGTGTATTTTTTGGCTCCGGTCGTTGTTGTTCTATTTTTCCGTTTCCATTCGTTTTGTTTCGTTTAATAAAGTCTTGAATAATCTTGCATCGAGACTGATATGATTTGCCGCACATGGGATGATTTCCAAGCGGTAAATGTTAACCATCATCAGGTAAGTACTCTTTGAAGGCATTATTACATTTGCTTCTTGAATGAGAAGTGCTAAAGACAATCCTACGGAGATGAGCGTTAAAAAATTACAATTGTGTAGGTATCAGACAGAGTAGTATGAGCGTTTATCTGATATATAAAGAAACGTAAGCGCAATTCAAAAATCTGCAAATGGTGTGGAACCGCGTGGCGGTAAGCGCGCAGATGCAATCTGGCACCTTTAATTACTGGTTCACTACTTCTCCATAGGAATAGTGCATCTTTCCTGTTCGGAGTGTTTACCTAGGCAGGGTTATTACCAGTAGGCCTCCTTACCGTTCACTATGCATGGCTGTATTTAAATGAATGAAATGAAATGTTCTTCATAGGGCAGCTCAACCCCGCCTCTGTCGGGTCAGCACGCAAGCTCCAAGATTGGATGTTTTGAAGAGGCGAGCCAAAGCCGTAATCATGAAAAGTTCCGCGGAAGAACTGTTTACTGCTTTAGCTATGTGTGTTGTGCTGTGTGATGATGGTTTTGACAGCTGCTGAGCTTACCAAATTTGGTTCTTTATTTAGTTAGAGAGCATGGTTTTGTAGAACTGTGGCAATGTGAAATATCAAGAATCGCCAATTATGGGGAGACATTGTTTATATGTAGACTTGGAATGTTGAACGGCTCTGAACTCAGGTTTTTTTTGGTTAATTTGGATTTCAAAAATTTACCTTGAATGATCCCGAGAGGAACCGTCGTGAGGCCGCCATAGCTCAGTCGGTTAGAGCGTGGGTCTAATAAGCCCAAGGTCGCAGGTTCGACCCCTGCTGGCGGCAAACCTGTTTTGCAAACAGGGCAATCATCGATGAGGATTTCTGTTAATAACATTTCTGGTTTGTTTGCTTTTGGGTACATAATTGAATGCAAGTAGCGTTTGGTCGAACTAGTTTTTCACAAATCCTAAAAGGTTGCAATTTTGAAGTTTTCTTGGAATTTCTTGCAGGTTGTGCAACTCAATGTGCAATGTCGAGAGGACTGTAAGTATGTATCTATGAGAAAGCGTACAACTACAGCTCTTAACCATCCAGTTGTGGGCACTTGTATATTTTGAGCCTTGACAGCCGTGATGTTTTTTGATTTCCTCTTGGCCCCAAAGCTCTAGAAACAGAGACGGAATTAGACGGCGCAAACTAATCGGTTCTCCAATTAGACCATAATTGTGTTAGAATTCGCTAGAACTGAAGAGACACATTTGCTATGAAAAGTATAAGCTGCTGCATGACGAAGGCGCAATGTTTTGGATGCGAATGCGGCTTTATAAGCCGCAGAGCGCATGAGGCGCAGGATTTACCACAGTGAGAATACGCACGCGTCGCTTTCGCGCACGTTCAACTAATGCTGCCTTTGCGCCTTCGTCATGCACTAGCCTTATACCAATTTCTGAGGTTATTTGCAAAAAATATACCTAGAGGGAAAAACAATTTCAGTTAAAGCCTAACAACCTTGTTTTTGAGGTATCGCGATTTCAACTGCAAACATGAAATGGTGCAGAATTGTCTGGGTAGTGGTCAGAATTTTTTAGTGTTCATCTGAATTTTCGTCGCTTTAGCGGAAGTCTTAGAATGAGCTCTATCTATCCATCCTATGCTTCCTCCTGTCCTCCATTGTTGCGGGTAATGTGCAAATTCCAGAGCTTCAGCTCAACATTTTGGCATAGAGCAGACTATTTACTAGCTCCATGCGTCATTATATTATACGGTATAAATCCAAAAGCAAAAAAAGCAGGTCTTACAATGTCGCCCATGTCCGGCGCTGTGCTAGCATCGTGTCAGCGCCGTGCTGAACTGATGGGGCACGCCCTATAACGATCAGTCGGCGTTTCACTTTTTATTATAAAAATGAGAAGGTTCTGTTCTCTACTTTTATTTTTTGCATTTGCCATTGAACAAAAGTTTCTGCACAATTGTATCACATCATTAGCCCACGGATTTCCGTTGATTTTCTCTTAGCTATTCTGAATTCAGAGGCATCTCCATGGAAAGCACCCTGGGCAAAAGGCAGCGTTTCGATCGAGATTATTCAAGGTTTTTACTTCGCTTTCCGAAAAGGTGATCGCTGCTACCTTGAAACAAAGCTGATCAACATTCGGGCGATGTACATGCCAATTATTCACTTTATGTAGGTTCTCGAATATCCTCGTTGGGGTTGCCGACTTTGGAATGATTCCAACTCCAGAATTTACTCCAAATGCGTAAAGAATTATCTAAGAATAGTAGGTAAATATGGCTACGGCTTTAAACAACATGTGAAAAAGAATTTCGAACCTGGGGACTGACTGCATATTTTTTGCACAAATGTTTGATAGTCTCTTCTTGTTGTATTTCCTTGTTTCCGAACATAAGCGAGGAAAACGCCTTAACACTTAGGTTTGTGTTTCTTGACATGATAGAGGAGTATAGGCGATTCGTAGCACGCAACGACTGCGGACATATCGGCGTCTCACTGATCGAGCGCTCTTTCGTTTCTCTTATCATCTGCTGTTTCTCCCATGCACAAACCATTTTGGCCGGACGCAATGGCGCCCAGTCTTTGCGTGTCATGAATCGTGTATACAAACTTAGTATGTTTGGAATGCGAAGTCGCGCGCGGAAAAAGACTATGCACTGTCGCTCTTAGTTGACGAAGAGATCATTTCGTGGGACGTTCTATATCTACGATAAGCATGTCAGATTAGCCCCTCACCCAAATTCTCGAACGTTTGTAGTTTTTGAAATATGTCATCTGGGAAGCACTGCTGCGTTTTCTTGGAAGATAGAAACAAGATCTCAGCATCGAATGGTAATCGAAACCATCAGTGTTGCATACGGCACATATGGATATTATAAACACTATTTGTTTTGTAAACAGAAGCAAAAAAATTGCGGCGTTGCACGCATCGTTCACATTGCCACACTATGTCAAACCTTTCTGGTTGATTTCTTTAGCAGCGTCCAAGACTGGTGCAGATATTTATTTCACAATATACAGGCTGACGTTTCGGCAAACTCGCCTTCTTCAGAAGCTGAAAAATCTAAAACACATAAGTGAGCTGTCCGATCGAACACCTTGTTGACTACAGAAAAGAGCCCAACCCTTTAGAAAAGCAACAGTATAAACCAAAACGCAAGAATAAGCCAGTGCAATATCTGCTATATCTGCTATATCCAGGGCTATATCTGCTGTGTTATAGATATCTCTACCAATCTTGGACGCTGTTAAAGAAATCAACCAGAAAATTCGGATTATGCCAAAATTTACGGATAGTCGAGCATGGGTTCTTATGTTGGTTCAATCTTTCGTCGTAACTCCTAAATAGTAAGCAGCAGCGCTTTAAAAAATCAAACTTGAAAGTGCAAGGCTAGGCCTTCAACTTGACGCCCCTGGGATACAAAATCCGTGGAATTCAAGAAGACCTTATAAGTCCGCTGCTGCACTGTGTGCAGCACTGCTCTGAAACGTGTCAAGATATCTCCTGGAACGTCGGCAGTCATCGCCCTGGTTTGTTGTCTGTACTTTAAAAGCTCTTCAATCCTCAGTGGGATATAGAAAAAGAACTAGATGAAAGCCGTGCGAGCAAACTTGGTCTCGAAAAGATTTAGCAGAATAGACCAAACGCACTATTTCAATGCTCATCGAAGTATCACGAAAATACAATGCCTGTTCTAACTCACTTCCTAGAAGGCCTTTGATTTTGTTGAGACTGAAGCTGCCAAAGATCCCTTGGGCGATCAAGGTATTACCGCAGAGTACACTTGCATTCGTAAGCTGCAAGGACTTTACAACCAGCATCACACCATTTACAAGGACTCATCAGCGTGGTGGAGAGGGCAGTGCGATAACGGATACGATATCGCCAAGTTTCAGCGCGGGGGGGGGGAAGTCACACTAGAATGGGACGATATGGGAATGAACGAAGACCGGGACTATCTTTGCTTTGCTGATGACATAGTCCTGGTTACAACAAACATCGAGCAAGCAACGAGAGGGAGGAAAAGTGCGTTATGCTTCTTTTACGCTTGCCGGGACGAACATCACCGATTGCTCGCTACGTCAACCTGAGTCGCGAAGCTAATATTATGAACGAATTAGTCCCTTAACTGAGCAGGAGGAAATGAGCAGCTGAGGTGACAAGGAAATTGAGGATAGTGAAGTTGATGGAATACACTTGGCTTCGCGCTTATCTCTTCAACAAGGCGGTTCTTCCTGTTTTGCGCTCCAGAAGCACGGGTCATGAGTGAGCAGGATTTATATGCAGTTAGCGTCAGTGAACGCGTTGTAGAGAGTGTGAAATGGCCTGATTGAAAGTTGAAATCAATTGCCAGGTCACTCGTTATTTGTGTTGGATTTATGTAGCCATTTCATCTCCATTTGTCTTTATATTCTCTTGTCTTCTCTTTCATTCAAATTCTGTAGGTATTTCTTTTGCTAGAGTTTTGAAGCTTCCTTGGGAACTACTGATGAGGGGCACCAAGGAAGCTGCACTACCGGTGTAGTTCTTAGCCCCGAAACCGGATAGTGTTAAATTGGAAACAAAACATTGTGGTGAACTTCTTGGTTGTCTTTATCGATTCAACGCTAAACTTCACATTTTTCCATATGGCCTGACTCACGCAAGCAAAGGAAGAAATACAGACTTTCACCCCTCAGCGATCGAAGATTAGGGACGCTTCACATACGCCAAACGAAGCAAATCTGGTTGATTGTACCGACATATGATGCGTTGCGACGACCGTTAGAGCTGTAACGCATTGGAATCACTAGACGTCAAACGCGAAACAGGAAGACGGCAGATCCGACTTCGCGAAGTCCTGAAATCCTAAATAATGTCCTCCTGCTCCTGGTGCGATACGAAAGCGTCGGTCGAAATCGCCCACGATAGGGACGAATTCACTAGATTATGCCCGTGTTAAACGCAACTGGCGGGAGTAGACACAGGTGATGCGGCAAATGATTTCAACTCCTCTTTGCTACATATTTTACATAGGATTTGTCCTAGGAAAAGATTATGCTTTTGGAAATGGTATAGATTATATACCTGCACAAATATCCCATTTCTTTCGCAGAACTTGGTCAGAGTTGGCCTTGTAAAGTACGGATGAAACTCATATTGATCCATTACAGGACGATGCTGCAAAAAGTAACTAGTGCTGAAAAAAGCGTAGCGGTAAGAGCGACCAACCTTCGCATATTGCAATAGTTCCACTAGATGATAAACTTCATAATTTGAGACTCCTATAGATTTTATGATGTTTTGATCTCAAAAGAAACTTTGAGGAGAACCACAGCCTGTAGTTGGAAATGCACCTTTCAATTCTTCTAGCTTCTGCCATACTTCTTTCCTTCCTTTCTTATTGAGTTCAAAAGCTTCATCTTTTCCGGTATATCTATCTCGAGGATAATGCACAAGTACCATATCGAGGTAGCTTCAATACGCCTACATTATACTAAAAGAAGACTCAAAACACCAGTTTACTTTGTTTTCAGTTTTCTGAGTGACTCTTTGACACTTTGTTCTGCCCAGTTTGATGCATCTTTGTCTTTAGTTTGTACTTTGGTGGTAATGAATATTTGTTCTCGTCTGAGCCCAGTTTTTGGCAAGTTCTTCTGGAATGTACATCTTTGCAACAATGTCGGCAAACTTCGACATGAAAGGATCGTAATGTCACCTCCAAAGCATTCCCAAGCTCTGTCTCGTTTGCGTATTGTTCAGCTGTATCAAATAAACGGTACCCAGCTTCAAGCGCAACTTTGACAGAAATGTCGATGCTTTCCTAGGAATGAGTATTCATAAAACAAGTGGCAGTTCGTAGTCGAAGTACTTTCCACTTGAAGTCGGTATCAATCTGAAGAGCTTTGGGCGATGCTTCTATACCTATCTTCATTATCTGCCAACGCCTGTGGCGTACCGAGGGAGAAGGAAATGGGGAACGCCCCCCCCCTCCCCGAGAATGAGCCGCGAAATTCATGAAAGTTACTTACATGTGCTATGAAAGTATGCAAGCAACTTGCAATTACTGTAAATCATTTTTGCAAGTTTTGAGATTTTAAATTAGCTTTGTAGAAATATCTTCCGCGGGCCTTCTTTTTTCGCACTCCGAAGAAATTCGTCCACCTCACCCCCCCCCCCCCTCCCAAACGAAAATGGCTAGGCCACTGGCCAATGCATCTGGAAGCAGAGTTACATGCGGTTCCGAGTTTAACCCTGAGTTTTCCCGAGTAAGGAGAGAAGCCTCACTCCCACTGTTTTATACTTACTACCGCATGAATAACCTCACGACGAAATTTGAATTCTTTTCAACCACATAAACTATTTCTTTTTGATTTTTTAATTTTTTGGTTTTGCGTTTATTTTGGATTTTAAAATCTCCCTCGATACATGTGGACCCGCGAACAATCAGCAGTTGCACTTTCCCGACATTGTACTCGAACAATCTGATAAGATTATGACTATTTTTGGCTAATAAACGAGATCCTGAAACGGTGCTGAGCTGGCGCGAAATATCGATTGGTTGCAATCCACTTGTGCACAGAAATGTATATACTGCAGACAGGAAAACAAATGAACAGCAGTTTCAAAGCTACATTTGGAAGGCAAAGGCTATATGAAGATTTGGAAGGCAAAGGCTATATGAAGAGTTCTAAAGCTATAAGTAATAAAATGATTTTCTTGCGGCAGTACAGCTTGTCTCTGAATTGATAGTGGCAATTGCCACCACCAGGTCAGGGCCCGGCAGGAGGTGGTATTTCAGAATTTTGAAAACGATATCCCCTTTGAAGCCAAAATTTCTTACGACTTCCCCTTTGACCCTAATTTTGACCCCCGTAAGTCCCTGACAAACTGATATACACAAATAAAAAGATGGGCGGCCTCAGCGCTTATTATAGTAGTACTATCTGGCTTTCCTGGTCCAGCCCGGGTCATCAAGGTTTCAGCTCAATGGGTTCATCCGCAAAGGAATCTATAAAAAAACATAGGGTCAAGATTTGCACAAACTTTGACGTTTATATATCTAAGATACTACTCATTTATTAGTCAGCTGCGAAACTTTACAATTTACAATAACCGATTGCGATTGAAGCGCGCTTTCCGAGGCCGATCATAACGCTGTGAACTCTATGTGGGGCTGTATCGAAGCGGTGCCTTGGTAGTTTTGGAAGCGGATTTGAACATATAGTAATACTCTCGACCTAATCCACATTTATGTAAAGAAATCCGGGAAATTATGTGAAGGGAAGCAGGGAGCCTGGCGCGGGAGCCACCTAATTTCGAAAAACACTTACCATTTTTTAAATTCACATAAGTTTCTCATTATTCTTCATACTTTTTTTGTGGTCATGCTCCTCTAACTACACAGCAAATTTGGTGCCATATCGTTACTTGTGCATTGAAAACGAGCCTATTTTGTTATTTTCCTCTTACAAGAATTTCGATTTGAATTCCCGCCTGCGGGCAGGCTAGCGATCGGAGCACAGAATCTTTACTTTGCTGGAATCTAAGTGAATAAAGAATGATATGTGCATTGTTTATCGGTAAACAAAGGGGAAGTCGTATTTTGGAGTCCGGGGCTCCGCCCCGGACCCCAAAATACGACTTCCCCTTTGCTTTTTCGGGCCAAAAACGATATCCAGCTTGTGAAAGCGCCACCCCCGCCGGTCCCTGCACCAGGTCCAAAAGGGTTAAAATTGAACCCGCAGCTGAAGCAGAATGTTTAAGAATGCTATTGGTCTGGTGACTACCACCGCACTTTGTGCGGCGCTACTGGTCTAATATAACCATCTACTATCCAGTAGTTCTCTGCTCGGATGATCGTAAATGGATTATTCTATCTGGGTTATGTTCAATTTTCGCTCCAAAAACCTTCATAGCTCAATCTCTAGAAGCTCTTGGCAGATAAAGAAACCAAGTTTGGAGCCAGCGCTCAATGCTCTTCAACGACTTTTTTGGGGTTCTTTCTTGGAACATGTTCGTTGTTAGTCATTTACAGCACTAGAGAATATGGAGTTTCAAAACTTAGCTTTCCAGCGTAAGTGGCGCAACGTATAATGTAAAGGCTATTGCATGACGAAGGCGCAGAAGCAGTTTCAGTTGAGCGGGCGCGAACGCGGCGCGCGCGTATCCTCACCGTTGTAAATCCTGCGCCTCATGCGCTCTGCGGCTAATAAGGCCGCGTTCGCCCAAAGGTATTGCGCCTTCGTCATGCAGCAACCTTTACATTGATTCTACAGTCCAAATCCATGCTAATAGACCATTTTATGGAACACGGGTCAGACACATAAAAAATTGTTTGGCAAGTTTAACGTGCTCTTTTGACCAGGGAAGGATAGTGGTCGAAGTGGCGTTTCCGCAGAAAATGTATGCTATTCTATAGAGCATGGAACGCTGATTCCGAATCGCTTTCGGTATCTGCAAAACGCTTTTGGGATAGGAGTTATAACAGTTTTTTGAAGCAAAAATTCAAAGTTTTGGTTAAAGTGAAGACAAGTGTTGAAGTGTTCGGAATGAGCGTTCCATATTCTAAAAGATAGTATACATTTCCTTTGGAAACGCCACTTCGACCAAGTATCCTTCCCTTGTGAGTCGCACGCTCGCGCTCGCGGACCCGAAATCGACTCAAACAGAATAATGTCCGAGGTATTAAACTCTTCTGACAAGGGAAATTTAGTACCTCGGGCACTTAGTCAAAGTGCCGTTTCCAAGAACTCAGCGTTCAATCTATCTATACATATATAAAACTGAGTTTTGGTAAGTTGTTAGTTAGTTTGTTCATTACAGAAACTTATGTATGTGGACCGATCAATGCCAACCTTTGTATACATATACTTTCGACAGCGGCCTACTTCGTAGGCTACTTTGAGCGGTGAAATTCCCATTTTCTATTGATTTATTGAATTCAAGAAAAATGAGTTTTTTAGTTACTATTAAACCACTTCCAATTTTCGGTTAGACAATGGCGGTAAAACTCATTTTCATTTGCAGGAGAGGTGGAGATTCAAAGCGATGCGGTCAAGAGGTGTTACATGAGTAACAGAAGAAAGCCGAATCGCAAACAAGTTGACCTTCGAACGCGCACAAATTTTGCTCTTTTTTGAGCCAGTTAAACCACGGTGCAGGAGAAGCCGGACATGCGCGCTCCATAAGATGATTTACGTTTCATATGGAAACGCTACTTCGACAAAGTATTCCTCTTTTATAAAATCGGCTGAGGTTCAACACTATGTCGCTGTAGCGGTAAGATGAGAAATCTTAATATAGTATGGTAGCAGCAATTACGAGGATGGAGCGAGAGCAGCAATAACATGTTAGCAAACAACGGCAACGTACGGCCTAAATTTCATCTAAACGGAGATAATGAAGCGTTGCAACTCCCGAAAAACTGCTTTGTCAAACGTAATTGGCTGCGGCGTTAGTGTTGTGTATGCAGCGGAAACCCTATATGCAACAAGGACACTGTTATCAGCATCACTGACTCACAGATTTGCGCGAGGGTGGAGTTGTAAAAGCGGTGAAGATGTCGGGGTGTTGCATGACTAATTTAATTGTTGGCTGGTCATCTCGACCGCCCTTCCTTCTTAATTCCCATGCATGCTCTTCCCTCCCGTGAGGCCTCGGTTACACCTCATGCCACTGCAGCAGATCGCTATTGTTGGCAATTCGATAGATGTCACTGATACACCGCGTGTAGATCTCAAATGCACAAACGCACACTTCTTATAAGTGATGCAGGCATTAGAGGTCAATTTAAAGGCCGGACCAGCGCAGATGTTTCACTTCTAGTGCCTACATGATTGAGGGCTGCATAGCAAATGAATTCTGCGCCTAGATGACGCCTTATATCGTCGACTAATCGTACGAGAAACACCACCTGATTAACGTTTCTCGCAGTTCCCAGCCCAATCATAGGAATTCGATTTCCGTCGTTTAAGTTTTTCGTCCCACCAATGATATCAACACTGATTGTCATCTTTAGATGAGCTTTCGCTGAAAATGCACTTGGAAAGGCATGGTCGTTCAGTCCAGAGACTCCTCACCACCTCGAAAATATAGTTGATTGCGCCTACTTATATTAGAATCTTAAAGCGAGTCCACAGTTCTTCTTAAGCCACGCTGAAAATAATCGAAAGGAAAATGAGAAGGCTTGTAGATATCATTACAACGTGATCCACGTATCTTAACGTCTTTTGTTTCACGATAAGGCTGCCAACAAGCTTATTTATTCTCAACATGATTTTTTCAATCGAAGAGTTTGATTTCAGTGATCGTATTCTTCCGATTCAAAATTAGTTTATTCCAACTAAAATACAGTCAGCGAGCACATGTTGGTTTTGAGCATAAAAGCGAAGCCCCATGGTATTGCACATACGAATTTTGAAGTTTGTAATATGAGAGTTACATATATTGAATAAAGCAAGCAAATCCCTTGTTGTTCCATATCCCAAGTTCGACCGTCAATAAATTTTGGCATGTCTTGATCAATCTTAGTAGGTGGTTGCAGCTAAGGCCAAGATTGTTACACAGCTTTATTAGGCCTACGTTTCGGCGTCTCCGCCTTCTTCAGAGCCTGTAAGGACGATGATATTTGTAATTTATCCCCTCAAATGCTCTATCTCCACCACATCGGTACAATAGCTGACAAAGCCAGAAACGAACGAGAGACGCGGAACAATTAGCGCCTACCTTATAGCCTTGCAGTCAAGAGTAGGCGACCACCCACGGTGAGGCGCCGCTGCCATGATATTGATATATTCAAATCACTCCCCGTCTTGACCCGACCCCGATCCAGTAGGTCAAAACCCACAAAGGGTCTGGAACGGTGCCAACTCGTTTGTAACGGCAACGCATTCTTCCTTCCTATCAGTTTTTGGATTTCGCAATGCAATCCAACAGGCCTCAAGAGTTTTGCGAGCTATTGTTTGGGGTTCGTGCGATAAGATTGTGACAGCCGTATTGAACGTAGCGTTTTCATTCATAAACACCTCTAGGCGACACAGCCTGCTGTGAGCGCCTAGAGGTGTTGATGATCTGCCCTTTGCAAGTCCGTCTAAGTGCTTCTTGATCCGGACGCACAGCGGCCGTCCTGTTTCGTCCACATATTCCTCATCACACGACTGACATGTGATGAGACAGACCACCCTCGCCTTCATGCAATCACCTGGTCTACCGTACGAAAATGCGTTGTTGTTGTTGTCCTGATAAAATTGTTGTTCCTGTTGTTGATCCTGTTGTCACTGATAAAATTCTTATCGGTGACAACAGCAACATTATATGTGCAAATCAACAAAATGATGTAAAAATGCATAGTAAAATTACAGTTTCCTTTATGCACCGCTAGCTGCAATTGTCTTGGAAAGAACAGAGGTGACTAGTTCTAGTAGAAAAGTGAAATGCCTGGAAGTCTTGCCGCTGGCATCTTAGTCGATCAGTCGTGATTGATGTGCGATAACTATTGAAGCTTGTAATTACGATATATGTCTCAAAAAAGAAAGGTAATTTGGTTTTTGTTTAATGATAGCTTTTGACCGCGTAGTGAGTCTATTATATATAGCTCCAAAAATTAGATGGATGCTTGATATTTCTGCTCCTAACTTACAATGTTGGCGTGGTAAAGTTCTGAAAATCAAATAGACGAGTACTGCGACACGTCATACTTACTCATTTATAAGCTGTACCAACCAACATCGGTTATGCCAAGACGCGCCTGCGGCAGCTTGCGACGATGCGGGTGACGCGTGCGACCTCTGTTATGCGCGAAAGCACGTCGCGTGCGAGCGCGTGTTCTCGCAAGGCATACCAACGCGGAACCGATACTGATTGGTACAGCCTATAGGTATATGGATGGCCGTTTCCTACGTGTAGTGGCTCCAGCACAGAAATTCCCATTTGTCCCTCTTTTTGACTTCAAACCTTCTAACTTGTCCTCGATGGCTGCATCCATGTTCCAGGTGCGAGCACTGTGTTCAGCTGATTTTCCAACTTCTTCCGTTCCGCCAACCTCTTGCACAAGGCGTTGGCGTTTTCCTCGAGAACGTTTATGCGAATTATCCACTTTATATTCATATTGTCCATCTGTCATCTGTTCTTCTCATTTTGTACCGGCTTAAACACACTGAGAACCCACATCCGCAGTAAAACTAAATCAGTTCAAAAGTTAGTCCTGGTAGTAGAAGAATCGGGCAAAATAATCAGATAGGCCCAAGATGAGGTAGAATCACAAAACCTGCGAAAAATTATACAGATGCAGACCTTGCCTTGGATGGCAAACATGGAGACACCTTCTAAGAAAAGCAGACCTTGCATAAGCGGGACCCTTGCGAGGATAAAGAAGATCATTTTGGAACACTTTGAAAGCAGCTTCCAGGCAAACTGGGCATGGGATTCGCACGTTGATACTGATATTGGGAACCAAAAGCACAGCTCAAGCGGCAGCGCAGATAGTGCACTCGCAGCTGAAATATTCTTCATTAGACTCTTACAGCGCTCTGCGGATTTGCATAGGGTTGCCTTTGTTGGGGATTCACCGACATCGTGATCGATCCTGCCCAAAACCCTGCAAGCCGATGCAAGTCATCCGCTGAATACAGTGTTGGGAACAGGTACCTCGTTGCCTTTACGAACCGACTCGTGGCGATCTTTGCCTGCGATTGGATTGACTGGACGGCTTCGTTCAATATTCGTATCTACTCAATCCCACTTCGGTTTGTGAGTTTATAATCTACTTTACATATTCGGATATCAATGTACTCGTCACAGAATCTCTATCTCACGATAGTCTTGAAGGGCAGATAAGCCGGCCAGGATACAGAATTGGTCGCAGTGCGCTAATGCTGAATTCTGAAAAGGCGCTTAGCATTTTGGCACAATAAGTCGGATGAGGCAACAAGATTTCTTTGACATGTGAATCCTTTATTTGGAAGATAGGAAAAGTTATGAGCCACTTCAAAGACCATCGTGCACTTTGAAGAATAGGATTGGCTTTTCTCAACTGCATCTGCCTCAAGTGAAAAAGAGAACAAAAACGCTACAGACTTATGGCAGTCTAGCAGCAGAGATGCATGTGGTGCAGTCACAGTCGATCTGACATATATAGATCATTCTGCAAGAGAATGGCGAAGAATAACGAAGTAGAACACGTCAGCAAATCTGCATCACAAAACTTATTACTTTGAACCAAAAGGTCATTTCTTTTCCGCACAAGAAAGTGATTTTTTCTGAAGCAGAGTGAGTTATTCACCGAGTTGGTATGTCATATATTCGATGCACGATTAGATCGCAATAATCTCTCCTATATGTTAGGTACTGTATTCTACTTACGAGAATAAGGGAACTGTCGCACAGAATGGAAAGAGCCACGGATATCAGACGACTAAAAGTAAAGGGCCTTCAGATAGTGTTCTGCTGGAGCGAAAATCATATTGCGAAACAGTTGCAAACGTTAAGGTAAAAGATGTCCTAATTACCTTCTGTTTGGTTAATAGAAGCTCAAATGACCAATAATGTTATTTTCTGCACATTGCTTGTCTGTTGGCACTGATGGGTCTAAAAGTAAGATTTGCTGTATACATTCATTTCTGTTATGTGCCACCAGACATCCTGCGATTTATACGAGGAAAGAAGTAGTCGTTACTTTCAAGCTTTGACACAGTCTCGCACTCCGCGGTGAAAAAACGCTAATTAATCCGTTTATTTAAGCTAAAATGGACAATGTGACACTAAGATGTGTACATGCAAAATGGAGAATAGTAAAATGTAAGGGAAAATCAAAGAAAAAACTTATGTGATTGTGAAGTATGCCTATCTATTTTTCCATATTCGCTAGCACTCGCCAGCCCGGTGTTAGCCGAGCTGACCGAATTTATCTCTAATTCAAATTTTGAAATCTCCCGAATTTACTTTTAAACATGAAAGCGCCTGGTGGGCAAAAAGATCGTGCCCTCTGCCTTGTTACGGCTTTACATTATAAAAAACCGCTTTTTCACATTTCATTGAAATTCTTTGTCTCACCTTTCTTTCTATTCATTTATTGTTCGCTATAGGTTGTTTTTAAGCCAAGCTTTTGAGATACGTTTTTTTTTTTAATCTAGGAAGTCCGTGTTTTCAAAACTTTTTGCTGCAAGCAAGTGCCGATTCATGGTGGAAAACTATGAGCATCAATTTCCTAGGTGAGTATAAGTCATTTTCGATTATTTATTATCATAACTACTTGATGCTAATAATTGGGGATAGATGACATCGAAGGTGTTTGTCAAATATATATCAAATTCTTCGGAAGCTCTCGATTTTCAATCGGGGTATCTGCTCATCAATAGTATCAACGAGGCACATGAATTGTTGAATGCAATAATTCTTGGTCTGATATCGGATGTCGTGCAAATTTACATTTTCTAAACGCGACTAACAATGTCTCATATAAACAGCCCTCCTGCTTTATGTCTTATTGAATTTCAATCGAAATGTATGGCGTGTGATCGCGACATAAAAGGCCGCCATTTCATCCTAATGTCAACGCCAAAGGTGGTGGCTCGGCAAAATCTTCTCTTGTCAGACTTTGGTAGTATCAAGTAGTGAACCCTCCAGTTAGACCGTAGCGTCCCTCCCTACCTAACTCATTCGTTAATTTTTGAAAAGCGCTCTAGAATTTAACCACCGAGGCTTACTCAGTGGAAGTTATCATGGCTGGGCGATTTTGAGGCGTGTTTTTCAAAGCTTAGCTCATGAATTGGAAGGTGGGCTCGGGGACTACATGTTCTTCGAGGGTCCGCTACCTATACTACCAAAATCTGATAAGGGTACAATTTGCCACTCCTGTCTTTATAGATGAAGCCTCTTCTGCTGCTTCTAGCTGTAGTGCTCGTCGCCGTTCATGCGAAGATGCAAAACATCACGGTCAAGGGTACCACCATTTGCAACAAGAAACGAATGCCTGACGTGCTAGTGGAACTGTGGGAAAGAGACACCTGTGAGTTGCTTTATATCGGCTTATTGAAGGGAAATAACGAATTGTTTTTTCTAATGTACGTAGACTAACTTTTTATTAGGAGTATACTGTGAAAATCAAAAGCTTCGGTGTCTTTCACCACTTTCCTTCATTTAACTTGTATCGAAGTAAAACCAACATCAGTCTTAATGCTAAAAGCAATCTCATCAGTGAAAATTCGCACAAAGCACAAAAAGTCACCTGCTCTACTTTACAGTTGACCCGGATGATCTTCTTGAGTCAAAGATGACATCCAATCGAGGAGAGTTTATTGTAAAAGGAGGCCAAAATGAGATTGGCTCTATCGAGCCCTATCTCAAAATTACGCATACTTGCAATGCAAAAAAGGTTTGTCAGACTCCTACACTCTCTAAGGCCTCAGGCAGAGTTCACGCAAATTGATCGTCGCGATTTATGGCGAGAAGACAAATGTTATGGAGTCATTGGATGCTAATCTTCTTGTGTTTCGGTTGTGATAGTTAGTCATGACTAATCGTGTTGAAAAACTATCACAACCGAAATGCAAGAAAATTGGCATGCAACATAATGTTACAGTTGTCTTGTCGCGAGAATCGAGACGATGAAATCGCGTGAATTCTGCCCGAGTCCTAATACGTAAACTATCACAAAAATCAGTTCCAGGGTTGCAAGCGAATCACTGAGTATGAAATTCCGAAATCGAAAATCGGCACCGTTTACGACATGACATACGTGACGCTAGACATCATCTCCGCCAAAGATAAGGAGAAATGCTGAATTTGAATTCTCCCTTGCGCAATATATCACGTATAAACAGTCTGGCTCATCAATCTTAAGCACAGCTTACTTAAACGAAAAATATGAAAAAATTCACTGTGACGTGATGTATTAGGTTGTTTCATGAGTTCGTAAAGTTTCCAATATATCAACGAAATGACAAGATTTTAGGAAAATTTAGTCAATAGAGTATGTTTCGTTCCTGCTCACGACCTTCTGCCACCATGCCGTCCAATTTTCAGTTCTGTCTGTACAAAGGTCAGCGGGGTTCGGACTCATGAAAGTGGTCTAACCAGCCCCTGAGATCGTCTTTAGAATCAAAACAGACGTCGTTCCTATGATTTGATATACTGGAGCATGATACTTTGCTTGAGATGTGAGAAGTGTGTTGGATACTAATGTACCTCCCGGAAAGGTCCTGCAGGACACCTAAAATGACGTTTGCCGGGGGCCAAGTTTTGTCAAGAAAAGCACAGTGGACCTGTTTATTAGGCCTTCTCTTTAGTAGTGATTCGCTTAGACGGTGCAGTCAGGTTGTGTACGGTATGGGCGACCGTCTTGTTCTTGCCTAGTAACTTTCAGTGCAGTACCTCCTGTCCATCATGTCATACTACCCACATCTGTGCAAAACCATAATTTACTTAAAAAGTTCACAGTAGTTTCACACGGAAGCTATTTGATCGAATCTTTAGTTTTGCATACGATCTCATTCCTAACAGAAGGAGTTGTAACAACAACTTGGGTTTCTCTGTCTTGCCTACAGAAGAGGTAGAAATGACCTTATAGGCCCACAAGATGCTGTTTGAAAATCGCGGGTCGGGTTTTCAAAATATTTCCAACTAGACTGCCCACGACAAAAGATTGTTCTACAAGATTATTATCTCCAAGGCAATGCTTGCGGTCAGGCGAGCTTCTTTCTCACACGTCGCATTAATTATGATATGGGTCGGCTCATAAGAGAGAGGACAATTGCCGCAAAACTTTTTTCATTCGAAAGCATCTTGAATGATTGTCTGCAGTGCTATAGCTGATTTTGTTACTAATATGGTTTTACGTTAATACGATATCTTTTCACTTTCTATTGTGCTCTTTTACTACCACATATCATTTTGTTGGTTGTGACTGACATGGGTTCTTCCCTTGTAGTAAATGAAGTGAAACAGAAGATTTCCCGGAGATCTTCGACCAGAGCCAAATGCGTCGCCGGCTCTGCTCTTTCTCCTTTGCTCATCTGCTCCTCCACGCATACCTTCGATACCCGGAGCTATGTACTCTGGTAACTTCACTTTGAGCGACATAAAAGAACACAATCTTCGCCTGAATAAAACAAAAGTGATCCGGGGCGATGCCCCGGATAGATCATAACTATATCAATGAATGTGAATGAAACAAGTATAGTTGATACTCAAAAATAGCATGGCGAAACTAAAAAATATTGCATTTATAGCCTTTTTTACGCCAAAAAGAAGGTTTTTGTGTGAATTTCCCCAAAATTTAGTACTACATGTCTTAATTAACCTCTTTTTAGACTACAATTGAGTTTTAGAAGTTCACAAAAGCTTTTGGAGTTCAATTTATTTATTTATTTTACTGCAGTCGATAACACAAAGAGACAGATAGACACGTGTTAACAAGAATGATCGACTTTGAAATCTTGGAGCCTTTTGAAAGTGTATGATAACCCATCTTTTAGAGTGCCAGCGAGCCTGCGGGTAAAGGCTAGCTGACGTAACCCGTTGAGATATGATTTTCAATAGAGCACCAAGATTTAGGAAAAAAAAGAATTCGCCATTTATGCTGAAGTATAGGCAGAAAACTCTGAATGCATAGATATTTTTGGAAAAAAAGATGATGGATACAGATAAAATAATGTCTAGTCATAAGCATGATTTTGAAAACACTTGGATAGATGAAGACAGAAATGAAAAAATGGATGCAGATTTTTGGAAGCAGCAGACATCGTTATTCTGTTGTAACATTGACTGAAGATCGAAATAAAGCATAGTCAGTACCCTGTAAATAATGTTATTAGAAGTATGCTTTGGATCTCAAATTCTTTAGAACTTCTCTGTTGAATACGAAAATAGATGTAGTTTTGACAGCCTTCTCAGGGAGTGCGTTCCATGTTCTAATGATACGTACCATGAAAGAATCGTGAGACTGTTGTGTACGTACTTTGCCCACTGTGAGTCATCGTGTCCTCTGGTAATATTGTTGAAATTAGACAATAGGAAAAAGTCTTGCATTGCAAGGTTGATTTTCTTAGTTATAATTTTGTAGACAAGGTTTTGGTCGTAAATTTCTCTTCTCAATGAGAGTGAGGAAGCAGTAAGCATGGAAAGTCGCGATTTGTAAGATAACCGAAACAGTCCTGCTCTAGCAAATATCCGTGCAGTATATGACTTCTGTACTCTTTCCAGGGTATTGATCATTCTCTTTGTAGAGGGAGACCATACGGGAGTGCAATGCTCTAGTAATGGTCGAACATAGGTAGAGAAGAGCCGGAAAAGAGTCTCAACTTTAGTAGTTCGAAAAGCATGCAATATGTAATTACATCTAGCATGAGCTATTCTAGCAATCTCTTCTATGTAGTACTCAAAGTTGAGATTATCAGAATAAGTAACACCGAGATCTTTAGTGAGATTTGTTATCCGAACTTTTTGATTTTTCAAGTAATTTTATGGAATCGGGGATGTTTGGTTCCAACAAACATGATACATGTTTTTTCTATCGAGATATCAAGCTCCCATTTTATAGACCAATCCTCCACCGCATCTAAAGCTTTTTGCATCAATTCAGGTGCATTATAGCAGAAGAGTTTCATCGGCATAGATGGAGCAGAAGATATTATTGAGTAGACATTGAGGTAAATCATTTATATAAAGTAGAAATAGAAGTGGTCCTAAGCAGGTTCCTTGGGGAACACCGCTGCTTGTTTGATAGGTAGAGGAAAAAGATTTATTGATCAAGTCAGAAGACAACCTTCTATTCCATATGCTTTTAGTTTGGTAAAAAGTAGATTCAGTGGAACGGAGTCAAAAGCTTTTGTGTAGTCTATGTAGCACACAGTAACAAATCCTTTCTCATTTATTATTTTCTGCCATATGGGAATTGTCGAAATGAGGGCTGCCAATGTGAATTTTTGGGAAGAAATCCATGTTGAACTTTATGTATCAATTGGTTATTCTCGAGATACCTGTAGATTTGTTTGCAGATTATCCTCTCAAAAACTTTGCTTACTGAGGATGTCAAGCAGATTGGTCTATAATTCTTTGGTTGAGATTTGTTGTCTTTTTTGAAAATCGGTTTCACAATAGCAGTGCTTCTGCATAGTTCTGGAATTTCTCCGCAGAGCAGAAACCTTTGAAACAAAAGCGTAAGGGCAGGGGAATTTCCAAGAGAAGCTTTTCTCAGAAAAACATAAGGAAGTTCATCAGGAGATGTAGATTTTCTGAGAGGCAATTTCTTCAAGGTTTGGTATACAGTATCACCAGTAATGTCTAAAAAGTCGATTTTAGCGTTTGTGAATTTTGGACATTCAACTTTAGAATTCGAAGGTTTTTTGTAAACAGTTTTGAAAAAAGCAGCAAATGCTTCAGCCTTGTCTTTATCACTTTTACAAACATCACCGAATGAATTATATATAGTGCCGATACTGTTTGTAACTTTCAGATTTTGACTGCAAAAGCGGTAAAAAGTTTTGATATTGCGACTACGTGCAACAATTTCTTCCTCGAAAATCCTGTAAAGGGCCAGTTCACGTTTCAACTTTGCGGAAAACCTGCGGTACTTTTGCAATCCAATCTTATGTTTAGCTTGGTATAATCTAGAGACTTCAGCTTCCAATTTTTGAATTTTCTTTGGATATGCGAAAGTGTGTTCTCGATCAGTTTTGATTTTGGGTACGAATTTTTTTATTAGTTCATGACAGTATTCAACAAACACTTGATAACACTGGTCTGCTGAGAGTGTACTTTGAATGATATTGCATCAGTTTACTCTAAGCAGATCAGCTATTATCTCGTCGTAATCTGCATGAAGGAAATCGAGCAAAAATTTTTGGGAGGAGCTTTTGCCATGATGTTTGCATAGCTGAAATGAGATGGAGGAGTAGTTGATGTAGAGAAAGGGGAGCGAACTCGGAGATTTTTTATCAGATTACGATTACTTGTGAATACGAGATCTAATAGATGCATGTTGTGGGTTGGAACATTAACGAGCTGATGTAGATCATAAGTTTCCGCTAGTCGCCGCAGTATGGTATAAGAAAAACAGTGATTTTGTTTTGTTTTTCAGTGGACCAGGTATTGTAGTTCAAATTGAAGTCTCCTAAAACAATACAATCTTGATTTCTATCGAATATTTCAATAAAGGATGACAAGGCTTTTTCAAATGAGGCGTTATCACATGAAGGACTTCTGTATACCCAGATAAAATATATACATTTTGTGACGTGCGTCAAGCAGATACAAAGATTTTGACAGTAGATAGAAGAGCTTTGACTAAACACTAGATGGTGCTCAATGCTTTTGTGTACGAGAGCAAGAACGCCTCCACCCTGAATATCACCTTTTCTATCACATCTATAAATATAATAATGGAATTTTTGGCAAATGTTTGCATCGTGTATAGTTTGTGGTTTACACCACGATTCACCATGATAAAAACATTGGATGGTTCGAAATAGAGAAGTCTGTGGAGCTCTGGTAGTTTATCACAGATGGAACGTGCATTGAATAGAATAATGTGTCCACTAATAGTTTCGTTTGTCAAAAATGTTTCAAAAGTGTTTTTGTCGTGTTGTTGAAGGTTATCAGGTTGGGGACTCTTTCTCTAGCGTGTGTTTGAGGTTTTTGGAGTATACTGCGAACAAGAAATTGGCGATAAGGTTAAATTTGTGGGAGGGGAATCACGTTCCTCTTCCAGGTCAACGATGCTTTTGTTGCGAAAATCATTGTTTCCATTATTACTACGGCGACCAGAAGAGACTAGAGAGCGCCTAGGAAGTTCGCGTGGTGATTTTAGTTTGACAATTCAAAGTCGCGA